GAAAAATAAGGTCTGTTATTTTTGAGGGAAATTGCCGTCTTATTTTGCTGAAGCTTCACGTCTTTCCTTTTCAATACACTCACGATACAAATTGCGTAAGATCGGTCGATACCTCCATTCATTCCCCCATTGTCTATGATTTTCGTGTGCTAAAGCTCGGCCGATTATCAACCGAGCCATAAATAATAGGCCTAAGCCTTCGTTTTACATGGGTTTTCGACACATTTTGTAACTAGATATTCTGACCAACATTATGCCATGATCTACACTAAATGCCCTTTCTTTTAAATGTGCAAATCAAATATAGGACTATTTGGGGAACTTATGTATTTTGAAATGAAAATTGTTTTATTCTCGAAAACAAAAATAATATTTACTTTGAATACTTTCGACTTTGTTTCTCATAATTAGAAATATTCATTTGTCGTGTGCCTTACCATATTACAATCTTACCACTATTGCCTAAATATATTTTATGGAATAAAATGACAAACAAATCCCATTTATCAGGATAACCATTGAACAGCTAGACTTGTTTTGGTTATCCCTCGTGAGAATTCAATTTATTTGTCTTCGTCTCCATCTGTGTTCTCGTTCAACCTATCCTGTCAATAAAACTTTGTTAATCTTCGTTTCATGATCAGTTCTGTAGATGGCATGTATACATGAAATGATGATGATGATGACGATGGCGATGATGATGCTTACAATATTGTAATAGAATAGTAATGATAATAGACATTAATTTCTTCATCTTGCACTCGCTTTTCTTTGTTGCCAGAAAACTTGTTTTTTTTTATGTTGCCTTGCTTTTTTTCCCCTTTAACAATGGTAGCATATTTGCCCAGAAAAATTCTCATATTCGTGGCTATACCTATAACTCAAACCTGCTCTAAAATGGTTACATGCCCTTGTAAAGGTACATAAGTTAGAGTGGTTGTTTGTATTGTCATGTAGCTTGACCTACGTTTGGGCCTACATCCTAGCTCCTCTTTCAACACGGTAATCTTTCAGAGTAGTTACACCTTTACATTCGTTTGTTCCTGGGATCCGGTCCAGGCAGCTGAGATAAGCGTTTCATAATAGAGGAGGTCCATACATGAATGATTCGCTAAATTTATCAAGTTGATAACATGAAAACCGTATTGTCAGAGTTCCGACACTGGTAATTACAGGGGAGAAGAATTACCAAGTCAGGGGTCGGTTATTTAATGGCTGTTTTCACAACCCGCAAAGGCCTTTGTTTTGTTATCTGTTCTTGTTTATCGGATCGTTTTTCAAACTTTTATGAATGTTTTCCCCTGATTTGTTTTGCTTTCCTTTAAAGCAAATTTCCACCACAGGGTTGTATTGCCCATTTATTTTAATTAAGTACAATTTATAAATGCCAAGTCTCAGATGTTTCATATTCCATTCAATCTTTCGGGGAAGGGGGGGGGGGAGAGCATCGTCCATCGATATTTTTTGGTTTCCTAGGAACCAGTCGTAATGGAAGTCGATGTTAATACAGAATAATTATGATGTTCCAACTGAGTAAAATACGTCCTTTGCCTCCACCGTTAAATCTTTTCCCTTGCATTTATTGAACGGGTAGTGTAATTTACTTGACACGCAGTTGATTTGAACGAAAGCAAAATGGCACCAACAACAAAAGAGAGAGAAAGAGATTGATGATAGTTTGACCGAGTTTAAAGAATTTGAAAATACAAACAATTTATTTTATATACATGTTGTGGGTGCAAAATGACCTTGAAGTAGTCAGATAGTCTGTCTTTAGTTCTCCATTTTTAGACTAGGTCTGGAGGTCTAGGCTTAGACCTCGACATTAATTCTCTGACTGTATTCTGTCCAATCACGTCATTCTCTCGACTCAAAATACACCCACAGGCACAAGTGATCATGCTCTATTCATAGACCTCTCTAGTCATATTCTCATTTATCAGACTGGTACTGCACTGGTCCCTTGTTGTTCACGATCACCTTTGACTGGCCAAGAACCCAAGTTCACCTTATTATAGTTTCAACGCTCCTCTCAGCTCCGTTCCGTCCTTTAATATCTCGCAATCTGACACTATTCACACGTACATCGTCAATCCACGTACCGTACTGTAGAATTGCAATTGCAAGTGTAGAAATCAATTGTCGAATACCAATATAATGTCTCGAAAACTTTAATTTTGAAGCCTTTACTATAACCACATTTCACGTTACTCACGTCGGGTCGATCACAATGTTATTATACAATGATTGCATCCATTCCAATTGTTGTCCAAAACCAAACAAGATCATAAAACGGAAATATGAAGTAGGGAGAAGAGGTTAAAATTCTGTCTTGTTTCCAAGGGTTACTGCCAGTGATTATTCGCGCTTTTCCTCCCCTCAAACTTATTAAATTTTAAAACCGACAAGAGATGGCGCTCTTGCATTAGTTTGGCATCTACATTTCCGGCCCCTTAATTTTCAGAGGCAAGCCGACAGAAAATTACACCTTTTCTTATACTTCCAAAAAACAATAATAACCATATGGCTTTCTCGAATCATTCTGATTAAATCTTATTCCTGTATTATTTTCAAAAGTTCCTGCTAATAAAAACCCAAAACCTTTTCAAAGTCAAACTATATACACGTAACTCAATGCAATAAAATATGCATAACTGTGGCTCTAACATGCCACAACACCTACATGACACAAAAAACACCTCAATGCCATCATTTAGAAAATACCAATGACAATTTAACCTTTAACTAGCTTATGAATGTCTATACTCCTGATTATTATCAGTTTGTCAAACAAAAACCAACCAATGTCCCTCTTGTGGCTCTTTTTACTATCTTTGGACAAGAAAGCCCGCTTGTGTCACAAAATGAAAGATTTTTGCATAGGTTAGTAACTTGTAAACTCACTATAAATGATGTTGGCACCTTAAGAAAACACTCTGGAATGCTGCAATGCAGCCCTATCTTAAAAAAGGCAAGTACTGTTGACTCCAATACATAGCACAGATAAACTGAATTTTGTTTTGCACCGATATAATAAAGACATGCACAATGAAATCAGGCCTTAGCTATCAATAGAATCTTGGTAACAATAATATGCTTTGGTCGTAAATCTGTCCAACTCTAAATTCTACTCAAACTACAATAAAAACAATGACAATGAGAGCCACAATATCGCAACAAAGATTTAAATGGTTAAGAACTAGATTAACCACTACCTCTTATTTTAGGGTGTACACTTTCAAGTTCCACTGAATTCAGAAGTATACTGTGGACTAATTATAAGACTATCAAACAACTCTCCTTATCGAAACATGTCATCAGATGACTAGTCTTGATTCAAACTCTTGTCACTGAGTTGAATCCCTTTTTTAACAATGTTCGCAATAATTTTGGACTTTTGTTATTTTCTGTCTCTTTCAGAATTTGTACAAATAAACAACACAATCGAATGTCTTGTCCCTTCTAACGAATGCAGTAAAGCATTTCTTTCGTGCAAACTAAGCATGCAAAGTGTCGTTTTATATGTACAGTAGCTATGTAACAACAAAGCAAATGACACGATTTGTTCAAATCATGCTATCAAACACTGCCATTTCTATAAAAGAACTTTCCAAATGTAAATATCCTGACACTAAATCTGAACATAGCAAAATTATTTCACCTCTAATTATATACAACGAACTCATTTGCTATAAAAACATTAACGTCTTCAAAATAGTCAAGTGTGTACAGTTCTGCCTTCACTAAGCACTATTAATGCCCATAATACAATTTTTATCGTCTTGTATAAACTCTTTGAAATTTTGTCTCAGAACCAAAATAGCATCTGCTTTAAAATAACCTGTACACCAAATATTTGCGTCAACACAAATATGCACATTATTCCTTGATTCCTAAAAAATCTTTACATTGTATCCTTCAAAATAATAACCCATTGCCTTTTATAATCATGCACTTCACATAAATCTACACTTTAAAAGCAACACAAAATATGCTTCCAAATATCTCATATGACATTTTAAATACATGCAAGATTTTTCTCTCCTGAGTTCCTGACAAATATTTACCTGAAAAGTGGAACATGACCCAAAGTTTTGTATTTGACTTTTGTTTTCTACTCCCTTTTTTCTGTCACAGAAATTTAAATTTAAATATTCATATTCTAGCAATTACATCATAGATGATCAAACAATAATTCATATATTTTACATATTCAATATTTCTATTATCTTCTCTTTCAACTTCTAAAAGACATCTGTGTCACTGTGCCCACCATTTCAAAGGTACATTGTACATACATTTTACACTCCTCAAATGCAATTCACTGAATAACAAAATATGCTTATGAAACTGTTAGAAATAGCATTCAAATTGGCAAGAATCTTTTCTACATGTATACATAAAATGCATTTTCACTGAGTCTCTGTCTATATCATGTTCAAATAATCTGACTTTTTCTTTTAAATGTCCAAAGTCTGAGTTTATTCCTTAGTCAGTCCATGATAGCCAGATTTTGCACAATAATCAAGTCTTTTAGTCTTTTTCGAATCTGCATACTCTGTGCCTCTGCTGCCATCTCTACGGCTTGATTACGCGACAGAATAGAAGGTGCAGAGTGGTCCAACTTGTGACTCCTAGTGAACAAATTCGCGTTTGGTCCAATGAAAACATTTCACTTGGTAAATACATGAAGTGGCGGCGCTAGGCTCGCACCATATATCACAATGATAATCTTTTCTAAAATCAACATTTTCCAAGCTTGTGATCCAACAATTAAAGGCTTCGCGATTGATCCAAATATATACTTGAGCTTTATTATGGCGGCGCTAGGCTCGCACCACTTATTACTTCACACATATAATTATCACAAACGGACTCCAAAATTGATTTCCAACTTGACTTGCTCCAAAATGTGATGAGTTGGTCCCGTGAAGAAACTTAAAAGGTGTCTCAATAGCGTATATCTCTTATGGAATCACAATTTCACAAATTCAAAGTGCTCATGAATCTCCTTCCAAGAGGAGACACAGTTTGCTGATGGGTCGCGAATAGGTGCCCGTCTTGGTCTTCACCTCCGCCCGTCGAACCATGCCCTGTCGATCTGGAGTGATGCCGATGATTACTCCCATGAGCCAGAAGTTACGAGGTGCTGTCTCGTTCACTACCAGCACTACGTCACCAACCTGGATGTTGCGACTAGGATGTACCCACTTCTGCCTGGCCTGGAGCTGCGGCAAGTACTCTCTCAGCCAACGTCGCCAGAAGACGTCTGCCAGATATTGAACCTGCCGCCATCTACGTCGTGCGTAGCAGTCGGTCTGCCTACTAACCGATGGGGGTAACATCGGGGTAGCCTTCAACGTCAGGAGCTTGTTTGGTGTCAGAGCCTCTAGATCGTTAGCATCGTCTGAAACCCTGGTGATGGGTCTGCAATTGATAATGCCTTCTATTTCACAGAAGAGTGTCTGCAAACTTTCATCCGTCATGGTCTGCTGTTTGGTAAGGAAGAAGAGCAGCTGTCGAATCGTCCTGATCTGTCTCTCCCATACGCCCCCGTGGTGTGAACCTCCAGGTGGATTAAAGGTCCACTTGATGTTTACTTGCAATAGTGAGTTGCTGAGCTGGGCCTGGTTCCAGTTCTCAAGTTCTTTTCTTAGTTCTTTCTCAGCCCCAACCAAGTTCGTTCCATTGTCCGATCTCATTTCTCTGACTGCTCCTCTTCGAGCAATAAATCTCCGAATTGCTGCGATACAGGAATCCGTATCTAGTGAATCAGCCTTCTCTATGTGTATGGCCCGAATGGCGAGGCAAGTGAACACTACGCCATATCTCTTGACTGTAGAGCGTCCTCTTTTCACTCCTATCGGCCCAAAATAATCGACTCCAACTCGTGTAAAAGGTGGATCGTCCGGTCTCAGTCGGTCTATGGGTAGGTCGGCCATCTTCTGTTGGATTACCCGCCCTCTTTGACGTCGGCACTTGACACATTTCTTGACGACTTTCCTGAAGGCTGAAATTGCACCAACTATGTGATATCGTTGCTGGAGTTTTGCCAAGACATAGTTTCTTCCCATATGTCCTGAGTTTTCATGAATGTGCCGCAAGATGAGTTCAGACACATGTCCTCTCTTTGGTAGGATGACTGGATGTTTTGCTTCTTCAGGCAAGGCTGCCTTGTTAAGTCTTCCTCCTACTCTAAGTAGGCCATTGTCCATCTGAGGGTCTAATTTGTAGATAGGGCTTGATTTTCTGACCCCTGGCTGCAACCTTCCTGTCCTTTGGTTGACATCGTGTGCCTGTTTCCTCAAAGCCACAACCTCTACTGGGAACGCTCTGTCTTGAACGTGTATCAGTATTGCTTCCTCAGCTTGTCTAATATCTTCCACTGTCAATAACATGGGTGGATTCTCTCGTGTGTTCTGCTGACCTTTCATTTTCTCTTTCAGCAGCCCTTTCAATTTTAGTAGCCATGCTACTCCCTTTCTGAGGTGGTACCAGTCTGAATAATGGTTGATCAATCTTTCCAGGACATCATCTTCTTCCTCTTTGCTCACAGCAGTGGCCATACATTTGCTCTCACTGGCCGTTACTTCCGAGACCTCTGTAACGTACATCTTCTTCTTCTTCACCTCGGGATCATTGTTTACGTCGTGTGATGCATTTCTGGGTTGCTTAGGCCACTGGTCCTCTGAAGCTTGAAGAAATTCGGGTCCTTCCTTCCAGAATCTCATTGCTAGGAATCGATCTACCTTGACTCCCCTGGAGCATACATCTGCCGGATTCAGCGAAGTTTCTATGTGGTGCCATTGACTTGATTCAGATCCTTCTTGTATCAGGGCAACTCGGTTGGCGACGAATGTCTTGAACCTCCCTGTTTCGCTTTGGATATACTGTAGTACAGAGGTACTATCAGTCCAGAAGAAGGTCTCATCTACTGGGATGTCAAGTTCTTGTTTTACCATTTTGTCTATCCTTACTGCTACCGTGGCGGCTGTAAGCTCCATTCTCGGGATCGACGTCTGTTTAAGAGGGGCCACTCTAGATTTGCTCAAGAGGAATGAGCATTGGACTTCATCCCTGGTATTCACCATTCGCAAGTATGACACTGTTCCATATCCCTTCTCACTTGCATCTGCAAAATGGTGCAGTGTCACAGACTTTGGGTTTTCATACCCCTCTGGCTTCAAACACCTGGAAAGTTTAAAGTCTGACAGTCTTGGGAGTTCTCTTTTCCATGTTTCCCATTTTTTCAGCAGGTCTGGTGGAATCGTCTCGTCCCATCCTAATCCTAGTCGGCAGAGGGTCTGAAGTAAGTGCTTTGCAGGGAGTAGCACTGGGGAAGCACATCCTAGTGGATCGAACAGGGAGCACACTGTTGACAAGATACCCCTCCTTGTGGCTGGCTTGTCTTTCAGCTGAATCTTGAAACTGAAAACATCTTCATCTGTATGCCACAGCATGCCAAGTGCCCTCTCTGTTGGCAACTTGTCCTTGTCAAAGTCTAGCTCCTGCACTGTACTTGCTCTCTCCTCCTTGGGTATGGCATTCAATACTCTTCTGTCATTGCTCACCCATTTTGTGAGGTGGAATCCTCCTTTCTTACAAGCTTCTTGTAGGCCCTCTGATAGCTCTGCAGCTTCCTGGACTGTTGAGCTTGAGTACAAACAATCGTCAACATAAAAGTTGCGCTTGATGATATGTGCCACCTTGTCCTCTGCAAAGTCTTCTGCTGTGTGCTTCAGGGCATAATTGGCACAAGCTGGTGAAGATCTAGCCCCAAACACATGAACAGTCATGCGGTATTCCTCAATAGGTTGAGCGACATTGCCATCTGGCCACCACAGAAATCGATGTAGATCCTTTTCTTCCTTTAGCAGTTTCACTTGTGAGAACATGGCTTCTATGTCTGCCATTACTGCTATGCGGTCTTGACGAAACCTTGTTAATACACCCACCAAACTATTTGTGAGGTCCGGCCCCTGTAGAAGATTGTCATTCAGTGACTTGCCCTTGAAAGAAGCTGCACAGTCATACACCACTCTAATTTTTTGCTTCTGTGGGTGATATACACCGTGGTGAGGAATAAACCACATCTTTCCATCTTCTCTAAGGAACTCGTCTTCTGGTACTCTTTCAGCGTACTGTTTGTTCAGCACCTTATCCATAAACCCTGCATACTCCCTATGGAACTGCGGCTGTCTAGCGAACTTCCTCTGCAGGTGGTTGAGTCTCTGCTCTGCCATGAGCCTGTTGTTGGGCAGGTCGACGTCTCCCTTGAATGGCAGTCCGATTTGGTAATGCCCTTGTGTTAGCTTGATGGATCCTTCAACCTTTTCCATAAATCGTTTATCCTCTTTGGATTCTTCGACTTTATCTTCCATCAAGCGTTCTGAAAACTCAGTGTTGTAGAGATTATTTAGCTGTTGCTGAATATCTTCCATCACGTGGACTCTGTGGGAGGCTATCTTGGACCCACTTCTCTCTTGCTTGCAGCTTCCAAAAACCATCCACCCTATGATAGATTTGCAAGCGAATGGTCCGTCATTCTGACTATTGATAACCTGCAGTGGTTCCATTGCTTTAGGGACGTTATTGCCAATGAGGATGCCCACGTCTGCATTGATCTCCGGCAAGTTTATTTCTTGTAAGTAGGGCCATCTTGCAATGTCATTCCTTCTCAGTATGTCTGACTTGTCTACAGGGATGGGCTGTATGTAGACGTCAGAAAGTGGTATATATGTGTTCTCATTCACATCAGCTACCTCCAGGTCTTGCAGTATGCAGGTCTTGACCAGCTTATCATCTGTTAATGTTTGAAGCTGGATAGTGCGCGTTCTTCCTTTGGCATTTAGTTTGTTTTTTAACTCTTCTGTGCAGAAAGTTGCGTTACTCCCGTTGTCAATGAATGCGTATGTGTGTACACATTTCCCTGTCTGCTTTGAGCGTACAGTCACAGGCACAATGGCCGGTTGGGAGTCCTGCATAGAAGTGCGGTTGGATAACGTGCGCTTTACGTCTGGGAAATTTTCATTTCCAATTTCTTCTCCTTCTGTTTGTCCTTCCGAGCTTTCCTCCTTCTTCCTATTAGCTCCAACGTCGTCATTAGTACGTTGTTTCTCTGATTCACCATTCCTTTTCACTTGTTTCGATGGTGCCCAATCTCTATGAAGAAGGGTGGGGTGTAACCTTTGACAAATCTTGCAGGTCGTCCTCTGTTTACAGTCCCTGGCAAGATGTGAAGACTGAAGGCAGGCAAAGCACAGTCCTTTGGATTTGCAAAATGCAAGTTTCTCCTCATGAGGTTTCTTTCCTAGGGCCTTGCATTCTGCTGTAAGGTGATTTTCCATGTCACAATACAAACACTTCGCTTCCTCGCTCTTCTTCATGCTGGAGCTGAAGCCCTGTTTCTTCCCTGGAAAGGGTTTTGTCTTTGTCTGCGTTTCTCCAGCTCTGGCAGGTCCTACAATATTGCCATAGATAGGGTTGTTGATTATCCGGGCCTGTTTAGAAACTAACCACGTCTTTGAATGAGAGTGGCTCGTCCCGATTCTGGAGTATGCCGTCGACATAGCTCCTCCATCTATCTCTCAGCCTGAACGGCAGCTTTGATATGACCATCTTCAAGTGTTGTGCGTGGTCAATCTCCTGTTGAAGGTGTAGGTCCTTAGCCAAATTGCCTAGCTCAGTCACAAACAATGAATAACTAAGCAGGCCCTCCGGATCCTCACCTCTAATGTTTGGCCATGCCATTGCCTTGATGATCATAGAGTCCAGAACATGATGCTTATCGCCAAACTTGCTTTCTAGCAGCATTGTTGCCTTGTTGAATGCTGCCTTGGAATCACCTCCATACATGCAGCTTCTGACCATCTCATTCGCCTTTCCCCTAGTATATTGTTCCAAATAATATAGTTTGTCAGAGTCCTCCGATGTCTTGGACTCTATTACATGCTGAAAAGCCCTCTTAAAGGCGTGGTAGTTCAGGGGATTCCCGTCGAAAGGCTGAATGTTCCTTTGCGGTAAGGCGGACTTCATATGACATTCTAAGAGCATGTACGTAAGTTGGGTTTGTTGTCGCTGCAGCTCTACCCAATCAACATCACTATCAGAATTTGTTCCACTTACTCGTACATCTTGCAAATGTTCTCGGTTCTTGCGTCCTTGCGTTGAACTCTCTTCTGAGCAATCTGCATTCTTGACTTTGTGACTTGTTTGGTTCCTATCACTTTCATGTGTTACATGAGCAAAGGTTGGTAATGCAGGTGGCTGGTGAAAAGCTACCGTATCGTCGAACTGCTGTAATGCTGCTGCTTGGGCTGTAGCTGCAGCTAATTCGGTCTCAACAGCAAGTTGCTCCTTTCTTCTAATTAAGTCCTGCTCTTCTTTCTCGAGCTCCTGTTTCCCTTTTAAACTCTTCAACTTTGCTTGCAATTCTGCTCTCTTCATGGCTGTTTCCATCAAAAATTTCCTGGAATGTGATGTTGATTTGCTTGATACTTGAGATACACTGTCATCTACTTCAACCCTCTCCATCGCTGAATGTTTTCCTGCGTTCATTGAAGGAGAGTCAAACAGTTGGTTGACTTCCATCCATGGGTCTCGATCATGCAGTAACGGGTCCATCCGAATACTAGTAGCTGGATCTTGTTCATCCTGCCCTTCCATGATGATCTGATCCACTGACACAACAATCCTAATGTGGGGCTGTATCCATGACGGCTGCTGTCAACCTAAGGCTTTCAAGTATGCATTTCATGTGCTTATTCTTCTATACCACATTCACTGTTGCAGGTTTTCCAGCCTCTTTCCATATTCTGCACCGCTTGTAACTCAGGCGATATCAGCTGCAGCTAACCGGCATATTTCTGATTTCCAAAAACTTCCTGAAATAGCTCCACTAGACCTAGTCACCTAGTATGTATGCCACTAGACTAGACCCTCTACTCTAGCCTGACCCTCAGATGGACAATGGCCTACTTAGAGTAGGAGGAAGACTTAACAAGGCAGCCTTGCCTGAAGAAGCAAAACATCCAGTCATCCTACCAAAGAGAGGACATGTGTCTGAACTCATCTTGCGGCACATTCATGAAAACTCAGGACATATGGGAAGAAACTATGTCTTGGCAAAACTCCAGCAACGATATCACATAGTTGGTGCAATTTCAGCCTTCAGGAAAGTCGTCAAGAAATGTGTCAAGTGCCGACGTCAAAGAGGGCGGGTAATCCAACAGAAGATGGCCGACCTACCCATAGACCGACTGAGACCGGACGATCCACCTTTTACACGAGTTGGAGTCGATTATTTTGGGCCGATAGGAGTGAAAAGAGGACGCTCTACAGTCAAGAGATATGGCGTAGTGTTCACTTGCCTCGCCATTCGGGCCATACACATAGAGAAGGCTGATTCACTAGATACGGATTCCTGTATCGCAGCAATTCGGAGATTTATTGCTCGAAGAGGAGCAGTCAGAGAAATGAGATCGGACAATGGAACGAACTTGGTTGGGGCTGAGAAAGAACTAAGAAAAGAACTTGAGAACTGGAACCAGGCCCAGCTCAGCAACTCACTATTGCAAGTAAACATCAAGTGGACCTTTAATCCACCTGGAGGTTCACACCACGGGGGCGTATGGGAGAGACAGATCAGGACGATTCGACAGCTGCTCTTCTTCCTTACCAAACAGCAGACCATGACGGATGAAAGTTTGCAGACACTCTTCTGTGAAATAGAAGGCATTATCAATTGCAGACCCATCACCAGGGTTTCAGACGATGCTAACGATCTAGAGGCTCTGACACCAAACAAGCTCCTGACGTTGAAGGCTACCCCGATGTTACCCCCATCGGTTAGTAGGCAGACCGACTGCTACGCACGACGTAGATGGCGGCAGGTTCAATATCTGGCAGACGTCTTCTGGCGACGTTGGCTGAGAGAGTACTTGCCGCAGCTCCAGGCCAGGCAGAAGTGGGTACATCCTAGTCGCAACATCCAGGTTGGTGACGTAGTGCTGGTAGTGAACGAGACAGCACCTCGTAACTTCTGGCTCATGGGAGTAATCATCGGCATCACTCCAGATCGACAGGGCATGGTTCGACGGGCGGAGGTGAAGACCAAGACGGGCACCTATTCGCGACCCATCAGCAAACTGTGTCTCCTCTTGGAAGGAGATTCATGAGCACTTTGAATTTGTGAAATTGTGATTCCATAAGAGATATACGCTATTGAGACACCTTTTAAGTTTCTTCACGGGACCAACTCATCACATTTTGGAGCAAGTCAAGTTGGAAATCAATTTTGGAGTCCGTTTGTGATAATTATATGTGTGAAGTAATAAGTGGTGCGAGCCTAGCGCCGCCATAATAAAGCTCAAGTATATATTTGGATCAATCGCGAAGCCTTTAATTGTTGGATCACAAGCTTGGAAAATGTTGATTTTAGAAAAGATTATCATTGTGATATATGGTGCGAGCCTAGCGCCGCCACTTCATGTATTTACCAAGTGAAATGTTTTCATTGGACCAAACGCGAATTTGTTCACTAGGAGTCACAAGTTGGACCACTCTGCACCTTCTATTCTGTCGCGTAATCAAGCCGTAGAGATGGCAGCAGAGGCACAGAGTATGCAGATTCGAAAAAGACTAAAAGACTTGATTATTGTGCAAAATCTGGCTATCATGGACTGACTAAGGAATAAACTCAGACTTTGGACATTTAAAAGAAAAAGTCAGATTATTTGAACATGATATAGACAGAGACTCAGTGAAAATGCATTTTATGTATACATGTAGAAAAGATTCTTGCCAATTTGAATGCTATTTCTAACAGTTTCATAAGCATATTTTGTTATTCAGTGAATTGCATTTGAGGAGTGTAAAATGTATGTACAATGTACCTTTGAAATGGTGGGCACAGTGACACAGATGTCTTTTAGAAGTTGAAAGAGAAGATAATAGAAATATTGAATATGTAAAATATATGAATTATTGTTTGATCATCTATGATGTAATTGCTAGAATATGAATATTTAAATTTAAATTTCTGTGACAGAAAAAAGGGAGTAGAAAACAAAAGTCAAATACAAAACTTTGGGTCATGTTCCACTTTTCAGGTAAATATTTGTCAGGAACTCAGGAGAGAAAAATCTTGCATGTATTTAAAATGTCATATGAGATATTTGGAAGCATATTTTGTGTTGCTTTTAAAGTGTAGATTTATGTGAAGTGCATGATTATAAAAGGCAATGGGTTATTATTTTGAAGGATACAATGTAAAGATTTTTTAGGAATCAAGGAATAATGTGCATATTTGTGTTGACGCAAATATTTGGTGTACAGGTTATTTTAAAGCAGATGCTATTTTGGTTCTGAGACAAAATTTCAAAGAGTTTATACAAGACGATAAAAATTGTATTATGGGCATTAATAGTGCTTAGTGAAGGCAGAACTGTACACACTTGACTATTTTGAAGACGTTAATGTTTTTATAGCAAATGAGTTCGTTGTATATAATTAGAGGTGAAATAATTTTGCTATGTTCAGATTTAGTGTCAGGATATTTACATTTGGAAAGTTCTTTTATAGAAATGGCAGTGTTTGATAGCATGATTTGAACAAATCGTGTCATTTGCTTTGTTGTTACATAGCTACTGTACATATAAAACGACACTTTGCATGCTTAGTTTGCACGAAAGAAATGCTTTACTGCATTCGTTAGAAGGGACAAGACATTCGATTGTGTTGTTTATTTGTACAAATTCTGAAAGAGACAGAAAATAACAAAAGTCCAAAATTATTGCGAACATTGTTAAAAAAGGGATTCAACTCAGTGACAAGAGTTTGAATCAAGACTAGTCATCTGATGACATGTTTCGATAAGGAGAGTTGTTTGATAGTCTTATAATTAGTCCACAGTATACTTCTGAATTCAGTGGAACTTGAAAGTGTACACCCTAAAATAAGAGGTAGTGGTTAATCTAGTTCTTAACCATTTAAATCTTTGTTGCGATATTGTGGCTCTCATTGTCATTGTTTTTATTGTAGTTTGAGTAGAATTTAGAGTTGGACAGATTTACGACCAAAGCATATTATTGTTACCAAGATTCTATTGATAGCTAAGGCCTGATTTCATTGTGCATGTCTTTATTATATCGGTGCAAAACAAAATTCAGTTTATCTGTGCTATGTATTGGAGTCAACAGTACTTGCCTTTTTTAAGATAGGGCTGCATTGCAGCATTCCAGAGTGTTTTCTTAAGGTGCCAACATCATTTATAGTGAGTTTACAAGTTACTAACCTATGCAAAAATCTTTCATTTTGTGACACAAGCGGGCTTTCTTGTCCAAAGATAGTAAAAAGAGCCACAAGAGGGACATTGGTTGGTTTTTGTTTGACAAACTGATAATAATCAGGAGTATAGACATTCATAAGCTAGTTAAAGGTTAAATTGTCATTGGTATTTTCTAAATGATGGCATTGAGGTGTTTTTTGTGTCATGTAGGTGTTGTGGCATGTTAGAGCCACAGTTATGCATATTTTATTGCATTGAGTTACGTGTATATAGTTTGACTTTGAAAAGGTTTTGGGTTTTTATTAGCAGGAACTTTTGAAAATAATACAGGAATAAGATTTAATCAGAATGATTCGAGAAAGCCATATGGTTATTATTGTTTTTTGGAAGTATAAGAAAAGGTGTAATTTTCTGTCGGCTTGCCTCTGAAAATTAAGGGGCCGGAAATGTAGATGCCAAACTAATGCAAGAGCGCCATCTCTTGTCGGTTTTAAAATTTAATAAGTTTGAGGGGAGGAAAAGCGCGAATAATCACTGGCAGTAACCCTTGGAAACAAGACAGAATTTTAACCTCTTCTCCCTACTTCATATTTCCGTTTTATGATCTTGTTTGGTTTTGGACAACAATTGGAATGGATGCAATCATTGTATAATAACATTGTGATCGACCCGACGTGAGTAACGTGAAATGTGGTTATAGTAAAGGCTTCAAAATTAAAGTTTTCGAGACATTATATTGGTATTCGACAATTGATTTCTACACTTGCAATTGCAATTCTACAGTACGGTACGTGGATTGACGATGTACGTGTGAATAGTGTCAGATTGCGAGATATTAAAGGACGGAACGGAGCTGAGAGGAGCGTTGAAACTATAATAAGGTGAACTTGGGTTCTTGGCCAGTCAAAGGTGATCGTGAACAACAAGGGACCAGTGCAGTACCAGTCTGATAAATGAGAATATGACTAGAGAGGTCTATGAATAGAGCATGATCACTTGTGCCTGTGGGTGTATTTTGAGTCGAGAGAATGACGTGATTGGACAGAATACAGTCAGAGAATTAATGTCGAGGTCTAAGCCTAGACCTCCAGACCTAGTCTAAAAATGGAGAACTAAAGACAGACTATCTGACTACTTCAAGGTCATTTTGCACCCACAACATGTATATAAAATAAATTGTTTGTATTTTCAAATTCTTTAAACTCGGTCAAACTATCATCAATCTCTTTCTCTCTCTTTTGTTGTTGGTGCCATTTTGCTTTCGTTCAAATCAACTGCGTGTCAAGTAAATTACACTACCCGTTCAATAAATGCAAGGGAAAAGATTTAACGGTGGAGGCAAAGGACGTATTTTACTCAGTTGGAACATCATAATTATTCTGTATTAACATCGACTTCCATTACGACTGGTTCCTAGGAAACCAAAAAATATCGATGGACGATGCTCTCCCCCCCCCCCCCTTCCCCGAAAGATTGAATGGAATATGAAACATCTGAGACTTGGCATTTATAAATTGTACTTAATTAAAATAAATGGGCAATACAACCCTGTGGTGGAAATTTGCTTTAAAGGAAAGCAAAACAAATCAGGGGAAAACATTCATAAAAGTTTGAAAAACGATCCGATAAACAAGAACAGATAACAAAACAAAGGCCTTTGCGGGTTGTGAAAACAGCCATTAAATAACCGACCCCTGACTTGGTAATTCTAAGAATTTTAACTTAGAATGTGGGTGCAAAATGACCTTGAAGTAGTCAGATAGTCTGTCTTTAGTTCTCCATTTTTAGACTAGGTCTGGAGGTCTAGGCTTAGACCTCGACATTAATTCTCTGACTGTATTCTGTCCAATCACGTCATTCTCTCGACTCAAAATACACCCACAGGCACAAGTGATCATGCTCTATTCATAGACCTCTCTAGTCATATTCTCATTTATCAGACTGGTACTGCACTGGTCCCTTGTTGTTCACGATCACCTTTGACTGGCCAAGAACCCAAGTTCACCTTATTATAGTTTCAACGCTCCTCTCAGCTCCGTTCCGTCCTTTAATATCTCGCAATCTGACACTATTCACACGTACATCGTCAATCCACGTACCGTACTGTAGAATTGCAATTGCAAGTGTAGAAATCAATTGTCGAATACCAATATAATGTCTCGAAAACTTTAATTTTGAAGCCTTTACTATAACCACATTTCACGTTACTCACGTCGGGTCGATCACAATGTTATTATACAATGATTGCATCCATTCCAATTGTTGTCCAAAACCAAACAAGATCATAAAACGGAAATATGAAGTAGGGAGAAGAGGTTAAAATTCTGTCTTGTTTCCAAGGGTTACTGCCAGTGATTATTCGCGCTTTTCCTCCCCTCAAACTTATTAAATTTTAAAACCGACAAGAGATGGCGCTCTTGCATTAGTTTGGCATCTACACATGTAATCTTTTTCGAGCGGGAAAATACTTGTATTAGAACTCGTTCGTAGCGTCAAATTTCATTTTACCGGGGAAGAAATATAGCGGCCGCAACTTTTTTATGGGAAAATGGAAACGTAATACCAAGATAATTTTTTCCTTCAATTAGGAGACAACGTGTTTCCGTTGTTATCAACTTCAGAAAATCAGAAGTTGAGAGAACGAATGTTATACCTTGTTTAAAAAGATAAATAAAAATAGCTCTTACTCCTTCTAAAAGTGCTCCGCGCTGTCTATATAAACTGATACTTATTGATATTCCAACACTTAGTATATGTCGGCAGAAATTTGAAAAGACAAACAAGTTATTTTATATAAATGTAATCTTTTTCGAGCGGGAAAATACTTGTATTAGAACTCGTTCGTAGCGTCAAAATTCATTTTACCGGGGAAGAAATAAAGCAGCCGCAACTTTTTTATGGGAAAATGGAAACGTAATACCAAGATAATTTTTTCATTCAATTAGGAGACAACGTGTTTCCGTTGTTATCAATTTCAGAAAATCAGAAGTTGAGCGAACGAATGTTATACCTTGTTTAAAAAGATAAATAAAAATAGCTCTTACTCCTTCTAAAAGTGCTCCGCGCTGTCTATATAAATATGATACTTATTCATATTCCAACACTATGTCGGCAGAAATTTGAAAAGACAAACAATTTATTTTATATAAATGCAGTCTTTTTTCGAGCAGGAAAATACTTGTATTAGAACTCGTTTGTAGCGTCAAAATTCATTTTACCGGGGAAGAAATAAAGCGGCCGCAACTTTTTTATTGGAAAATGGAAACGTAATTCCAAGATATTTTTTCCCTTCAATTAGGAGACAACGTGTTTCCGCTGTTATCAACTTCAGAAAATCAGAAGTTGAGAGAACGAATGTTATAGCCTGTTGTGCGCCGCGCTGTAGTCACTTTGGCAGGCATTTGAAATCACGCAATTCTGATTAATCGCCAGCGTCTCGGGCATGCTTTTTATAATCGGCCAATTCTCAAAAAAGTCGATACGATTTGCGCCTTTTGTCTAGAGAACAAAGGCGCATTCCAGAATGCATTCCAGAATGTGCGCATTCTGGAATGCCCCTTTGTTCTCTAGACAATAGGCGCAGGTCGCATCGATTTTTTGAGAATGTGGCTAGAATGTGGGCATTCCAGATACATTCCAGAAAGATTAACAAGGGCATTCCGAATGCATTCCGAATGCCAGTTGAATAAATCCGTGGCGCCTAACATCATAGCAATGTTATGTTTGGTCACATGATGCTATGTTGACCAATCACTGAACAGGATTTCATTCATCAATAATAAATAAATATAATAGCTTCCATTTACTCACCACACCATTGTCTTCACGATGACGTCTTTGATAGACTCCCACACGGCTTTAGTATCTATACCGTCTCTCTGCATGAAGCCCCACAATGCTTTCAAACTCCTGCAATTGACATGACAAATACAAAGCAATTAGGTTTATCTCAATCCAGCAAGCCATTTTTGTAATGTAACCAGTCTCACCTCCACCTTAGGTAGACGAGACAAAAAAGAAAAAATATTAAAGGTAAAGACCAGTATTGGAAACGCCCCAATTTCAAAAAATGAAATGGAAGCTCTCATTACCAATCATGTGAAAGAATATGTTTCGACTAATACATGATGATAACAAATTTGCCGGGAAACCGCCTACTAATTCATATATTTGGTAAATTTGTTTCTCTCATGGTCTGTGAGAGATATAGGGTAGTCCCATATACATCTTTCTGTGTATAGTGCTTGTAACTTTACGAAGAATGGGCCAAATTTCTTATCATTTTGATGATTCCAGAACCTTGCAGATGCTAGATGCTAGATGATCAACCTTTTCTGATCGATTCCACAACGTTTCTTTCACAATGCAATGGCATGACCATAACTGGTCTTTACCTTTAAAGGAAACCATTTTCATTTTTGCATTGAGGCCGATTCCCAAGCAGCCACATTTGTTGTCTACATGGAAGTCTCACAACACCCAGCAATTGAATATTAACATTCATATGAGAGTTTGGCACTATAGTCAGGAACAAGTCATTTTTATTTTTTCAACATTTCACTACTCATCCCATTTCCATTTCTTTCAAAAACCAGTCATAGCCGTGTTATTAGGTGGACAGTGGCATTTCGTGGGAGGCTGGTAGTCAGTGAATACACCTTATAGATGGAGTAATAACTTAGTACAGAGAGCACCACTGCTTGGTGGATACAAACATGAACCGCTCAGAGGAACAAATTATCTGGGTGGAGCTAAAAGGGCTTTTAAATTCTTGTATTTAAGTAGACGAGTTAGCACCATTCTAGCTCAAAAAAAATATTAAACATCATCCATCACATCCAGGCATTGTGGCGTGCGCCTGTAATCCAGCTAACAATGGAAGTTACAAACTGATTCAGCCGAGGACGCAGACCGGTTTAAAACTGAGTCACGTCTTTCGGATGGTGACGTTTAAAGGTCGGTCCCCAGATGTAAATAATCATATCTGATTGATACAGGTCTTTAAAAACCCAATACACACACACACATTCCATCCCATCTCTGTGCCTACCATTTGTGGCCCTCGCACGCCATGCTGTCCGAGTTGGGAGTGAAGTCTGCGTTCTTCTTGTTGATGCTGTAGTTGGTCAGGTGCATGAACCTGTTGGAAAGGCTCTTCATAGAAGACGAATATCTACAGGAAGGAAGGAAGACAAGAGGAGATTTGAATAATAGCGCTTAATACAAATGTCTCTAAGCGCTTTCCAAATATACTATTACCCCGGTCATTGGATTCAGTGCTTGCCCACATACACTGTGTGAGCAATCTCCACTCCCTGGGGAGCATTCCAGCCGGCGTTACTTGACGCTCACAAGCTGTTTGACCAACAATGACAGCCACATCCTACCGGGTACCCATTTGACACCTGGGTGGAGAGTAGCAAGTGCAGGTTAATATCTTGCCAAAAGATATTAGTGCCGTGTCGGGATTCGAACCCTCGACCTTTGCATCTCCAGTCAAGCGCCTTAAACCACTCAACCACGAATGGAGATCTTGTTGAAAATTTCTATTTCTCTCTCTCATTTTGGCATCGCACTATCTCTCCCTCACTCTTCCATCGCTCTCTCCTTTCTCTCTCTCTCTCTTTCTCTCTACCCCTATTTCTCTCTCTCTATCTCTCTCTTCTCCCTTATTCAGTGTTGCATAACAAAACTCCTAGGATGATTCATCTTATAATGTACTGACTTGAACTATGTTATGCTTTCAAATTGTTCAGATTAATATAAAAGAATTTAAGTTCAACGCGATTTTATGGCTATTTTATTGTGAACCGATATGCAATTCAGCTTTCGGGCTATGTATCGTTAATAAACTATTTCAAATTCAAATTTTCAAGCAGACGACATCCCATTAGGACACCCGGTAGGATGCGAAAGCTAATGTGGTTAGATTAGCAAGTGTGCGCTTGTAAAAAAGACGCCTGGCTGGAATGCTCCCCAGGGAGTGGAGAATGTGCATACATTGTGTGCGGGTAAGCCTGAATCCTATGACCGGGGTAATAATATATACATCTGTAAAGCGCTTTGAGAGGGCCTCCGGTCCTGAAAAGCACTATATAAGAACTAGCTATTATTATTATTATTAAGAATGAACATAATTGCAATGCTGCTATTTCTCAATTTATAATGAGTTTGGTGTATATAAATGGGATGGCATTTCAGACCATTCAAAATGGGATATGAAACAGATTCCAATAACTAAAATTGTCTACTTGTGCAAATCATGCCCAACCTGTGATGTCACACATCTCTGCAGTGTTCTGAGAGCTCTTTAGGAGCTATCCCGGGGCTGTATTTTAGCGTTTTGTAATTGATAATAATCATTACTTCAAATGTTTCCAAGCATTGAGTTTTGATAAAATTATCCAATAAAAGTTTCACCTTTGCAATAATGAAAATAAAGTTAATTCTTAAATCTTCGCACATCTACTTTAAGATCCTGAATCTTAATTCCAATTGAGAACAAACCACTGAATTAAAAAGTGGTAGAAAACTGTAGAATAAAAACCTACTTCATGGTGGCGAATCTGGCAAGACCGTTGGTGAAGATGTAGACGCGGAGGGGATCAAAGCTACTGACGTAGACATAGATGCGTAGATCAAACTTGCTCCCGTTGATCAGGTACGGCTTGGCAAGATAGCGCTGGACGATGACCGGTTTCCGACGGGGAATCTGACTCCACTTGTGGATGACCTTGATGCCAATACCTCGTGCTGACGCAGGCTGAAAATGAGTTTGGGAAAGTAGAATGATCGACTTGAACTGAATGGCATGTTATTCATTGCAAGCGGTTCGGGATGGGGTTCTAAATAAATGTTTTTTCCCCTCAATTGTAGAGATTTTGTGGCAAACAAACTGTTTTATTGACAGAAATACACCCTGTGGCCCGAATTCACAAAGCAAGGTTTGAGCTCAAACCTCCTTTTGTTCCGCCAAACCTTGCTTTGTGAATTCGGGCCAATATGTCTCTTAATGCATGAACATAGACTTGCAGTGCATTTTTTTTTTTGGGGGGGGGGGGCGGGCAAAACTTACAAATCTACATATTTATGTGTAAAAATAAAAATAATAGAAAGAATTACTGTAATTTTGAATTATCATTATTATTACTGATTTACTATAATACTAGAAACTGCCACTATAAGAATCAAATTTTCTTCATGAAGTCATTTTTTATCTTGAAACTTTCGCAAATAAAAAAAATCAAGGCTTTGCAATATGAACCTGAACAATGAAATTCATGTAGTTTTCATGCACGATAGAGTCTCTGGTTTTACACACACAAAAAAAAACTCTAACAACTTCTCTTTAAAGCTTATCAACACTAGTGTGGCTAGGAGGGATTAGACCACACAGCGAGGTCACTGACAGGTGGCTATCTCATCAACTCAGCTCTCAAATAACATAAGAAATAGAGGATCATGGGGGACCAACAGGCACCGTTTGGGGAAGTTTTCTATATAGAGGGAGCAAGTAACTACAAGTAGGACAGTGGGGCTTTAAATGAATTAAATTTCTCACCGGTTTCAGGATCCACTTCTGCTTCTGACCTCCGTCCTCCCACGCCCTCTTGAGCAGCTTGAGGTCAAAGGGCAAGACGTAGGTCTGGGGGAAGAAGTTGTAGTCCTTCTTGCCGTAGTGGAGCTGCATGCGATGCAGGTTGCGCCACAGCCGATCCTTGCGCCCAATCTGGAACGACCCTGGTACATGGTTCACCTTCTGGTATTCGCGTATCGACTTGAAAGCAGAAGCCTTCATGTGTTTGCCCCAGTAACCCAGCCACTCATTCGCTTCTGTAAAATATTAATATTAAATAAGCAAATTCATTTATTTACACTTAAAAAGTTATTACACAAGTAATACAATCAACAATTAATAAAAGATGGCATGATCCCACTTCCTTTACTTTTCACCCTCCCTCCCTCCCTCCCCCCCCCCCCCCTCCTCTCTCTATCTCTCTCCCTCTCCCTCTCCCTCTCACCCTCTCTCTCCCTCCCTCCTTCCCGCTCTCTCTCTCCTTTTCTCTCTCTCCAGCTATAAAGTTGTATTTAAAAGTGTATACAAGAATATCTTCATATTTCGGGGTCTAGTACATTTAGTACATTGTCTGTCATCAAAACAAATGTATACATGATCTTATTTACTATCACTAACTTGTACCATTCTAATGTAAAAATGAGTCTTTATAACAGAAAAAGCAGAAAATTTACAATTTCTGTTCAAGCATTCAAAGCAGTGAACAACTTTTAAAGCAAGTACACATGGCAATAACTGGGCCCCATCTTATAAAGAGTTGCGAATGATCCAAAGCAATCGCAAGTTTGAACTTGAAATCTCATGTAGCTGTGATTGATATCAATCGCAAATAAGTTGCAATTAATATCACACTATAAACATGACGGACAAAGAAAGCGAACAGGTGAATATGCATGTGACACACATTTTTACATAATAGCAGTGAAGGGATGTTCCTTTGTATACCTGAGGAACTGAATATTTTGTCCGCTTTTTTTGTCCGTCATGTTCATAGTGTCAACAGTTTGTAAGATGGTGCCCAGGATTTCTACATTCACAACAGACCAATTTCTGTGTGGAATTTTAGGGTTTTCGCTTACTTTTAGTTGATCTGAACCCAGATCTTGCGATGCAGTTCTTGACGACATGCGGCGTGATTGGACTCATTCTCCACTTGAGCAGTTTCCTCAGCTCCCATGGCAAAGGAATAACTATCGAATGATGAAAATACAAAGACAATACATGAATATCACAAGAACTTTAATTTCTGTTCCTCTTCTTCTAACTAAAATTATTGTAATTCTATTATTGCAAAATTATGTCCTGAAGTATGTTAAACTTCAACTTATGTGTATTTTATTTTCTTTCTTGAATCACTTGATGGCCGTTTGCCCACAATCATAAATTTTCACACAACTGCGCCAGGAGTGTCATTTTTGACAGACATGGCGCATTATAAATGTTCATTATTATTATTATTATCATTTTAAATCCAGGTTAAGTTCATGGCCTCCCTTGAGTAGCTTTATGAACAGGAGTGACATTCAAGTCCACAAGCCCCAACTCTCAAATACGAGGCACTTTTACCCAATTGGTGAATAATTACATTGTACAATACCGGTACTTATGAATAAGTTATAATGAGATTGTGTTGACATTGTTGCCTTTTCACGATAAAAAGAATTTCCCTAGTTCAAAAAGTTAATAACGAATGCAATCTACAGTGTATGTAAGAAACGAGTTTACCTTTCACAAAAGAAGGTATGATTAACTATTAGATTCATGCTGCATCAAAAATGAGAATAACTACAGGTCCAAGGGCAGTTAACTACTATAAAAGTCTGTCACGGCAGAATTTATTGAGACATCATATTGTACATTACATTAGGAATGGGAGAGATCATAAGAAATTTGCAAACCTGTCTGGTTCTCCCCGACAAAGTTGATGGTTGGAGGCACTTTACTGAAGAGACTGGCAGACAGCGGGGGATGGGCGTCGTCCGTTCCCGTCGTCAACACCTCCAGGACCCTCTCGCTCTTGGACTTGGAGCCAAGGATCGACGACGCGTCCATTCCGTTCGTCATCTTGAGGAGGGCGTCGATGGCAGAGATACTGCCGCCTTTACTGCTGCTACCACGCTTCGAAGAAGACATGCTGTACGTGGAGTACGTATCCGATTCATCTGGTAGTGAGTAGAGATATCGTTAAGATTTTTCAAAAAGATTTTCTGATAAAATGACATCGGAATTATTCGATATGATAACATATATAAATCAGCCCCTTAAAGGTACTATGTCCCATTTGCAGGCCAAAAAAATGAAAAAGTTAAATTCCAACTGCATTTGAAAGATGATATTCATATAGAACTTCCCTAAAAAAGGTGGGGCTTGAAAATGTCTTCAAGTGGGAAAATAATGACTATTAGTTGTCAAATCGTCTTTAGGGCTATAGAGCCCAAAAGTAATAGTCTTGATTTTCAGACAATTGTACCGAATGGTCATACGTTTTATGCTGTGCAAAGATTCAATCAGTTTAATCTTGGCCATCACAAGAAGTGGGTTATCGATGTAGACAAATGCTCATGTACCCTTTACAACGCTTTTCATGTATGTTATTACCAAAGAAGAAAAAAAAGCCAGTCAGTCACTCAATAGTGTCCGACAGTGAAGTCAAGCAAGTAAACGGGTTTCCTTGCATAATTTGAATATGAGGACACTGCTAACGTTTAAATTTCACAGGTAGGACATACATGACATAATTCCTGCAAAGTTCTACAGCATTTGAGGTTGGCTGCAAAAGGGACATAGTACCTTTAATTGTCAATACTTCAATCAACAGATTAATTTTTTCTCTGATACAAACAAAATTTACATTCAATCTTTCACCTTCACTGTAGTCAGAAGAGATTAGTCATAGCTATCGGACCCTACAAGTCAAAAGATTAATTTGGCCTGGAAACAAAAAGGGCGATAAAAGATAACAGATAAAGAATATCCTCAATATAAAAACAATGCGTTAAATAAAAACAATGCGTTAAATAAAAACAACTTCTCCTCTTACCAAGTAATATGTGAAAAACTACATGTATGTCACTGCAACCAACATATCTCCAACATAATAATTCTTGTTATCTTAGTAGATGATTTTACTGCATCTCTAACTTAAGTACTTTGGCGTGATCCTCACAAATTCATGAGCAAATCAAAGGTAGACTACAATTATGTATTTATAGATGTGTCATCACCAGTGAGAAAGATTTAGATAAAAGTCATGTACACCAGAGAATCACAACACAATACAACCACTGTACTCTACAAGGTTATGTACTTATGGGGGGGGGGGGGTATTGCTGTTTGGTTTACAACCATTCACCAACAACTCATTTGGTCTATTCCCATATGGTCTACACCCAGCCCGTCTACTATCCACAGACATGGTCTAATAATAATTTAATCATGAATCATAATAATCATCAAATGATTATTAGACCTTATGGATGGTACATATAGATGAAATGGGCATTAGCCAAACTGGGCATTAGCCAAACTGGATATTAGACTAAATGAACAATAGACCAAATGGGTGGTAGACTTATTGGAGAATAGCCAGAGTGGAAAGTAGACCAAATGGGTACTTGCCTAAATGGCCATTAGACCAAGTGATAAGTGAACAAAATGATAATAAGACCATGTGGAAAGTTCATGTGCTATAGTGCTACAGGTATAGACCATATGGGAATAACTAATTGGGTAGTAGACGAACTGGTTGTAGACCAACGGCAACTCACCCTTGGAGGTCATAGAGGTAGTATCACAAATAGATACAAAATAAAGTTTACTTGTGATACAGGCTTTGATGCAAAAGAAGGAGTCAAACAAAATCATCCTAACAAATATTTTTAAAATAAAAAAAATATGAACAATACGGTACATCCAAAGCATTCATGAATAGAAATAATTAGAAATACAGGTACACAAACACAAGTGTGTTCAAGGCTTACAAAACATTATGAGCCTAGCGGAGGCCCGACACCAGTGCATTTACCATTTATAATTCAAAATCTTCCAAAATCAGAACCCCAAAATACCAACACCAACCATGCATTATCAGAGTTTTAACAGTGAATATAAAGACTCACCATAAAAGATAGAAAGACCTGTATCAAAAATTTATTGACATTTTGAAAAGTATTTACAAAAGTTAGAGTATTTAGGTGATTGGCGACGATGATAAATAAAGAAATACATTTTAATCTAGCTGTAAATTACTTGGTCCAAATAGTGATAATTGAAACACTTAATTCTGTATCTGCACCTTTAGTTTTTAGAACAGTTTTAAATATCTACGGGAACCATGACTTTAAACTGTTTTTCAAGGCCTTTGTCAGAATTTACTGGCATAGAAATAGAATTGGTGCAGTTTCTCATAATTAATAGGCAGAAGACCAAGTGTGTAGCATCTCTAAGAAAACCAAAGGATGTCCACAAACTTAGATTTCAGTAACGATGGTTTTCAGAAATTGGCCCGAAATAGTTTAAATAGTACTAAAAGCATTTTTCCTAAAGTTTGAGTAAAGTAATGTTCATAGATTTTCAGTTTAGGTATCGACCCTGATCATTTTGATATACAATCAAACCTACTTTAGCAACCACCAGTATAGAAAGACCACCTGCCTATAAAGACCAATTTTCATGTTTCCCTTGAGGTCAAGGTCTTTATATACAGGTTTCACCGTCTTTGCTTATTGGGTGTACTTTCAGAGAACATAAATCCTTTGCTTCGGATTGAGTGGTCTGAATATCATCATATTATGTTTAGTACATTCAATCTTTGTACAGTCAAACCTGCTTTAGTTGACCACCTGTCTACAAGGACCACATTTATTGTTTCCCTTGGAAATGGTTTCTCATTGAAACATGTACTAAAGGAACCTGTCTACAAAGGCCACTTTTTGTGTTTCCCTTGGGTGGTCGCCATAGATAGGTTTGACTGTATTTTGTAAGCCTTCACCTTTTTAAATGATTAAGTTTTTCTTACCATCGTCCATTCCGTCATCATCCAAGCCATCGAGACCGTCGTCCTCATCAAAGTCATCGTAAGAAGCTCCATCTGCTGGCAATCGCTCGCTGAAGACGCAGGGCAGGTGGAGAAGAGGGAAGCGGAATCAGAAGAAAATAAATTGAAATCAATTCAATTCAGCTTAACTTGATATCCAAATCATTACAAAAGAAAATCACAATTTTGTGAAAATAAGTTTATATGTAAAAATAACAATTGAAAAAGAAAAAGGAAACTAACAAAAAGCAGAGTTTATGGGAGGGGGGGAACAATTATTTTGCTAACATAGAAGATACGTGTCAGATGAAAGGGGAGTGAAAATTAAGAGGGTATATATTTAGGAACAAAGAAAGATGAAGATCATTAATGAAGTAAAAGTATTTAGAGGATTTTCTAAATGGTACTGAATAGGTACCAGTATTTAAACTTGCAATTAGTCATATTTCAAGTTGATCATTTGAGGACACATAGTAGAGAACCTCCATGGAATCCGTAACATAAAGGGCAAAGAAATCTTTAAACCTTTTAAGGCTTGTTGACATGTGACAGTGTCTAAAAACAGAAAATTGCATTGGATTTTTAGAATAACTTTTTTAAAGCACAACACGCTCCATATTTTTGTTTCTCAAAACATACAGATAGTGAGAAGACATACATGTAGTCCTCGACCTTCGTTGCGCACAGCTAATTATTTTTATTTCCACTTGCCATATACTTAATCAAATAAAAATAAATGATGCCCAAAACCATCATGAAGAAGTGATTGTTGCCCAGGCTTACCTCATGAGAGGATCAAATTGTTCTTCTTCATTCTCATCTACATCACACCATTCCTCTCCGTCCTCTGAGAGGCTCTCCTTCCTCGTTCTACCGCTCTTCTTGCTTTGTTCACTCCTCGACGCGGACGACCCCACCTCCCTCCTCCTCGTGGGACTCAAGGTCGGGGGCGGATGGGGCAAAGGGCGCCCTCTCCCGACAGGATTAGACAGCTTCACATCACCGAGCTTGCTTTGAGAACCTGCTGAATGGTAAGCCCGTCCATTCGCAAGGGGTTGTTTTTGTTTTGTACCGCTCGTAGGCCGACCCGGTCGGGGTTTGGTCCCGGAGGGTGGCTTGGTGTGAAGAGGCGATTGTCGTATTGCACCGTTCAGGCTACTGTTCTGCGTCTTTATAGCGAAAGGGGTCGACACGATGCCGGACAGCACCCTTGCGCTGCCCGGCCGATCGCTAAACAACCCACTTACATTTGATCGATTGTTCCCAGTCACTTTGTTGGTTGGCTGTTTGATCTTATTGTTTGCATGAGGTTCCTCCCCTCCTACAGCAAGAATGGGTCTACTTCTTAAGGAGGGAGGTTCCACTTGTTGCCTCAAGGGGAGCGGCTTCCCGTTCCCTGATAAGGCGAGGTTTTCCAAGCCCCTCTGCAACGTGGCTCGGATTTCTTCTATTTGTATAGCTGTAGCCATGATGGTCGGTTACATGTTCATTCTTTCCTTTTGTTCAAATCTTTGTTGAGAGAAATATTTTGTTCCTTGGCTGTACTTGTTGTCATCCTCATTACTGATCAGTTATTCCTACATTGTACAAAAGAAAGAGAGATGTTTAAAAAAAATTACAATGCACTTACAAAATGTACTTCATTACTTTTGTAAATTATCAGATTTTTCATCTGCATTAATTAAACAGTAACACTTAAACAATAACTGTGAGGCATGTATAGTGGTGTGACCATAGATTGCGCTAACCTAAGTTCGCTATCTCAAAAAATTGGTAAGAATTTAATAATCTGATATCACCAATGTAAAGAGGAACATAATTACCCAGAAATGAATTATTTTTTCGAATTCAGTATAATTACTGAAATTATTGACAAAAGATCGGCAAATTTCATCCTCAAAATTGTAACTTAAGTGGTAACAACTGATTGTATGACACACTTACATGTATCTGGTCTTGCAAATTATGAAATTACCTTATTTTAGATTAGTCACATTAGAGTAAAGGAGGGGGTAATCGACCAGCTCCAGTTTTCGGTCGATCCGTTGGATGCATGATAAAATCCTTTTAAAATACATCGCATAATAGCATAACACATATTCCACACATACCATACCATGCCAGAGTCACTGAAGAACCACATTTGCAATGGAAAATATATCCTAAAATATCACATTTTAGCGATGTAATCGATGGTCCCGCTACCCAAATCTGAAAAATCGAGTATCTTATACACGTGTCTGTAAGAAATACGGGTACCATAAAATGAGCTTTATTTCAAGTATTTTTCAGATGTAGAGCCCGATTTTGTGTTAGTCACAAGCTCAAAAGTATCTCATCGCATGTATTAAATCAATGCAGCCGAACACCGCGACACACACACGATATGTCCATCTAATTCAGATTCCAGTTTCCGATCACCGCAGTGCTAGTTTTCGACCAAGCGAGCACTGGGGAGTTCCGGCGTGGGATACCTGCTCCGCCCGCTTGTGCTATAGATCAGCGGGGAAACGCACGGCGTGCACGCGCGCTTCCTATTGACTTTGTACATGCGGTCGTAAACTGACTCGCTAGGTTGATAACCGGATCCAAAACAGTGAAAATTGAAATGAATATTGTCATGGCAATTCGTGATTTTTTTTCTGGGTTTCTTTTTTTGTTTAAATAATAATAATATTTGCTTCATGATTTGAACAAGAAATGATAATAAATAGGAAGTAAAGGATCCAAAAAATAGGATTTTGTCTTAAGTGGCCGAAAACAGGCTCCTTTACTCTACGTGATGTTTTTATGACTTTTTTAGTTGCAGCACACACGCTGATCCGACATCTACGGAATCATTCAACAATAAATTTTTTTAATTTGTCAGTAGGGGCGGCTGGTCAAAGAATAAGGATCGTCAGCATAAACAAGGATATCCTCTTAAAGATCGTGTCCCCCCAAAAAAGGATCGTCCGCATTTTCGTGGACGATACCGATCCGCGTGTTGGTGATGAGAAAAACCGATTCCACAATGATGCTCCACGCTTACGCAGCACAGAGACTTTCACGTACTGAACGATAAATCCTCGAGAAGACAGACAACTCATAAAAGGAGACTGTGAACTGGGCCAGTGAGGGTATTTTATTACGCAGCATCCGTTTTTCGCATTGCCAGCGAGGCGAATCTCTGTAACACCACAGAATCTCAGAATGGTGTCCAGACATTGCTTAGATCTAACTCAAGTAACTGTTAGAATCACTAACGTCTAGTAGTCTAGAGGTGGTGTCGCTTCCGCGCATTTATTAACTTGATGCACAGTTCTTTTGGAGGCATAGTTTAAAAAGGTTTGGACTTTGGGAAGAGTTCAGGGCAGGGTTTTGACACCTGGCGTGAGGCTGTTCCAGTTAGTCTTATTCTTATTTGGTATGACTAGATCTAGGCCCTAGAGTTTAGTACAGTAATGATTATGAAGCTGTTCAGAGCGCTGAAAAAAGGATGATGATCCTTATTTTTTAGGACACGATTTGTCTGCATTTACAAAGATATCCTTGTTTATGCGGACAATCCTTATTCTCAGACAGACCAGCTTCCTACTCAGCTACTGACTGTTTGTAGTCTACTTTCTGCAGTAAAAAGTTTGCCGTCCGCCCCCCCCCCCCGGCCCCCTCTTTTTCTTCCATTCTTTTCTGTAACTGTGCGGATGTGATCACTCACCATTTTCAACACTTGTCTTCGATGGCTCTCTGCCTCTGAAACACGCATACTTGATGGCAATTACCTACGGCATTTTAATCTAGATCATTGCACAAAGTTAATACTTCTTCCATTTTAGTTTTTACTGAGTCATTTTAAAGTTTAAGCCTCTTTTTCTTCATTGCTCCCTTGCTAACAAATTTACAGTCACAGCAATTCAACACAGCACATTACAGTGCATGCAGCAGCAGCAGCATTGCATGCAATGAACGCTTAGCAACACTGGAAGTAGAATACTGTACCAGGAGTTTCTCGGCGTGTGTGAATGTCAGCACGCGCACATTCATCTATCGTTTGCAAGAACGTCGGGATTTTACGTATATCAACCGTCCTTTCATAACCTTTGACACGTTATGGCTGTTGCATACTCCAGTGCACATGCGCGTGATTTAAAGAATCCTGGACAACTCGCCACAAAGACAACCCGCCCCAAGACAACCCGCCACAATACCCTGGACATCCCGCCACAATACCCTGGACAACCCGCCACAATACCCTGGACAACTCGCCACAGCCTTTTCGGACAACTCGCCACACTTTTTTCCCCTCATGATTTCTAGATCTAAAATCCCTCATCTTAGATGAAATTGTCATTTTTCATGATTTTCGTGCTTTTATAAACACAGTTATGACAGGAAACATGGAAATTGTGAGTATTTTGAGAGCTGTTCTAAAGAATAAAGATGATTTTCCTTGCGCTTGCAACAAGAATCTATTTTGGACGAATCCAAGCCAGGCGTACGACTACGAGTTACGACTAGAAATCTACGATTTTTAAGTTCATGTCTCAGGAAACTTTTTGATGGTAGGAATATGCTGCTATGTATCTTTGGCGTATCTTTACATTCTAATATTACCTTTTTTTTTTTACCTCAAACGGGACAATAGGTTACTAATAAGTTTAAATGTAGCGAGAGGACTCTCTAATAAGCAAGGGGAGCTTGATTATCACCTGTCATTCAAGAAGATACCTGTCATGATTACATTCAAAATTTTACGTAACGATTACTTACCTATCGTAAACCATTATTTTTTAGTATACTGTAAGTGTGGCTTCATTACTATTACCGTTATCATCATCATCAGAAAAACCTTGGCGAAAATAGCCAACCAGTCATTTTCTTTTTACTTAAAGTTAGTCTCCCCCCCCCCCCCTATTTCCAGACTGTCCCTTACCTATACCTTACCAACATTTCTTCATTTATTAACAAACTCGTTTTTTCCTGGTTTGCTCTATTGTACTTTTTCTTTTCTCTCTCCCTCTCTCTCTCTCTTCTATTTCCTCCCCATCACATTTTGTCATACATAACTTTCTTCCTTCTCAACTTTTCTCTGTTGTTGGTTTGTTCTCTTTTTGCGCTTATTGTACTTTTTCTTTTCTCTCTCCCTCTCTCTCTCTCTCTCTTTTCTATTTCCTCCCCATCACATTTTCTCATACATAAAACTTTCTTCCTTCTCAACTTTTCTCTGTTGTTGGTTTGTTCTCTTTTTGCGCTTTCGCGCTCCATCTTAATGTATATTCTTCCCGTTTTCTCTTTTTCGTATATAATATATCAATCTATCTCTTTTGTAAATATTTCCCATGTGTAATTGTTTCTAGTCTGTTAAGGAAGTTTAGTTGTTAAGTATTTTTGTATTCAAAGTAATTGAGGCTTGAGCGGCACACCCTGTCCAGACCAAATCTGAGTACCCTGGGGGGGGGGGGGGGCTGTACCCGGGATAGCTGCCTTCTGGAGGTCGTATAGATGAAGATGAGAGATCTTGGTTATGCAGTATAGGCTTCCAAGTTCCATTCCCTTCACCATTCCTGTGTGTTCGATGATGATTGGAGTGACATCCGCTTTGTTCAGATCAATGCCAAAACACTCCCACTTTTTTAACAATTAAAGCATCTAAAATGTTTATGATATAAATAATTTAATATTGCTATATTTCTGTTTATGTGGCAAGGGTTTATTGCAAAGGTCCATGTCATGTAAATTTAAATTTAATTATGAAATACATTCTCATGAAACTCGTAATGCTGGTAATTTTCATTTTCCTAAAATTCCGTACAAATTAATGTTTTAAAGGGCCAGTTTTATGGGAAAATATCCCGTTTAATATGAAAAACTCTAATTAAATTAGTATTTTTAAACGATTGTATAAATCCCATATTCTATCATTGTATTCCAGCCAAAATATATGACATTACGTTTAAGTTAATGCACTTCTCCTTCCTTTTTTTCTTCTTCTTGGTGTTCAGGTACCCTCTGCTTTCCCTTTCCCTTTTTTTCTTTTCTCAACAATACAGTATATACTTGCTAAGGGATTGACGCTAATAAGGCTAATTGCCCTTTTTGTTAATCCCACAGTTTTCTTGTAATCAATCTTTTATCTGATAAGATAAAATTTCATTTGACTCTATGGACCCCCTTCAGGGGTATGATAGCACCACATATTTACAACACAATACAGAAAAATATATATGACTGTGCATGGGCAAAAGTGCGAAACTAACCCAGAAAATCTAGAAATAAACAAAATTTCAATTTTATTTCGCGGGTCAACTGCCCCCTCCCCTATCAGTACGCCAGTGCTTCCAGTAGGCCTATCCTTCCATGAATTCCTACCATTAAAAATTATCAGAAGGGAAAAGGACATGTACAAAGGATAAGGGGGCACTTTAGGGGAACCTGGAAAAGTGGGGCACAGTGTCCCCCCCCCCCCCCCCCCAACCAAGAATGCCGCCTCTGACGAAACTAACCCAGGAAATCTAGAAATAAACCACATTTCAATTTTATTTCGCGGGTCACATATCAATTCCTTTCATAGCAAAAGCGCTCCTCACAATTTCTGTAAATTTGGCAGTTTAACGCTACGCGTACCGCCTTGACCGGACTGTGCGGTATCTGTGCAGTTCTGTGTGTAGAGAGGTCGGGCTGTATTCATTATTTCTTGGGGGTGCATAAATTGCTCTAATTATACGTACGCGTGTAATGCGCAAGTTTATTGTGACGGCACTAAACCCATCCCACTCATTGTTACCCTATTTTCATAATGGTACTGACCCAATCAAATGTAGTGCAGTGCGCTCGTACGCGCTGCGCTGCGTGTGTACATGTACTGTACTTATGCATGTTCAGTTATGGCACAGTCACACGGCCACTTACGGTAGCTGCGGATGCTTACGGATAAAAGTCCGTAAGCATCCGCAAGGATCCGTATCATCCGTAAGCATCCGTATCCATCCGTAATTCAATCCGCAGGATCCGCAGACATACGCAGATCCGCAGCGGAATTTTGAAAATCTCAAAATTTTGCTGCGGATGAAATATACGTAAGCATCCGCAGAATATACGTTATCCATACGTAAAATACGTAACTCATACGTAAGATACGTAAACTCATCCGCAGGATACGTTAGATACGTAACTGATCCGCACACTTTGTCGGGTGTGCGGATGCCTGCGGATACATAGGGGTACGTAAACACTATTACGTAGGAGTTACGTATGTTTAACGTATTTTTGACATATATATTGCGGATCTTACGATAGGACTTGCGGTAATTGCGTATGCTTGCGGATGGGATACGAATATTACGGATGGGATACGGATGTTACGGATTGGATATGTATGTTACGGTTGAGATACGGATAATATGCGGAATTTTTACCTATGTCTTCTTTCATTTCGGCGGATGTCGCCTATGCCAAATGGTCTTCACTTGGGTATGCAACCCTGGATGCTGCCAGCATCCTCATCATTGTCAGTTCTTCAACTGTAGACTTTCACAGGTCACTCAAGATGGAGAGAGAACGCCGCCTTGTGTTGCTGGATTGTTTGATGGCCATCCAACACAATCAGATGCAGATGAAGATCCTGATGGCCAAGATGCAAGCCATCCTTGAAAGGAGAAAAGAGAGGATGTGTTGGGTTCGTCACTGGATCACATTGCGACCACACCAGGGTGCCTATGGTAACCTGATGCACCTGCTACGCAATGAGGATGTTCAGGGCTTCCGCAACTTCACCCGCATCACACCTGCCATGTTTGCCGAAATGGTCACCCGCCTCACTCCTCGCTTACAGAAGTATGATACCTGGTACAGGAAGGCCCTTCCAGTAGGCTTGAAGGTCGCCATCACCATGCGCTACCTTGCCAGTGGGGACTCCTACCACAGCCTGATGTACCTATTCTATGTACCCCACAACACCATCTCACTCTTGGTGTTGGACGTGTGTCAGGCCATCTACGCTGAGTATGGCGAGGAGACCATCAGCAACCCATCTACTCCAGAGGGGTGGAAGGGCATTGCCCAGACCTTCTCCGACCGGTGGAACTTCCACCATTGCCTGGGAGCCTTAGATGGCAAGCACATCCGCATCAAGGCACCCGCGAACTGTGGCTCCCAGTTCTACAACTATAAGGGGTACAACTCGATTGTACTCCTTGCCCTGGTTGATGGCAACTACAAGTTCCGGTGGGTGGAGGTGGGAGCAGGTGGTGCGAGTTCTGATGCCCAGATTTGGAACACGTGCAGTCTGAAAGAGGCAATTGACGATGAGAACATTGGAATACCACCAGATGAGCCACTGCCTCATGACGATCGAGACATCCCTTATTTCGTGATTGCTGACGCTGCATTTGCACTACGCACCACCCTGATGAAGCCTTTTGGTGCCAAGCCACTGACCATGGAGGAGAGGATATTTAACTATAGACTTTCCAGAGCCAGGAGATGTGTGGAGAATGCCTTTGGCATTCTTGCAAACAGATTCCGGTGTCTTCTGAGTGCTATGGCACAGGTGCCTTCCACAGTGGAGACCATCGTCCTCGCCTGCCTGTGCATCCACAACCTCCTGAGAGACCAGGCATCCGCTGAGCAGAATGGCATGATGGACAGAGAGGACGACCAGCACAACATCATCCCGGGTGCATGGAGAGAGGGGGCGTGCTGGATGACATGCAACAGAGGCTTGCTGGCAACTACACCACCAAGATTGCCAAGCGCCAGCGCCTGTACCTCAAGCATTACTACAATGGCACCGCCGGAGCAGTTCCCTGGCAGCAGCGCATGGCCTAAGCAGTTGGCCAAACATAACAAACAGACAAATCATGCAACTCTTGATGCTTAAATTTGACAACAAAAAAATTGAACAAGGTAACGAAAGGATGTAAATTTATTTATAAAATCTGTGTTGAGAAAATCTTTAAAACTCCTATTTCACAAAACAAATGGAGGAACATTGTTTCAAAACCAATTGTTACTTGGGACAAAATTTATATGATTCCTTTTAAATGTTCTTTATCAAGAAAACTTAGATATTTACAATATAAAATTCTTCATAATATCCTTGGTGTTAACAAGTATCTGAAAACTGTTGGTATATTAAATTTGTGTTCTTTTTGTTCAAAACACTCTGAAACTATTGCCCATTTATTTTGGGAATGCCCCTTCAATCGTCGATTTTTAGATGATTTTGAAAAATACACTCTCAAAAGTGAAATAATGTTATCTTTTAATGATTTTGTATTTGGCATACCAGGTGGAAATTATTCTTCTTTTAATTTTGATATTTTATATGCTAAATATTATATATTTTCAACTAGGTGTTTAAATGGTTATTTATCGTTTTCATCATTTAAAAAGAAATTAAAATATCAGCATGAGATAGAACGCGTTATGAACACGCAACGAAATAAGTGTATTGTACATCTTGATGGGTCGAGGCACATCGAGCTTATTTAAATTTTGTTTTGCTATATTTTGTTTTCTATACATGTATAATATTGTTTGTAATGTATTACATGCATTTTGCATTTGACTATCGTCGGTGGGCGTCCAAAATCTCGTAAGTCGTTTTTTTTTTTTGGAAAACACTTTTGCGAACTTTTGGAAGCAGTATCACTCGACTAATTATCTGTAAAAATCTCGTATACCATCTTGTCACATGGTTAGAAATCCACTTTTCCATTGGCTATGGTATACGAGATTTTGACAGATAATTAGTCGAGTGATACTGCTTCTAAAAGTTCATAAGTGTTTTCCAAAAAAACAGACTTACGAGATTTTGGACGCCCACCGACGTTATATGATTTGTGGAGAAATATTGAATAAAGACTTTCTTTGAAAAAAAAAACAGTCTGTATATCTGCAAACAGTCTGTATATCTCCAAGCAGTCTGTAAATCTATCAAAGCACATTATGGTAAACATTTATAAAAAAAAGTATTCTGCAAATCATATTTTAAATAATACTGGAGAGTCTCTGTCTCACAAGATAGAACACACATCACTCTAAGTCCTTCAAGAGGCTGCTGAATGAATCTCCTAGTCCGATCCAAGTGGGTTTATATGCGGATGGTGCGGACGCCAGAGGAAGCCGACATGCGCAGACACGAGCGTAACTTATCCGTATCGTCCGTAAGTCATCCGTAAAATCCGTAAGTCATCCGTAAGTCGTCAGTAACATGTGTCAGCGGGTTGGCAGCGGATGGGTTCATCCGCAGGTTTTACCCGTAACATCCGTAATTCATACGTAACATCCGTAACTAATCCGTATCGTCCGCAGAATATAGGTAACTTTTGCTCAAATTTCCGTATTGGGGTTAAAAATTACGCATTTTCATTATCCAAATATACGCAGGCATCCGCAGGTCCGTAACATGGCCGTGTGACTGTAGCATTATATGTGTATGCATAGCATTACGTACATGCATACGGCTAGCTGGCACAAAACCCTGGGTCGGGCTTCTAAAATGGGACATGAAGCATGATTTAACATGAAAAATGACGGAGCTAAAAATGAATCAATCAAAATGAAATTTATATGTATGAAAAGCTTACGTATCATATGTCATTGTCTGTGATTGAGGATTTACAAATTTGACGCAAAACGCGTTGCTGCAAAGTTAAAGATTGGTTTATCGAAAGGCAATCGAGCACAGTACGACCGATCCATTGACATTGTGTATGAGAGAGTAATTTTTTTTAAATGGATTGTAAAGTTCAACGTCAAAGTGACGGAGGTTTTTTTTCAAGTAAGGGCATGGTTTTACATGGAATGTAAAGGAAATGTTTCCTTCTTCTCATATCTCGATTGAGGATATTATTCTCAATTTCGATTTTAAATGGTAAAGAAAAGTGTAAAAAGATGTCGAGAATTTTACCATATGTCATGTAATATAAAATGCGCGCGGGTCGGTTGATCTCCCAAAAGGAGCGCGAAGGAATTGATATGACTGCCCACCCCCCCCCCCCCCCCCCCTATCAGTACGCCAGTGCTTCCAGTATCCTACCATAAACAAATTCTGGGACAGAAAAATGCAGCTGTTACAGACCTCTAGATCAAAAGTATATTATTGTTACAAGGGAAATCAACTCTATTATTTTTAATGACTGTTTATAAAAGCACGAAAATCATGAAAAATGACAATTTCATTTCAATATATATTATTGTTACAATTAGGGAAATCAACTTTATTCTTTGTAATGACTGTGTTTATAAAAGCACGAAAATCATGAAAAATGACAATTTCATTTCAATATATATTATTGTTACAATTAGGGAAATCAACTTTATTCTTTATTCTTTGTAATGACTGTGTTTATAAAAGCACGAAAATCATGAAAAATGACAATTTCATTTCATTTTAGATCTAGAAATCATGATGGGAAAAAGTGTGGCGAGTATGACTGTGTTTATAAAAGCACGAAAATCATGACTGAAAAATGACAATTTCATTTCAATATATATTATTGTTACAATTAGGGAAATCAACTTTATTCTTTATTCTTTGTAATGACTGTGTTTATAAAAGCACGAAAATCATGAAAAATGACAATTTCATTTCATTTTAGATCTAGAAATCATGATGGGAAAAAGTGTGGCGAGTATGACTGTGTTTATAAAAGCACGAAAATCATGAAAAATGACAATTTCATTTCAATATATATTATTGTTACAATTAGGGAAATCAACTTTATTCTTTATTCTTTGTAATGACTGTGTTTATAAAAGCACGAAAATCATGAAAAATGACAATTTCATTTCATTTTAGATCTAGAAATCATGATGGGAAAAAGTGTGGCGAGTTGTCCGAAAAGGCTGTGGCGAGTTGTCCAGGGTATTGTGGCGGGTTGTCCAGGGTATTGTGGCGGGATGTCCAGGGTATTGTGGCGGGTTGTCTTGGGGCGGGTTGTCTTTGTGGCGAGTTGTCTGGACCCCGATTTAAATATCTTGTTGTGTTTACATTTCACACGAAGCTCGTGCAACAAAAAGCTGAAAAGTTTGCTGAAAATAAATCAAAAACAAATGAATGCTATCAGCTAGAGTATATTTGTAACAATTGTTACATTTTCTAAAGTCAGATACAAGAACAATGTCTACACAGGAGCAACTTTGTGACTTTAAAAAGTCGGATTCGGACACTAGCGTCAGGTCGACGACCGAGCTTGAAGAAGCAGGACGGTGAGTAACATTCGGCCCGCTGCTGCCCCGGTAGCTAGTAGTAGCATTGACCCTATGGTTTTCCTAGTCAGGCCGCGGCCGGGCAGCTAGCTAGAGCTAGCAGCTAACTCCAGCTCCTGGGAGCTGCGACGCAGAAGGCATCGGCGTCGGAGCTCCCTGGAGTTTGCTATAGCAGCTAGCAGCTCAAGCGCTCATGCTGCAACTTTCTTTTCCTCTCTAGGCCTATGTTTTCTTCTTCCTCTCTAGACTTCTAATTTACTGGTTAGGTCTAGGTACACCGTACAGACCGCTGTTTAAACTCTCTCTCTCTCTCTCTGTTATTTTTCTTCCCTTCATTCTTTTCATTCTGTCTTTTTCTTTTTAAAATTTCTTCTGACTTTAGCCTTAGGCTTTCTTTTTATCTTTCAACTTTAAGTTTTAGTTTCACCATGTTCACTTTCAGCAGGTGTTCAGTTTCGCTCTGAGCTGAAAGCCTGCTGAATCTAACTTTAGACTCTAGAAGTCTAGTCTAACTCTAGACCGAATTTTTCTGTCTCTTTCGTTCGTTAGCCTCTGATTTGGGTAGGTCGGCTCTCTCTTTAGAGACAGAACAGCCCCATACGCTGTAGTGGCCGCGCGTTTGTACTAAGAAACGTTACACAAAACTTGGCCAAACTTAATCCCTAATTTTGATATTTTACCAGATGCGTATCCGATGCATTTTAAGTCCTAAATTAGCTAAATACTTAACTTCTTCGGTTCCACTTACCAACTTGACTGGAATAATCCGTTTAATGGTCCATTTTTAGGAAATTATGGGTCAAGATCGACATCCAAGAAGAAAATCTTGCAGCCGAGTCTCATTCTTTCTAGTCTACGCCGAAGGCAAAATGATTATAACGGAAAAACTGCACGAGCTACGAGTTCGTAATGACATGCACAGTTTTTCCGTTATAATCATTTTGCCTTCGGCGTAGACTAGAAAGAGTGAGACACAACTAGGCGTTGTGGCGTGCGCCTGTAATCCAGCTAAAAAAGTGGAAGTTACAAACTGATTCAGCCGAGGACGCAGGTTCGAAACTGAGTCACGTCTTTCGGATGGTGACGTTTAAAGGTCGGTCCCAGACGTAAATAATCATATCTGATTGATACACGTCTGTAAAAACCCAATACACACACACACACGGCTGCAAGATTTTCTTCATGGATGTCGATCTTGACCCATAATTTCCTAAAAATGGACCATTAAACGGATTATTCCAGTCAAGTTGGTAAGTGGAACCGAAGTAGTTAAGTATTTAGCTAATTTAGGACTTTAAATGCATCGGATACGCATCCGGTAAAATATAAAAATTAGGGATTAAGTTTGGCCAAGTTTTGTGTAACGTTTCTTAGTACAAACGCGCGGCCACTACAGCGTATGGGGCTGTTCTGTCTCTAAAGAGAGAGCCGACCTACCCAAATCAGAGGCTAACGAACGAAAGAGACAGAAAAATTCGGTCTAGTCTAACTCTAGATTCTATACCCATGATACCTAGATCTAAGTCTTATCTTTCTTTCTAGACTAGATCTAGGGAGTCTAGACTCTTTCTAGAATATCTAGATCTATTTGTTTCTTTCTTTTCCCTTTTTCTTTTTAAAAATATTTTCAAGACAGTTGGTGCCTTTGGTGGTCCATGGTCTAGACTTAGAGTTAGACAGAAATAACCGTCTGGTATGGCCTATGGGTCGATCATTCTTTAATAAAACTGACATTTGTCATCATTCCCCAGTACATGGCACACTGTACTCTGACTGTAGACATGAGGCGGTCAGAGGAGCCAGATGTTATCTCAATTATTTTATTTGGGTTTTCCTTTTTGGAATCATTTATTATTCATGCTGTTCTGCTTTACTCATTGAGTCTACAATCTACATGACTGCCATTTTAAATTTGTAATATAGGTCAAAAAAGTAAGATCACATCAGAATTGAAAATGAAAGATGCAATTTGATATTCAATTTCTTTTATAATTACATTTTTTAAGGGTTTAATTAAAACCATCTTAATAGATCTAAAAATCACATTTTCACAATTCTGTCATCCTTGCTGTCAGTCAAAATTCCCAATTTATGATATATTTTTTTTATAGAAAATGAGGTGCAAGCACAATTTTTGTTAAACATTAAAAAGTTAACACTTTAGGTCCTTTTTTTCTTCCCATTACAGAATGCTGCTAAATGACCTGGATGATGATGGAGAGAAAGAAATTTTCTTTGGTCCTATGACTGATAGGGAGAAACTGAAGTCCAAGAAGATGCGAAGAAAGACCAAAGTTTTCAAGCCTGGCTTCAGAGTCGATTGTGACGAAGAGGAGGAGGAGGAGCATGGTAGAGAGGGGATAGGGGAGGAGCCAGCAGGAGAACTTCAAGGTGCACAAGAATCTGCTGATATTGAGGCCATTGAGGAGAGAGATGTCAGAGAGGACAGACTCAGTGATTGTGGAAGCAATATTTCTGATGTGTCACCATCATCCTTATCCTCACAGAGCACCTGCTCCTCTTTAGGGAATACAGAGATCAAAGAAGGAGATTTAGAAGAAGATTCAAATCCTGGCACGGGCCTGTCCACATGGCACACTCCGTCACCCACTCAGAAGAGATTAAGAAGTTCAGAATCTGCTATCAATGTGAACGCACCGCCTTTCAGTCTGGTCACCGTGTCCCCACAAGCAGATGCAGCAGCGGTCAGCGAGCATTATGGTTCCTGTGGCGTTGAGCTGTTCAGTGCCACAGATAGTGTGACTGGCTGCGATGCAACCTGTGTTGAGACAGGCATAGATGGATCAAGTAGGGATGAAACCAAGACCACAGATAGTGTGACTGGCCAGATATCGGAAGCTCAGTCGCCAACCCTTTCCTCTACAGAAACGGTGCCACCTGCTGTTGCAAAACCAACCCCAAGTAAGACCACTGGACACTGTGGACAGAGTACTGTCATTTATTCAAGCCCACTCTTAATTTCCACAACCGTTCAGAGAGTCCAAATGCAACAGCCAATTTGCTATGGCAACGACAGCAGTCTTATTCATGTCCCTGCTGCTGATGTGGTCAGAAGGGACAATTCGGAGATGGGAACCGACGTGGCCCATCAAACAGATCCCAGTTCATCGAAAGAAAGAAATGTTGCATCTTCTGCTTTTTTCCCTACTGGACACACTGCCTTTGGTAAACCTACCAGGAAGATAGATGATTTGGCTGCCTCACAGAATTTGCTTCCAACCCCAAGCGCAGTCTACCAATCTCCCTCGTCAAATGCAAGATACTTTAACCAAGCAACGAACAACGATCAAGGACTCTGCACTTTGCCACCAAGCATGCTGCACAAGGAGAATGTAAACCCAGATAGACAACCAAACGCAGTGTTAGTTGCCTCCGACTCTGCTGTCAAGTACCAAGTACTTTCTTCCGTCTCATCACCGATAGTCTCTGCACTCTGTAGTAAACAGCCCTCACATTATCCATCTGGTGATGCACAGCAAGCACCTTCACCTAGAGTTCTCCAGCTGTCCAACAGGCAGGCGTCCGCTGGGTCACCCTCTGCCGACGCTAGGCAGCGGCTGATCGATGAAAAGAGAGCCCTCTTGGCCCGTCTAAGGGCAGAGAAGCAGGAGCTTCGACAGCGAATAAAGGAAGATAATGAGAAGGTTAGTAAACCAAATATTCTAAACTTTTATTCAGTGGAAGATTTGGTTTTTGCGGAAGAAAATAGCCCAATCTTATCCCAATTTTGTTCTTTCAAAGTTTTCCTGAAACATGGAGGTAACTGTATTTCTATCTGTTTCACAATCAATGAGATTGTTTCTCTCAACTTCAAGTGAGGCAAAAAAAGTAGGTTTTTTCATTTACATTTAAAAATAATATACATGTACTTAGAAAAATCTAAACTATGATTTTTGCAGTAATATTAATATTAAAGGTAATACAAAGTTTTGGTGTGAGGTCATGAATTTGGTTCAAATGAACATATTGGAAGCTTCAAGCATATGCGATCTTACAATATTCAGTGATCATTGTCGCAGTTGAAATCGAGTCTAAGTTATGAAATTGTAAATGATGAACTCTTTATGTTGTATAGCTCCCTCTCAAGGTCAAGATATCAATTAAGCTATAACACAAGTTTCTTGACTTAAGAGATTTCCATGGTCGCAGCTACCATTGTACGGCCGTAGGCGCTATTTGAAATTTATCAAAATTTACTGGGAGCACCGGTAAATTTTTATATTTAATTTTTCTCAGAAGGCAGAAAGCAGAAGTGTTTTGAGGGCTAAATTTTCTAGTGCTTATGATACACCCACAGGAGCATCAAAATATATCAAAATTGTAAAGAAACACTATCCACCCAATTTTAAAAATTTCCCAAAGCTTTGTTCCCTTTAATGTGCTCCACTCAATGACAATGATATGACAGTGATATGTACTCTGAAAATGTTTTTCTTTTTCCGTTCCAGGTTTTCATTGAGTACAGAATACGTTACATTTCAACGAACATGAAGAAACACTTTGTACAATATCTTATACAATCTTTTTTGAAATTCATTTATTGTAGTGTTTCAACATGAAGCTTGAGAATGCTGCTGCTCTTCAGAGTAACATGGTCCGAGGGATGACTCCTGTATTTGATCGGCTACCATCGAGAGGATGTGATGGTCGCGCAGCTCTTACGTTGGTCAGTGTTGGTTATTCCTAGTTTTAAGCTATTAGGGACTTTTAGATTTGCGTGGACTGATACGTGTGACGTCCATTCAAAGCAGTGCATTAAAAGGACGTCGATCGTAGCAATCCATGTTGTCGTTGTGTACAGTACATGTATAATTGGGGGAAAGGACTTACATCATTTGGGATTCATGAAATGAAAATATTTACATTCATTTGTAATAAAGGCAATATTCCCTAAGTCACCTTCAAATACACTGCATAAATAGATGATAGGTAATACAAAAAGAAAAAAAAGAAACAAACAAAAAGTGAGATGTCATCATAGTTCTAAATTCACTCCTCATTCATTTGATTTTCCACTTCGGAAAAAAAAATTAATATGGGGTACATTAATGATGTACACGTGTATGTAATGTACCTTGTTATTCCTTATAGAACCCTCAAGTCAAATGAAATAAATCTTTTCAAATCAGTTTTTAAGGTTAATTTAATTGTCAAGTCATAGAAAGTTTCATCTTTTCATTGTCTTGATGTTCTTTTAATGTAAGAATTAAAATCCAATATGATTTGTCCGGGTCTTGGCTCTGTTCTGTTTATCTCTCTCTTTTTTTAATCCATATCTGATATATTTCTCATCTTAACCTCATCATATTCTTATACATTTATTTTGAAACCAGACTGAGCGAGAATTGGAGGTGGTGACCAAACTGCATACCATTAGGAACAGTCAGCATACTGCTTCAGATAGGACCCAGTCACCGTGCCATCAAGCTATTTGTCATAGAGGTAGGTACAGCAGCATCAAGATTGTCTCACCAGAGCTGCCAACCATTACGTTTTTCCCGGATTTATTCTGTTTTTCCTCCAAATTACGGTAATACATGTTTCCTTCATAAAATATGTTTTAAAAAAATATATATATAATTTTTTTTTAAACATACCGCACGTCAAACTACTGCCCTGAAATGTTGATTTGATCACAAATTCAATAGAAAACTAAGGTTAAAACATACTTGAAGTGAAAAATATTCTCAAAACGAATGAAAGTAAACGCTGATAATACCAAAACAACAACAGGGAACTATACCCACTTGTAAATGAGCTATAGGTCCTAATATGGAAATAACAGCATGAGGAATGAATTTCTGCATTGGAAGTGTTGCGCATGCATGGTTGTAGGCCTAAGTTTTGTTTTTAATGAATTCTTTTTTTTGCCATCATGGTTCCTTTTTTTGGTAGCACAAGGTTGGCAGCTCGGCACCAATGCCTAAGATAGATTTTTGGACATACTAATGAATTAAAGATTAGATTTTGTTTGTAATTTTCAGCACTTTGTGATATTCATGCGCAGGTATAAGCTCCATAGCATTTTCTTTTCCATTGTGGTAACCTTTCTATTTTCTTATCTATTTATTTTTCTTCATTTTTATTTGTTTTAATTTATTTATATATTTATTTCATTTATTTACTTGAGGGGTGGGGGGGGGGGGCTGTTATCATTTCAATCAGAACTTATGTGTTGTGTAAACCTAACACCCCGGTATGATTGTGGGTCAAAATTCTTCAGCACAGAGACAGGGAACATAAGGAGGGATCTTTGATAAAGGCAATGAGCATTAATGTTTGAAGCGACCTAATGTACCATTGAGTAGTATTTTGATGTAAGTTGCATTTAATTTTGTGCAGATTAAAAGTATGTACTTACAGTGTAAAGGGCTGGGATCAGCGTGTGTGGAAAAATCTACACTTGATGCATCTGTCTTCAAAAACAGATCACAGACTCACATGGGTAAAACAATAACATAATTTATTTTAAAAAAAGGTGTGTCCACTGTCCAGCCCTTAAGAACCCTCTAAAGATTGATCATACATGTACCTGACACATTAATTTGTTGCACTTTGCAGATCAATCTCGTCTCCACTGGCGTGAGGATTTGATCCAGAGCATAGAAGAGCTCTCAAGTCCCAGCCGACCTCGATGTAAAGCAAGAACCATCCTCTCAAAGGTACGTGTAGTCCCATCCTTAATTATTCATGTCATGTATTTTGTTATGTTTTGCACATCTTGGAGCCAGGGCAGCATCTTACGAAACCGTCATAAGTACAAGTTTACCAACATTCCATTGAAATGCGTGTATTACTTTAACACGCGTTTCAATGGGATGTCGGTGAACTTGTACTTATGACAGTTTTATGAAATGCTGCCCTGTTCATCTGGCAAGTATTATGGTGAATTTTTGTAGGGGGCATTAGTTTGTTTAAGATAAAGGGCTAGGGCTGGGTTTTGAGTTTGTTCTAGGTAAGTATTAGGGTTAGGCATGGTGTTGGGTCAAGGGTCAAAGTTGAAAATTTGAATGTTGTTAAAAACGTGTTCCTCCCATTTCCAGCCGCTTACACTTTTATATATACCATGGATCATAGCTGATAACCATTCCTATTTCGGAGGAATGATTCCTTTGTTTTAGCCTTCAAGCTATAGTTTTGAACCCTAGGTTCCTCTCTTTTTCTGAAATATTCTGTGAGAAAAATATTCAAAATAGACTGTATTTCTTATTTTGCCTTGAGAGATTACCAATTTTTTTATGTGAAAGGTTGGCAGGTATGCATGAGTCAGCTTTTTAAAAGAATATAACCACTTTTTTTATTGTAAACTTTACCCTTTCTACCACCGCAGAAAGGCGACAATTTGGTGAGAAGAGGAGCTGGTCTTCAACCCTCATCATCATCATCATCGCCACATTCTGGACAACCTCGAGCCAAACAGCATCTCTTGTTTTGAGCCAGAGAGCTCAGCTAATTGACCTGAGAAAAAGAGGGAGAGAGAGAGAGAGCTGCCACCTTTTCAATCCTACTTGCCATTCATTTAATTAGTACACAAAAACCTTGGCCCTGTTTCATAAAGCTTTTTATCACTGACAAATTTGCCCTCGGCCAGATGAGCCAATCAAATGCCATGATTTCAGTAGCTTATAACAGTTATTGACAATCGTTATTGATAAGAAGTTTTATGAAACAGGGTCATGCAGTGGTTTACCATGGCATATCTGAATGAGCCTTCATGGTCTCAACACCCAGCTAACTGCAGTACTGACCCCCCCCCCCCCTCCTCTCTGATCGATCAAAAGAATATTAATGGCAAGCAGTGCCTTACGAATCATAACCTTGATGACAAAGGTTTGATATTTTTCACATCTGTACCACAGATTCTGTAATTTTTTCAGCTATTGATGTATTAGTGAGTGACAAATCACCAGTTACCTTTTAGGTTATTGGCCAGCAGGGAAAAAAAATACCCTAAAATTTTGGGGGGCTACTTTTCGAGCTTGCTTGCATGAAAGTAACACTCTCTAATTTGTTTTGCATTGAACTCTATGCAAATTTTGGGAGCTTTTTTTGCTATTTCGGGGGCTAATCCGCCCCGAGCCCCCGTGTATTTTTTTGTGGCTGTTGGCCAGCTAGTTACATCTTCGAGCGAATTGCCGGCAAAGCTTCGCACTGAGCTCAGTACAAGAGAAATCATGAAAATTTGGTGTTTGAAGGAAAATAAATGTATGACAATTATGTTTAAATAAAAATATAGTATCAACACTTTAATAATGATTATTATTAATTCAGAAAACAATTATCATTGGAAAGTCACCCATCAATGAGTTATCAATCGATTTATGTTGCAATTACAGCAAAAATACATATCAAGACATTTATCATGATAAAAATATACAGGGCATAGTTCCTCTGGTATGTCATTACGAAAGGAGAAGAGAAATTGAAGAGAAACAAAAAGCAAACAAGCAAAAAATATAATAAAAAAAGAGCACTGTGATATATATGATGTCTGTGATGTCGAACAGAATACCAAGCAAAAGCTTTACGGTAATTGGTAAATTTATTGTTGTGGCTTATTTGTTCAGCATATGATTGCGGTATGGTGTTTTTATTTGATTTTGAAATATTGGTTTTATTTGTATATTTTTTTTTTGTGTGCAATGAAACTTGGTTAAATTTACTAGATTATGACACCACTGTACATTCAACACATCTTGATCTTTTTATTTATTGTATAAAATCATGTAAATAAATGTTTATGTTAGTATAGTAAGTATAATTTTAAAATTATGTACTTGTTTTCATGTTGATTTACATCATGAATGCATTGTTTGTATCTTCTTCAAGAATCATTGTTAAATAATACATCCAATTTCAGTCAAGAAATTGCACTCTTTTATGTGGGTTGTGTATAGTATCATTTTGTCATTTTACGAACAGAGTTACATCCAAGTTATGTTGGACAGCCATCTAGCCTGAAGTTTTAGACTAATATTTGCAAGGTTCAAAAGACCAAAACATTAGTACATGTACAACTTAAAACTGTACCAATCACCTAACAAATAATTTGTGTATGGTTAGAATTTATCAAATCAACCTCCAACAAAAAATGTACCCGGCATTATATGACCTTATGGGTAAGAAGTATAAAAACATTAAAAATAACATAAAACCCTAGTCAGATTTGAGTTCCATGTGAACCCTATTCTATATGAGCATATATGGATGCACCTAGTTGTCTACCGGGTACTCACAATTCACTTTTCGATTTCTTGAGAGAATAGTTCAACTTGCGATACCTCTTGCCATAGAAGTATGATTTGAAGATTTTGAGTACCGGTATAGAATATGGCAACATGGAACCCCAAACACACAAAATATTCAAGTTCTAGAGGGTTTTCAATTCGTGGACATTTTGTGTAATCTTGGTTATACCAATAGAACTAGAAATTGGAAAACCTTTCATTGATTATAATTATAGAGTTGCGATTGATCGCAAGTTTGCTGTCTCATATCTCTAATGTACATAATTATGTGCGAGTGATATCAACTCTTTATACGACTGGGCCCCGATCAACAAATATTCTCTTTGTGCATGCGGAACACTTCTGGGTATTTCATTACTTTTTGTAAAAAAGTACAAATTGTTGTGACTGCAGCTTCATTTGTACTCAAGACCTGAGCATTCAAGCAATAAAAAAATGTTGAAGTACAAAAAGCAAAATGATTTTGTTTCTTTCTCTTTTGATAGTGAAGCACATATATTTTGCATTATGTTCATTTGTGATGTAAGATGTTGTCCAAACTTGGTGGACTTCATATATATGTTAAAGAAATGTTTGAAGGAGATATCAAAGAAATGAATTAAGTCTCGCTGGTTTCAGGCAGCAGGCCTCAGACACCCGTGTCTGTGACTTGTGTGTGTCTGTATGACTATCTTTGGTCATTCTATTCAATTTCTTGAGGGGAAAAAAATGAAATTCATATTTGTTATACAATTTACATACATCTTCTAAGTTGCAATCTCTTTCTTTCTCCTTCTCCATATCTCCCTATCTCTCTTTCTTTTTCTCTGTCGTTTTCTCTTTCCATGTTTATCTATTACTTCAGATACAAAGAAAATGCTCGGTTCAGATGCCACAAATCACAATACAATGCACAATTAAAAAAATGCACACAATTACAAAAATGAATCGATGCTCGCCCGCCATTCTCTGTTACATTCCCTCCTTCACGCATACCGACGGTGCAATTTTTCCTTTCCTGCGGTCTTTGAGGATACCATTATTTCTTCCTAACCTGTATTAGTGTCTTATTTGAAGTTTTGATCGTATAGACCTATATATCTTATTTAGGCCTCTTTTAATTAAAAAAAAAAAAAAATAATGATTGAAACAATTTAACATTATTTATTTGACCAATCGAAAAACATATCTTAATACATACACACAACTTTAGGGAAGTGGAGAGGAGAGAGAGAGAGAAGGATACATGAAATCTGCTGGGGGAAAGAAAAAAAAAGCAATTAAAACTTGCTATATCATTACTCGAAAGCATGTCACCCCCCAATGATTATAGTAGTTAAAAGTCATGCGCTATATAAATAATTTCATGAACTAACTCATATAAACTAATAAAGCCCACAAGTGTTTTGCTTATGCAGTTGTCTTTCTCCTAATAAATAAATAAACCCTCTAAACATACAGGTACACGACGCCCCCTTGTCTATGCCAGAGTGACCTAGGTTGAGTTTATCAACCGAGAAGCGTACGGCGTAACATAACTCGCTGGGCTGGTAAGAAGGCATCATAGAAAGGACAGGGCCAGCGTAAGTTGGAACTGTGTGCGGATCGTGGTTTAATTTGAAATAATTTTTTGTTTTTATTTTTTTGTAGACTATGACTAATATTATATTAAAATGAGATTGGAAAAAGAAAGAAAGAAATAATAATTTTACCAAGACATTAAAAGAAAGAGATGCGATGAAATTGGCAACAATAGTCAAATTTGACTAATAGCCATTATAATACCAAACGAACAACAACAACAACAAAACCGCTGGCAATTTAGGCATCCCAGATCCAGCTCCTCTTCATGAACTAACTCATATAAATTTCTCAATAATAACTCAATAAATAAATAAATAACTCAATAATTTCATGAACTAACTCATATAAACTAATAAAGCCCACAAGTGTTTTGCTTATGCAGTTGTCTTTCTCCTAATAAATAAATAAACCCTCTAAACATACAGGTACACGACGCCCCCTTGTCTATGCCAGAGTGACCTAGGTTGAGTTTATCAACCGAGAAGCGTACGGCGTAACATAACTCGCTGGGCTGGTAAGAAGGCATCATAGAAAGGACAGGGCCAGCGTGAGTTGGAACTGTGTGCGGATCGTGGTTTAATTTGAAATAATTTTTTGTTTTTATTTTTTTGTAGACTATGACTAATATTATATTAAAATGAGATTGGAAAAAGAAAGAAAGAAATAATAATTTTACCAAGACATTAAAAGAAAGAGATGCGATGAAATTGGCAACAATAGTCAAATTTGACTAATAGCCATTATAATACCAAACGAACAACAACAACAACCGCAAAAGTTGCATGTGGATGTTGTTTTGCAGAAATTCACGTTAAATATCAAGAAAAACGGTGAGGATAACAAACAAAACCCGAGCATGATTTGGTTATTGATTGATTGTTGCGATATTACTTTCGAATGTTTTTCCAGTTTTACGTTCGTTACGTTATTTACTTTAGCTGCGGAGCCGAGTCGGAATCAGTCTCGGAAGAGTCGAAGCTCCAGTCCAGCCAGCACGGCAGGCTCGACGTCGGGGAGCGATATCGCGATAGGCTTCGGGCTCGGGCTCGGGCTTAAACTTGAGTTGAAGTTTGCTGCCAAGCTATCAAGCCCCAACTAAATCACAGGCTCTAGTCTTGCGCTACCTCTTGGGTACTTCGCTCGAGTTATTTAGTTAATGCTGAATATTTTGTTGTTTGTGTTTAATGAGTAGATCTATTAGATCTAAATCGATGTTAATGTGTTTGTTTTGTTTTTGAAATTTGGAAAGTCTTGGATTTTATTTAGCTTGGGCCTTGGTCAGCTCTAGACCGAATTTTACGTCTCTTTTGTTCATTAAGCCTCTTATTTGGGTAGGGTCGGCTCTACCCAACCCAAAGAGAGCCGACCCTACCCAAATAAGAGGCTTAAGCCTTAACAAACGAAAGAGACAGAAAATTTGGTCTAGGTCAGCTTATCCTCCCGGTCAATGTCAATACTCATGTTAATACTTCTGCTATGAATACCTAGTATGATGCCATCCTACCATTTTATCAAAATAATAAATATACTTAATTTACCAAATAGTTTCCCAAACCATCACGTGCAGCAAAATTGCATAACTCTGCATTACAACACTTTAAACATTTTTTGATACGAAGTAGCCAATCTCTGTGTTTTTTTAGAGAAAAAACTGCTATGGAAAAAGAGAAAGATGGAGGTGGGTGGGTCACTACAAAGCAACCAAGAGACCTCACAGAGGCTGAGAAACAGAAGCTTGCCGAAGACGAAACCTGTGTCTCGGACTTCAAGCAGAATAAGTTGGAGTTAGAGGCCAAGAAGAACTGGGACCTTTTCTACAAGAGGAACTCCACAAATTTCTTCAAGGATCGGCACTGGACGACCAGGGAGTTTGAGGAATTGATAGCAGAGAGTAGAGTGAGTGCCCCATTCATTGTTATTTTGTTTAATCCTACAAAATCTTCAACAAGTTTTCTGGTAATTCTTAGAAGTGCAAACTTTTACTTATGTTTACATTTTGAAAGATAGGGATATCATGAACAGATGGAGAGCAATTTTAAGTCTTAAAACATTAATGAGAATGAACAAAATAATGATGAATAATAATTAATATATGTCCAAGATCAAGCTCAACAATAATTACCTGCACAAAACTATTTAATAATTGTTATTTAAGATTCATGTACCACGGAACTGCGAAGGAAGAATTGTTATCCGGAACATGTTTTACATTGATGGTGGTGGTTATTTTACCCGACTACTAAGAAAGCATAAATGCTTGTAAATAAGCAATCAGACGGCCGACAGCTTTAGGTCCTCTCCGAGTGACCTGGTAATGAGGATTAATGCCTTACCAAAGGGCACTAGCGCATCGACCTGATTTCGAACCCGGGTCACCGGATTACGAGACCACTGCTCTACCGACTGAGCTATCGCGCCTCCTTTATTGTGTTTCTTCTCACCATTTTTTATTACAGGAGGGAAAACAAAAATCACTATTGGAAGTTGGTTGTGGTGTTGGCAACACGGTGTACCCTCTCCTAGATGCTAGTCCTGAGATCTTCATCCACTGCTGTGATTTCTCACCAAGAGCTGTACAGTTTGTCAAGGTACAAAATCATTCTTTTTCTTTATCTCTTCTTCTCTATCCTTCCCTCTCTCTCTCTCTACTGTCTGTCTTACTATCTCCCTCTATATATATCTATGTCTTCCTTAATCCTTTCTATCTCTCTCTCTCTCTCTCTCTCTCTATATATATATATATATATATATATCTATCTATGTCTTCCTTTCTATCTCTCGCTCTCTCTCTCTCTCTCTCTCTCTTCCTTACTGTCTCCCTCTCTCTCTCTCGATATATATATCTATGTCTTCCTTTCTATCTCTCTCTCTCTTCCTTACTGTCTCCCTCTCTCTCTCTCTCTCTCTATATATATATATATCTGTCTTCCTTTCTATCTCTCTCTCTGTTACTTATTATCTCTGCCCCCCTCCCTCTCTCTCTCTCTCTCTCTCTATCTCTCTCTCTCTCTCTCGCAATCAATCACAACTTGAAATCAGTGTTAGATATGAGATTATAAATTTGGGATTGATTAGAGGACGTGTGATTTGTTCAGGTCAATTACAACTCTTTATCAGATAGGACCTTAGGACTATCGTTGTTCATTTTCCATAATAATTCTCCTCTTCCCTTTCTGTCTCGCAGAAACTCACTTCCTTTTAACTCACAATGTCCTTTCCTTATATCATGCATATTGTAGGAGCACTCCGCTTATGACCCAGCTCGTGTCAATGCATTCCAGTGTGACATCACATGTGATGATCTGACCAATAACATAGCAGCATCCAGCGTTGACATGGTAACCATGTTCTTTGTTCTGTCAGCGATTCATCCAGACAAGATGTTACAGTCAATACAAAATATATACAAGGTACATGCTGTATATCGTAAGTCCATTTGTCCCGATTGTTCAGAAGAAGAATTTGTTGGCTCAAAGAATATTGCTGTTAGAATCTAATGAAAATCCTTTGAATTACATTGGTGACATAGCGTATTTGTTGAGTCATCTTTGTGTCTAGAATTGCAGGAAGATTTACTAGGTTGCTGGATGATACAAAAAGATATGTATGGATATAATTCGTCCCTATTTTCACGAAGTGATGGTAGTGAATGAAAATCGCATACAATTTGCGTGCGGATTTTCCTCACTACCGTCACTTCGTGAAAACAGGAACGAATTGATGTGTAAATCTCATAGAATATTGATGTAAGAATGCTTAAATTCTTTCCAATCTAATGAAAATGCTTTTAAATACATTGGTGACAAAGTGCATTTGTTGAATCATCTTTGTGTCTAGAATTGCAGGAAGGTGTTCTTAAAAGATACAAAATGATGTGTTTGTATACAATTGATATGTAAATCTATTTCCATGTCTTCTTCACCTCAGTGTGAGATGATATAGTCTTGTAGAAACACTCCTGTTTTCATCATGAAACCAGACATCCCAATGAAAGGCATGATATATTTAAAAAAAACATTTGTTTGGTGAGGATATCCCTGAGTTTTTTCTTAAAACCGGGCATGTACTACTCCAATGCATATGGGTTATAACATCCTAGATGTCTTAGAAATTTAAGGCTTGTTTACATATTCAGCAGTAATTGCGTTCTGCACTTCGCATTTGTTGTCTTTTCTAACACACGGATAAGTGAGTTCTCGTAGGACATTTGTTTAATGCAGCTTCCTTTATTCATCCCCATTTTCCTTTTGTAATCATAGGCTCTTTGTCCCGGTGGGTTGGTGTTATTCAGAGACTATGGTCTTCATGACCATGCCATGCTCAGGTTTAGCAAGGGACACAAACTCAGTGAGAACTTTTACGTGAGGCAGGATGGAACAAGAGCTTTCTACTTTTCTACAGGTACAGTTACTTCTTACAGGCCTGATAAAAACCCAATTTAAATCGGTTTCCCGATTTTGTTTTATTTTTCCTGATTTTGTTTTTTTCTTCCCGATTAAAAAAAAAAAATCTGATTTTTTTTTTTTTATTTATTTATTTTTTATTTTATTTTTTTTACCTGAATTTTTTTGTCTTCCCTATTTTATCCTGATTTTCCTGATTTTCCCTTTATTTTCTCTATTCTTCCCTATTTTACCCTATTTTTCCCCAAATTTTCTTGAAAGGGGGGAATGTTGTTAGATGCCATTTTTTCCCCGCGAATCCTCTTCTTTTTGTTTTTACTCAAGGGGGGCGTGATTGAGGGGAAAACAAAAAACCTTTTTTTTTTTAGTGCTCACTATCACCCCTGCTCTTAGTATTATTGTAAATTTCTTTCAATGGGTTCACATATATTTGTCACAAAAGGAATCCACATTGCTGTTGTATGCATAGCATGATATTCAAATACAGTGAAACCTGTCTATAAAGACCACCCAAGGGAGACAAGAAAAGTGGTCTTTATAGGCAGGTGCCTATAGTACATATTTCATTGAGAAACTATTTTCAAGGGAAACAAAAAATGTGGTCTTTGTAGACAGGTGGTCACTGAAGCAGGTTTGACTGTTACTGTTTTTCAATGTGCTCAATTTCAAATTAAAAAAATTGGGATATTTAATAAAGATCAGAAATTTCTAAACAAACTTTTTTTTTCTTCTTCCAGATGTTCTCTCAGATCTGTTCATCAAGGCAGGATTTGATGTGGTTGTCAACGAGTATGTCTACAGAGAGACGGTGAACAAGAAAGAAGGACTCTCTGTACCCAGGGTGTTTGTCCAGAGTAAATTCTCAAAGAAGATCGCAGAGAATTCATGACACCCATTTACACCAGACTGTTTTGCAACCTCAGATCTGAGCTCTTCAAGGAAATGAAAGAGAATTCATGATACCAGTATACAAGAGACAGTTTAATAATTTCAGATCTTTGTGTTAGAGTGGTGCTTCCAGAGCAAATTCTTGAAGAAAATCGCAGAGAATTCATGACACCCATTTATACCAGACTGTTTTGCAACTTCAAATCTGTGCTCTTCAAGGAAATAAAAGAGAATTCATGACACCAGTATACAAGAGACTGTTAAGCAATTTCAGAACTTCCTGTTAGAGTGGTGCTTGTAAAGCAAGTTCTTGAAGAAAATTGCAGAGACCAGACCCGGCCCCCCCCCCCCCACTCCGAGAACGGACGGACCCCATGCGTGTTACCAAAATGTCCTTTTCGTAACAAAAGAAAAAGGTCGACCCGTAGTGACTTTACACACCGGACTTTTGCTGATAGGGGGGGTGCTGAAAAAGGCTTGTATAACAAAAGAAAAAGGTCGACCCATATTGACTTTACACACCGGACTTTTGCTGAAAAGGGGGGGGGGGGGGTCGCTTGGAACACGCATATGCGTACCCTAAATAACACTGAGTGGGGGGGGGGCCGGGGACCAGACTATCTAAAAATGTCAGAGCTGGACTTTGTTAATTGGGTCTCTACAGGGAAACTGAGCAAGAAAGGATGACTGTCTGTGCTTAGGGTTTTTGTTCAGAGTAGATTCTTGAAGAAGACGAAAAAGAATTTATGGCAATTAGTTTACACCAGACTCCTTAGCAACTACAGGTCTATGTGTTTGATTGGTGCCTCCAGCGTAAACTCTTGAAGAAGATCAAAGAGAATATCTAGAAACTTCAGAGCTGCCCTTATTAATCAGGTGTCTACAGAGCAATAATGAACAAGAAAGGAAGTAATGCCACAGCCTAGGGGCCTTTGTCCCGAGAAAATTCTTGAAGAAGATGGAAGAGGGCTCATGACACACATTTATTCAAGACTGTTTAGCAACTTCTGAGCAACTTTGTGTCTACACTCTACAGAAAATCAATAATGGACACTGTTAGTGGATGATGATGCAGGCATTCCACAAAATAGCTGCACTTTAGGTCATCCATGTCTTTGGCATACAAGCAGAATTATATGCAAGGCATCAAAATATGTCATAATTGAATTCATTGCCATTGGAGTTTTTTGTAATCGTACATTTCCAAGAGATTTGTTTACAATAAATGATGCCTTATTTATTTATCTAAAAAGAAGAGTCGCTTTTTGTATTATTTGTATATTTGAAGATATATCAAGTCCAAGGTAGGGGGGGGGTACAAAGAATTTTGCTATTGTAGACAAAGATCGATTATAGAATTTCGATCTCATTTCATGCTCAAATTAGGATTATTTATACCAAACTTTAATCATGCAGGAGTGTACTGTAAATAACCGTCAAATACTTTTTCATGAGTGAAAGTGACATAAATAGGAGAAAAAGAGATGGTAGTAGGGGAGAGATGATCCAGGGAGAGGGAGTGTGAAGTAGAGAGAAGTCTAAAGAGAGGGGTGAACAGAGAGGAGAAAAGTAGACAAATGGGAGATCACGATACAGAATAGCAGGAGACAAAATAGAGCGAGGAACTTCCCCTTTCCCTCTCTTTCTCTCTCTCTCTCTCTCTCTCTCCTCTACATCTTTCCATCATTTTTCATGGCTTTCTTTTTTTTCCATGTTTTTTTAGTTCATACTCAAAATGGGGATGGAAAAAGTAGCTCCATGCAAATAAAGGTCCTAAACGTACTCGCTATCTGTGCGTAAAGAGATCCAGAATTTTTAAGCATATGATGGTTATGTCTAGTTTACTATGTCATATATGAACAAACCTTCAATCTCTCTCTCTCTTTCTCTCTCTCTCTCCATCTCTCTCTGTTCCCCCTCTCTCTATCTCTCTCTCTCTCTCTCTGTTCCCCCTCTCTCTCTGTTCCCCCTCCATCTCTCTCTGTCCATCTCTGTCTGTCTGTCTCTCTCTCTCTCTCTCTCTCTCTCTCTCTCGTTCTCTATCTCTCTCTCTGTTCCCCCCTCTCTCTCTCTCCATGTCTCTCTGTCTGTCTCTCTCTCGTTCTCTATCTCATTCTCTCTCTCTCTCTCCATCTCTCCATCTCTCTGTTCCCCCTCTCTCTCTCTTTTCCTCTTTCTTCCCCATCTCTCTCTCCTAACATCTTTATTTCTGCAGCTACTCATCTTTCAAGGAGAGAACATGGAAAGCTAATTACAACCTGATTTAGACACTTGAATCTTTGAGCAACATGCACTGCAAATCAAATACCATGAAATTCACTCGAGAAAATATACATTATCTTTTTTATAAAAAGAGTTTTAATAAGCATTATCAAAGCAGTTACATATAATATTCCCTGTAGAACACAAACTGCCCCAATATTAATTCTTGAAGCAAACATGTTTGAAATTAAAATAGAATTGACTTTCAAGCGAATCAAAGTTAGTAACAGTACGAAGATTACAGTTTACACCAAATGATATCTTTTCTATAAATAATTAAAATGCTCGTACAGCAGAGAGGGCCAACTATTCTTTTGTTACATCAAATTTAAAGAGAATGAAAAAACAGATATATGGGGGTTATATTTCATCCAAATTGTCTTGGTGTCTCTAAGAACTGGAGCTAGAACATGATCAACGATAAAAATGTCCCTTTTTTGGAGACACTAATCTCTGTTAAATTTTTCATCATTAAGTGACAAATGTCTGTGTTTTGAATGTTAGGGTTCCTGCGAGTAATTTCAATTTGTACAGAGAAAAAAAAGATAGCATGCTTGATCTTGTAGTTGAAAAATAAGTCGGAAAAAATCTTGGAACCAGCAGGATTTGAACCTGCCATCTACTGCTTACTGGGCAGAGACTCTACCACCAGGCCATCACTGGTCCATGGCACAGTCACAATGAACTGGAAACAAATACCTCAGGGCCCCCATTTCACAAAACTTGTCATTAGTGACAAATGACAGCTACTAAAATCCTTGCTTCTGATTGGTTATCAGTAGATTTGTCACTGATTTTTGTCACTTATCATTGAAAAGGGGCTTTGTGAAATGGGTCCCAGATCTCCCGACTGATCAATATTCATCTGTCTGCCATTAAGGACTATAGCATTGAATGTCCGGCTCCCTGAAAGTAATTTTAATTTGTAAATAAATTTGTTTTGGCTTCCACCCAGTAAATAGCAATTGCATGCTCGACCATGTAATTGAAAAAAATTCAAGAGAAGAATGTCGTCAAAAAGAAGCCTACAAGACTATCTTGTCTTTCAGACTTTGAGAAACTGTCTTTACTACTTCACTGGAGGGCTTCAAGGGAGCGCTTCCACCAGGCATCTAGACCAAGAACTAGATAGTTTATTCCTCAGCACTACATCCTGACTTATGGATCCTGCTGAGTATCGTCGTAGAAGTAGAAGTAGAAGAGAACATGATGATTTTAATACATTTCTACACAATACGGAATAAAGTTATAAAAATGAAAATTATTGTGTTGGGAAATAAAATAGGAACCCTTTCCTAGAAGGCTCATAATCAAGGTCTCCATGAAAAAAAATTGGCTTGATCTCGTACCAACGATGATCTTCGTAGCACAACCAGTACCTCAGTTTGATGCTGCTTTCTGATCACTCGTATAGCGGTGTGACATATTCAAGGAACCTTGAATTGTTTGGTATAAGCATTTAAAAAATGGAAATGAAGTCTCGTTCATAGAGACTCCAGAAATGTCTTTGTCAAGGATGCCATATTTTGTTCAGTCTGCAATGTTACCGTCCGTCGATGATTCGGTCGTCGACAGAGCTTCTGCCGTGCTGAACATATGCAGACAGTTGTCGGCTCCTCCACAAAGAAGTAGCTGTGACAATTAAATAAACAACAGTAGGGAAAAACATTTTAGTGTCCACCTGCTTTTGGTTTCATTGATGTTACTTTCTGATGATATAGTCAGAGAGAGGATGCTATTCATCAGAAAAGTTGTCAGAATATAATAATAATAACTTTCAATTTATTTAGCGCATAATGATTAATGCTCAATCATCTGTGCGCATTACATTAAAAGAGTATGCTTTACAATCCACATAACATATATAAGAGGTCAGAGCTGTTATTATCAAAGATAGATAAGTTTCTATGTGCTATTCATTGAGGAGGGGCGAGGGAAAGGGGAACTTATTCAATGGGAAGTAACCCTATGGGGTAATCATCAGACAAGAAGTTGCTCTAATGGTGATCAACATGAATAAAGAATGACTGGATGTAACTGTCACGGTGAGGGGGGAGGGGGGAGCGGAACAGTAAGAGGGTATTCATCAGCAGGAAAGGTGTCCTCCAGGTGGTAACTTTCATTAATGGTAATGGTCTAGACAAAATCCTTAGCACCTAATATCAAACCCCAACGATCACTTCCCAAATACCACAGACTAATGGCTTATTTCTCTCTCTCTCTCTCTCTCTCTCTCTCTCTCTCTCTCCATTTCTCTCTCCCCCTCTTTCTTTCTTGCTCTCTTTCCTACTTTAATTTCTACCAATTTCCTAATATCTTTTCTCCTCTTCTATTTTTTTTTGGTGATATTTTAACCCTATTTTAACTGGGCTATTTCAGACCAGGTTTTTACTGGGGGGGTCAATTTGACCCCCCCCCCCCCCCTAAGATCTCGGCCGTTTCACCGCCGATCGCCGCGAAAATTTGCATGCATGTCAAGTGAAGTGTATAGAATACTATGGTAATTTCAAATTTTTGAAAAATTCACTCATTTGCATATTTATGGTAATTTATGCAAATAAGGTCATCAAATTCACATTTATGCCCATAAATCATAGATTATTCATGTTTACGTATTCTTTTTTCACTACATATATTTATTAGACCATTTGGAACAATAATTCAACACAAAAAATCGGAAGAGCCAGGTTATTCCTTATGTTATCTCTTGTTTTTATAATTTCTTATGTATTTCATTGTTTTTTTAACTTATGTATTTTATTGTTTTTGTTGTTTTATTTCATTTATAACTATAATTCAACTATTTTGACCCCAAAACAAACATCTAAACTTCAAACAAGACTGAATAACCAATGTTATATCTATTTTTAGGAAAAATGACTTTTACATATGTTTTGTACACAAATCACGAAAATGAGCGATTTTCGGGCTGACATGCAAAGACAAAAGGTCACGTGACCTCGTAACCGTAGGTCCGATTTTCGAAAAAATTGTTTTAAAAGATGCGTAAGACTCGAAAGTAAAAAGTCATGAAAGGAAAATTTTATATCTGCCGCGGTTTCGGAGTAGTCGCGAAATTTCTACAGGGGGGGGTCAAATTGACCCCCCCCCCAGTATTAGGGTTAATGCCTTTAATCAATGTGATTTGATGTTTTTTCCGCTGTTAATTTCAATCATTACATTGTCGTTTTTGTTTTTAGTTTTGTGCTTTTTACTACTTTTAATGCGTATTATTCTTATACGTTAGTTTTATACTGTTCTTACCTTTGCTTGTGAGCTTTGGTGATTTTCATTATTTATATTTCCGTGTACTACATTTTTATCCTGTTCAGGACCATGATGTAAAACAGATTTTGTATCTACAATGTAAATCTGATTCTTGTTATCCTGAATAAATATATTTCAATAAAAAAAATAATACTGCACCCCATATGCCACACCCCATAAAACACCCCCGCTTCATACAACATTCCAACCCCAAAACCACATTCAAATTCACCACACCTACAATACCACCCACATAAGTTCTGAGATGTATAGATTAATACTTACGTCAGGTATTGACCAATCAACAGTGAGTATCTTATCGTCCAATCCCGTCATGTTGAAGAGTGGTGCCTTTGGGCTGGTGAGAAGAAAGAAAATAAAAATAAAAGCAAAGTTATGAATTTGGTGTATTTTGGTTTGCTTTTCCGCTGAAGTTTTCTGAAAGGAGTGGAATCTCGGGTTCATATTTAGGAATCATACTTTCACGACAGAAATTGTTTGCATCTATACTTATGTGCCTGAAATATCCGAGGGGAAGATGGAATGATTGAGGTATTCATACCTGTAACAAAACTAGATATGTGTGAACAACATATTGAGATCCTGATTGTAAAATACAACTAAATTCATTGACTACTTACACCATAAGGAGTTGAGTGTAATACCTGTAATTAATACCATTTTGGCTCTTTGATTTTTGACAAATCTGGTCGAATGTATTATAATCCTGAAAACAGTCAATATGTATCATCCGTGTCTTCCGTGATAACCACAATTGTACAAGAATAGCAGTAATGTTTCAAGTTTATTCATTTCCACTTTATTGAAATAACATAATTGAACATAATAATATACATGGTAATAATTATAACTAAACATACAATATTGGAACACATGTACATGGTAATGGTTATGACAAAAGATACAATCATAAGTATGATAAATACACTGAAAGAAAGATAAATAAAGTGGGGAGGGGGTCTATTTAAAGGTAATGTTCTTCAGTCTAGTTTCAAATACCTTCTGATGTCCCACAGCTTTAGAGCTTTGTCATAGGACCCCGAGAGGAGTTGATCCTTGTTGCTAGGCGACCACGCCACCGACGATACCCAACCATTGTGATGTGTGAGGGAGGACTTTACCACTGCTCCATCTGTGCCATAGAAAAACATGATAATTCATAAAAGAAGTTTGTTGTATTGAATATAAACATATGAAATAATGATTCTCATTACTGTAATTAATATCATATCCGGCATACTAAGAATCTTGCAATTTGATTGGTCTAAACGAGGTCACATGATCAGTCATAGATAAGTACCAGCTCCCTGCGATAGGAATTTTGTACAGTAATTTTTTGCAGCTGCCCCACTTGCCCATTGAATAAGCGTAGCAAAGTAGGTTACGCGAAATGTCAATGTCAATGTCAATGTCAAATGAGCACACATCAACTTTATTACATGTATGCATGTTGTGCTTTGTAAAATCTAGCTGAAGCTAAACTGTCTGCAGAATCAGTTCTTTTAATTAGGTAAAATTCACTTTAAATAGACCTTATTGCCGATGTGGGATATAAAACAAATATTAACCTCCTTTACTCGGGCAATGGATACAAATTATCAATGCCTCGGTGATGATAGTTTGTACCATTACCCTCGTAGTCGGTTAATATTTGCTTACTATGTGCAAAATCAAAACAAAACAAAAAGAGACAAAAAAAATTCTGTTCAACTTGTGCTCAATTCTGTGGTATTACCAACTATTATTTTCACCAGTAATTAAGGGTTGAAAGTCTTCAAATTGGCAAAATATTTGCCTATTCAGGATGGTTGTAACCAGCATCTATTTGGATATAATTCCTATTCATCTATTTTCATTTGTAAAACATTACTCTTATGGCAAGATATAGAAATTATCAGTTTGTAAAAATGAGAGGTCAACCCGATAAGCATTGTGATTTTCTTTTAAACACCGGTTTATTAACATATTCAGATTTTATGCATACTTTTTAAACAAAGGTTATTCTTGACAACCTGAAAGCTAACCCGACATAGCAACAAGTAATGTAAGCAGACTTGACTCCAAGTATTGTACTTCATTCATTAATAACAGGGTAATGGAAAATTTGTCACTAGGTCCCCAGGAAAGAAACACCCATAAAATTTGAACATGTTAGTATACCGGTCGATTGCAATGACACCATAGAGTGTTGTATGCTTGGTGCTATGTTAGGCGTACCTTTGATTCTTGGGTCCCATAATCTCACATGCCTGTCCACACTGCCACTGGCAAGAAGACCATTCAAGGGGGAATGGGAGAGACTCAAGAATGCCTTGGTACCGGTCTGGATTGTGATAAAAAAAGAAAATCGTTTATATGCTGAATCTTCTCATCATTAGAATATTAAACAAGGCCCGGTTTAAAATAGTAGGGTGGATTCACAGTTAATATTGCCCCCACCTTCAAGTCACAACAGGCCAATTTTTCAGCTCGCGGTTTGCCATCTTTCAACCAGTGCAGCGTAGCAAAACACTAGCCACCAATCAAAATTACCTAAGTGGTCCGAACTGGGTAAATTCATTCAATGGGTTTGACTGTTCTGATATCAGCACATAATTTAATAATGAATATGGATGTCAAAACCCATCCATTAGTTAATTCTGACTGAAAAATTGGCTGGGTTTTGGACAAAAATCGATACAAATGTTCAGTTTTTGGCCGAAAAACAGCTATTTGTATCATCGGAAGTGTAGTCCATAATTTAGAATCAGTGCAAAATTTTACCCGTATAAGTTATTCACACCTTCCCCATCAAAAATTCTGATTAAATCCCTTTATATCCTTGTGTATATATAACAGTGCCACAGCTGATGTTTTTGTCAACTTTTCCCCATAATGCATCACATAAAAATTACAGTATTAGATCCTGTCTACATGAACCTGTATGAGCTGAGCCTCCATCACATGGGCATCTGCATTGTCTGCATTCCACAATAGCCTACATTTAGATTTCTTTTCAAATGTTTAAAATTCATTGGAAATCATCAAAATATCTGACACATTTTATCTTTTTATACACATGAGATGATAAGCAGACTACATTAAATGCACTTCATTCCAATTTCCTTTTTACTACCAAAACTCTACATTTATCAAATTTGATTACAAATATGAAGAAAGACCATGAGAAGAGTTTGTAACACACATACCAAGTTCGACTTGTTCGATCCCTGTGCTACATCCCACATCTGTATCGTATGATCCCACGATGCACTGCACACTTCATCCTTTCCCGTCCAGATCACCGAGGAGACAGCCTCCTTGTGACCGTCCAGTGTGGATATGGGAGTCTGTGGTTGGAAGGTAGGTAGATAGGGGGTTCGTGAACTACTCATAATGAACTACCGGTACTCACAAAATAGGAGGTACAGGAGGGATCATGTAACCAGGGGGGTGTTTCACAAAGATCCTAAGTTGAACTTATCTCTTAGTTGGACTTAACAATTAGGGAAAGCCGTTAGCATCTTTGAAAATATTTTGTAAAATTTATTTTCAAAGGCATAAAATGTTGATTCCAATCATTCTCATTTTCTATTATCAAGGAGATTTCATGTTCTTGATGTGGAATTTTTTAAAGTCTAAAATACTTCAATTTTTGCATTGGAATATATTTTATTTTGAGGCCACAAATGGCTATCCATAATGTTTAACTCCAACTTAGAGTTAAGTTTGACTTAAGATCTTTGTGAAACACCCCCCAGGACATTCCAAAATTTTATTATATTCTCCATGATATACCCATATGCTGTGTTTCTGGATAGGTTGTGTATCCGGACAGCTGATTTCAAACAGCAATTTGTAGAAGTTTACAAGCACTATTTTATAAATCTTCTAAGACTTGTAATGTTGGACATATATTAATGTTTGGTGCTATCAGACAAATATTTTTCATTAAATCTAAAGGCAAAAGAGAAGGCTATATGTTTGTTAAGTGCTTGGACACCCAACCCCCATGATACTTGGTAATGTATTGGACTTACCCATCTATGAATTGGCAGAGTCCACTAAAAAAACATTACAATTATCATGAATGACTATAAAGTTACTGATTGCCAATATATAATATTACTTATCGTATGCTTCTTTTTCGAAACATTTCCATCAAAAAATGGTGCCAAAAGTGCTTACTTCCCTCTTGAATAAATTTTATTAAAAGGACTTGGTAACGTTGTTCAGATGAGAGATAGTGGTGCTAAGGTAGTGACTTCAATGCTAGATGTACAATTAAAGATAATCTGAAAATTTGAGTGAAAACGGACTATTATTCATGGTACAAATTGGGAAAAACTGATCTGATCAATTCCTTAATTCTCCCAACTATATTATTGCAATTTAATTACATTTTAGGTGAATGGAAATCTCACAAAGCAATAAAATGGCTCTACATTCCATTCCAGACGTTTAAGTGTTGACAGATTTTCTATAGCCTGCTTTATGTCTTTTTTTCATGGAAAAACGGTTGGGAAAAATCAAAAATGGTTGGGAGAATTTACTGTTAATCACTGTTAGAGGGTGTCGTACATCGACGCCTTCAAAGAAAACCATAGATATCTTTGTGGTTTGAGAATTTTTTCAGGATTTTTTGCATGTCAGAGGGTTAGTACAGTAAAAGGAATATAGTAAGTAACATTTTATACAAAAATTAAGCAATTTTTTTCATCAACCTTCAACAATGTTACCAAGTCACTTTAAAGTCGGAAGCAGATAGGGGAACAATAAGACATGGAGTAGAATGAAACTGGCAGAAAACAAAGCTTTATATATGTGTGGGAAAAAAATGGTGCAAACAACTTCTAAAGTGGGAGAAGATACCTTGATAGATAGATAGATAGATAGATCAGCAGGAAACCCAGATTTGGAAGTTTGGAGACATTCATCTTCATTCACCTAGGTCTTTGTGTACAGGTAAACAGAAGTAATTCACCCGGTGCCTGCCTACAATTGTGTGCCCTACTTTCTGAGCAACTTTCAGACTCTAGCTGAAAGTTATTTTGTACCCTGTGATAGAATTACGGTATAGCAGTCAACACTATGAACATGACGGACAAAGAAAGCAGACAAAATATACAGTTCCTCAGGTAGACAAAGGAACATCCCTTCACTGCTATTATGTAAACAGTGAATATGCATGTGACACCTGTTCTACACATTTTTACATGATAGCAGTGAAGGGATGTTCCTTTGTCTACCTGAGGAACTGTATATTTTGTCCGTTTTCTTTGTCAATCATGTTCATAGTGCAAGGAATATTAATTTCATTCAAATTATGAATATAGAGTATTGATATCTCTTTCAAATGTACATTCTCCTGTTATTTGCTCAGACTTTTCCTATCTGAGCATTGCATACAATATATGAACTACCATCTTTTCTAACACTTATTTTGATGGGAAGGAAACATTCCCTACCTCAAATCATAAATGTTGGGTAGTACAGTCCAACCTGTCTATAGCGACCACACAAGGGAAATACAAAACACAAAAAGTGGTTTTTGTAGACAGGTTCCTTTTAATAGACAAATATAGTACATGTTTCAATGATAAACCATTTTTCAAGGGAAACAAAAAATGTGGTATTTGTAGTCAGGTGGTCACTAAAGCAGGTTCGACTCTAGTGTGTAATAAACCTCAGTGATGGCTACGAATCTGAACAGTGACTTACTCGTATAATAGGTGTGCTATCGTCTCTCCTAACTCTCTTCTTTTGTTGCTCTTGAATTTCTGGTGGTTCTTCTTCCCCTGAACTTGGAACTTTATTGAGAAAAAAAGAAGAAAAAAATCATTAAAATAAAGATGTAAATACATTTGTATTCATTAATATTCGTTTATGCATGTATGGATGAAATTCATTAGAGAAGGGGCAAACCGGCAAATAAATGTACACTTTTGATTATTCTTATACTATATATCTACACAACATACATCAGTTCTTGATCATTACAAATTAACAGCAGTATCATTAATCTTTTACTTCAGCAATTAAGATTCAGCATAATTTTATGTTACACTCTTCTCCTAGCTGCATAACAATGCTACGTGAAACCTATAATTTTATATATTCCACTTGCTAAAATGTCTTAATGATAGCAAACCCTACCATGATGATGACAGATTTGAGCGAGGTTTGCGTTTACACCACATATTCTTTTGGCAGTGTTAGGCTGGTTCAGTGGATCTTACCTAAGGGTATATAAACCCTTACTCAGCCCTTACCAAGCCTTACAGACTCATCGTGAAGACAAAAGGTACAACCTATTGAAACGTTGAGAATAGGCCTGTCTTCATCAGCTCGAGATTGCCAAATTATACAACCAGCTATTTTAACTATCACCATCGCAATTATCAAGCTAATTTGCATCTTCATCAGCCGGCAGTTGCAATTGGCGGGATATTTGGTCGAGATAATTACCCCAAGATACCTTGGGCTAGTTTGCAAGCTATTGTCCGGTGCGTCTTCACCAGCCCGAAGACTCGCACTATGCGCAAACGCTGAGCAAAATATCTCGAGCTATTTTCTCGAGTTAGAGTTTCAAGGTCGAGTCTCGAGCTGAGGAAAACGTGATTTGTAACTTCTGGCTTATTTCCCAAATCAGAAATAGCTGTTATTTGGCAATCTCAAGCTGATGAAAACATACCTAAAGAATATGAGTGGGCCCTCTTCAGGGCCAAATAACCCTGTCGAAAGAATAGGTGGTGTAACCGCAAACCTCGCTCAAACCCTAATATATTCTCATAAATAATCTTGATATCTTAGGCTCACCTGCAGACCACACTTTCAGCATCTTGTCAAAAGACCCACTGCAAATCTGTTAACGAGAAGATAACATTGGAAATGAGATACATGTATTTATACGCCAATAGATATTGAAATGCCTACACTGGCAGTTTCGGTAGCTCATCAAGGAACAAAAAACAATATTACCTTACACTGTTACGTTTCCAAATCGAAGTACATTTTTTTGGTACCCGGTACTCTTTTTACTTTTTATCTTAACAACAAAGACAATTCTTCTTTTCATATCACTTGTAACTGAACATAAATTTTCTAAATTAAAAATGTAAATATTGCTCAATATTACAAAGAGTACCTTATGTTTATTCTACGAATGCACACAAAATGACATAAATTAACTGAAGGCTGTGTGCTTTACAACAAATTATGAAGCATTATCAATATAATTTTATTCTGTTCTCATGAATTTTGCAAATGCACACTCGAGTTTTGATAAAAATATAATATTAACCTTTGGAAAAACAAAACTAGGGCTCCAGTATTCAATGACACTATCATTTCGATGAATAAAACATCAAAATAGAGATTTTCTGGAGCTTCAATATTTTGAAAATAGAATAATGACTCACTCTTGTCTGTGATTGGTCAACAGCAACTGCATCTACGCTCATAGCATGACCCTTGCATACATGCAGTGGTTGACTCTTCTTCTCCCTCTCATTCCATTCCCAGATGATGAGAGTCTGGTCATGTGATCCGCTCACCAGCAAACTAACAGGGTCACCTGATACATAGAAGAAATAATAAGAATTAAACATTTTTGTACAGCGCATAACACGTAGGAATACTTGTATGTCATTATGCGCTTTACAGGATAGAATACAGAAGGAGTGGAATGGTGTACTGGGTTCATAATTGTGAGATCTTACAAAGTGTTAGATAGATATGTTTTCAAATTACTTCTGAACTTTTCATATGTTTCCATATTTTCTATGGTATTTCGGCAAGTTATTCCATTAAATAGTGGCTGCATATGAAAATGATCTTTCCCCATAACATTTTGTCACGGTTTGTGGGACATAAAATAAAGACTTTTTATTAGAACACAGCACTCTGTCTGGTTTACAATGTATTAACAATTCATTGAGATATGATGGAGCAAACTGATGGAAACATTGATATTTGATTAGTTAATAAAAGTACTTTAAACTTGAAAAAGAAATAAACGAATGGGATGTTTGCGACCATCTAGTGGAATGGTTTCTGAAATCATTGCCACGACTGAGAAAACCTTAAACATATACAGGAAACTATATTTTGAACATACCAAATGATCAGGGTTGTTATCTAGACTTTTAATCCCATCTCGAAACCGTCCCATTATAAATGTTTTAATTTTTATAACAGGATCCTGGATTGTCCCGGTTGCCGAAATTGCTTATAGTCTTGTCTATGTTTTCCTACTGCCTAAAAAGTACAATACTGTGATTCCGGATTGATTTTGGCTCAGTTGACAGCACTAAATAATCATCAAACAGTGACCAACACCCTGCATCCACCCTAAGCAAAATAAATTATACTGCCTTCTATGCGGCCACAGAACAAGGCAAAAGATTGCCTGGTGATAATCAAGTGTGTCTTAATAAAAAACATATCTGATTCTGATTTTTTTTTTTTTGGGGGGGGGGGGGGTTAGAATATACATCACTTTTGTTTTTTGTAGTAAGGCATTTGAGAACACATCGTAATCAAATGAGGGATGTCGGCACATCAAAATGTGCTGAAATTTTGAAAACCAAACAAATTACAATCACATTCACAATATCAGAAAAACATTTTAACAAAGTGACAAGGATGATTAGGTAGTGATATGTACTCAATACTTGGTTATTTAAAAAGAAAATTATGTCTACATCATAACTCATCCTTTCTCTGATGTTACATTACCAGATTTGATCCAGCAAACACACTTGACTGGATCTGTGTGGTACTGAAGTGTTGCTATGTTGTCTCCATTCCTCCCCCACAGTCTCACACCATTGTCATAACAACCAGTCAGAATCCTGGAGAAGGGGAGAAAAAGGGAAGTTCCCTGAATACTTTTGTTGTTGTCGACATAATGCTGTTATCAACTGTCAAATATGTGTGCAATTAAACTTTTTTTGAAGCATGCATATTCTTTGAATGAAATATTCTCCTTCTCCCATTTGAGCTACAATGAGCTATTCCCCGCTCTCACCTTCTCCCCTTTAAACTACAACGAGCTATTCCCCTCCCCCTCTCACCATCTCCTTTTAAACAACAATGAGCTATTGCCCCTCTCAAACCTTCTCCCTGTTAAATTACAATGAGCTATTCCCCTCCCCTCTCACCACTCCCTTTAAACTACAATGACCTATCCCCCTCACCATCTACCTTCATACTACAATGAGCTATTACCCCCCCCCCCCCTCTCTCACTTTCTCCCTTTAAACAACAATGAGCTATTTACCCCTCTCACCATTCCCATTTAAATTACATGAGCTACTCCCCCTCTCACCTTCTCCCCTTTAAACTACAATGAGCAACCCCCCCCCCCTCACATTCTCCCCTTTATACTACAATGAGCTATTCACCCCTCTCACCATTCCCATTTAAATTACATGAGCTACTCCCCCTCTCACCTTCTCCCCTTTAAACTACAATGAGCAACCCCCCCCCCCTCACATTCTCCCCTTTATACTACAATGAGCTATTCACCCCTCTCACCATTCCCATTTAAATTACATGAGCTACTCCCCCCTCTCACCTTCTCCCCTTTAAACTACAATGAGCAACCCCCCCCCCCCCCTCACATTCTCCCCTTTATACTACAATGAGCCATTCCCCCTCTCACATTCTCCCCTTTATACTACAATGAGCTATTCACCCCTCTCACCATTTCCCTTTAAACTACAATGAGCCCACCCCCCCCCCCCTCACACATTCTCCCCTTTATACTACAATGAGCTATTCACCCCTCTCACCATTTCCCTTTAAACTACAATGAGCAACCCCCCCCCCCCCTCACCTTTTCCCTTTGAACTACAATGAGCTATTCCCCCTCTCACCATCTCCCTTTAAACTACAATGAGCTATTCCCCCCTCTCACCTTCTCCCTTTAAACTACAATGAGCCATTCCCCCTCTCACGTTCTCCCCTTTATACTACAATGAGCTATTCACCCCTCTCACCATCTCCCTTTAAACTACAATGAGCTATCCCCCCTCTCACATTCTCCCCTTTATACTACAATGAGCTATTCACCCCTCTCACCATTTCCCTTTAAACAACAATGAGCCATCCCCCCTCTCACGTTCTCCCCTTTATACTACAATGAGCTATTCACCCCTCTCACCATTCCAATTTAAATTACATGAGCTACCCCCCCCCCTCCTCACACCTTCTCCCTTTGAACTACAATGAGCTATTCCCCTTTATAAGATGATGACGTGGATCCTAATCAAATGATTGGTTGAAAGTGTACACGTGACCAGGCATTTATTTTCCTTAACACGTAATTTGGATAATGACCAGTCATAATGACCGGTCATTATCCATTGGTAATGAATGACTGGTCATTATCAAAATCATGTTATAGAACATCATTTTGTAAAAACAAATAAAACATCATTTCATAAAATAAATAATACACATCATTTTGTTCAGGCATTAGTAAAATTACCCACACGAGGTACCTTTGGACCAGTCAAACACGCCCGAGGTGATATTGCCCTCACTGATGTGTATTATTTGTATACTCTCAAACTACAACGAGCTATTCCCCCACCGCTCTCACCTATCTCCATCATTGTGTATACAGCTAACCCAGTCATCATGAAGTATGCTTCCCACTGGCTCCGGAGCAGTCTGTTTCACCACGTACTCGATATCAACTACAGCCTCGGTTGAAGTTTGCGTGACCTCAAAGTGAGAAGCGAGAGGGACCCGTAGAAACTCCCCCTCAATGAGGAAGTCAAATTCGACATTTTCGATATCTTCCTCGGCTTTGTCTGGAGGATAAGAGAGACCATTAATGTCATGAATAAAAGAATAGTCCTTTAAAGGTAATACAAAGTTTTGGGAAATTTTGAAAATTGAGTGGATAGTGAATCTTTACAATTTTGATATATTTGGATACCCCTTAGTCCAGATTCAGTCCGTTCGTTCTTTTTATCCCCCACACACATCGCGGTCTCTCCACTGATCGCGCAATCCCCAAATTTCCGTCCACACGAACGTCCAGACGAATCTGCCAGTGTCGGGGGTCAAAAGTTCGCGCTAATGTATGCTGACGTAGTGCCTTCGCTTATGCCCCAATGAATATGCATTAGTAACATCGTCGAGCTTTGTTTGTATTAGGATTAGGTCAGCCCTGCCTGAAACCTTGGACCATGCTGAAACTCTACACGCACTGCCCCGATGCAGTGGAAAACACATTGGGTTTTAGCCACTTACTGGTGTTTGGCCTACTACCAGGGAGCCCAACTCCCTGATCTCTTCACATGCATGCAAACTGTATTCTTGTCTGAATTCAATAATATTCTGACTTGCAATCACTGCCATTATCTCTCGTTGCATGAATGAATCAGCAGTAAATTTAAGATGGTGGTCTCCTGCATTTGTCAATTAAGTTGAAATGATTTGTAAACCGTTGAATAAAGGTAGAATTATTATATAATTTTTGATTATATTATATGATCATAGGCCTATATATATTTTGACTTTTATTAAAGTACCTCGTTTAACGAAATAATGATACTATCAATTATAATGATATGAAGGTCACTTAATTCAACATAAAAACGCTCAGGCATTTGACACGGCACATAAATATGTCTCTATACAATTCTCTTTCGTTCATGACTCGTACTCGTTGGAATGATGAGCCACAGACAAATTTTATTTATATGTATTTGTTATACGGGGCAAACTTTCATATTTTCTTTGGGGTATATTGAGCTAGTATTAGGAATTTGGACCATTCTTACGTGTGTTTTTTTTCCCGAAGGACGGGAAAAGGGGAAATCTTGTTTGGGAACATGATGATCTGAACAGGGGGTCGGAATACTTTAGGTGTCGGGAGGGGAAAATAAGAACGAACATCAGTGGACGAAAGATATTCGTGGTTTACAGTGAAAAAAATACACGGGGGCTCGGGGCGAATTAGCCCCCGAAATGCCCAAAATAGCCCCCAAAAATCAGAAAAGAGCCCCTGTAAATTTGCATAGAGTTCAATGCAAAACAAATTTTAGATTGTTATTTTCATGCATGCAAGCTTGAAAAGTAGCCCCCGAAAAATAAATATTAATTTTTTCCCTGGTGGTTTAAGAAGAAAAAGAGTGGGCCTATTCCCAATTCTTTTGGCTTATTATTTTATTTCCATCTATAGAGAGTGCAAAGAGCGGCAAAAAGTCTAATGGATGGTCCAATACGATTTACTTTTGGCTGTGAGCGCGCAAGTGACATCAATCAGATTGTATGAGAAGTTTTTAAGTCCAAAATGATTTATTTGCAAAAGTTACTTTCATTAAAACTTTTAACCGTATATTCGATTAAATGAAGCTTTAAATACTTAAAACAGTTTAAGTCTGAAGAAGGATTTAGAACTTAAGAGAGTATGCGATACTGAAATATTGAGCCTCATGATATTCGTTATTAAATCTGAAAGGTTTGTGCCCGGTTGAAAAATCTCTTCGACTTAAAATAATAAACCATTCGCGCTTAGAAATAAGTCTTATTTTGTAGAGCATTATTCATGTTAATATTATAACGGAAAACCTAGTCTGTGAACAGTATTGTAAGTGTTGCCTTGTTTCATTCACTTAGACTTTTATGAGGCAATATATTGAGTGGGAAGTGGTGAAAATAGGAACGAACAGATATCTCCGGACGAAAGAGACGGATGGAGAAGGAAGAATATGTAAATCATATCTATCTTGGACATGTTTATTTTGACGTTCGTAGAGCATAGTTCATGTTCCAATTAAAAGGTGGAATAAACCTAAATTGCGAATAATAATAGGATTATTAATAATAATGATAATAATGACATCAACAACAAAAAACGATTAAAAAAAAAGTAGTGATAGTAATAACAATGATAATGATAGATGTTCATCATTTATCTTAATGGTGTAATATTGTTCTTTATTTAATCAATGTTGATTTGCATGTTTCGATATGGGCATCAAGTATCCATGTGTTTGTTGTAGTAAGCCAGTGAAACGAAATCAAAAAGCTCTTCGGTATGTTCAAAGTATGGGGAATGGGTTCACATTAAGTGTGACAGAATTCCACGAATAAAAAGTCATGTTCATACCATCACACCCAACTGCAAAGTATGATGATTAAGCAGTATCTTGGGCAATTTAAAGAGAGAAACAAACGATGAAATCATCCCTAATAATCTAATCACAATGTAGGGGTACAATATGGCAATAATTGTATATTTGTGCTTTGAGGTTTCCCTTTGTAGGTGCCCTTTTTCCGTAAAGTACCCTTTTTGTTGGTGCCCCCCTACTTTGGAAGTTGCTCCGCAAGGCACTTGTCCACGGTAAGAGGAAACTGTTAAATCTCGAAGAACAAAAACTATATAATCTCACATGGCTATACTCCCCATATAATGTCTACAATTTCCATTTGGTATTTTTAAATTCATAAATTGGTTGTAAATTGCTCTGAAAAAATGTCATAAAATGCACTAAAATAAGGCTTATATTGCACCGGAGAGAATCTAGGATCCCAGAGCTTCCAAGGCCCCTGGACCCCAGCATAAAGGGACTTCACACATCGCGCTGGTGATGTGATTTCAGGGTGAGAGCTTCCGAGTCAACGCTCCTTCCCCAACTTCAAGAAAGCTTCCTACGCCTATAATCTACAATGTCTATTTTTATTAGGAACCTATAATCCACAAGCACCATTTTTTAATATAGGTTCCTCACATTTTACTTGAAGTTTTATTTATTCCACATTTTACAGAAAAACAGTTTATATTCTTTCAATTTCTTATTTTTATACAGGCGTATATTTTATAAGAGTAGATTTCACACAAGAAGAAAAACAATTAAAGATTTCAAATCAAATATAATGTACGGAAAATAAGTACGAAATTTCAAAATATGTAGATATAACGGGCAAGGTAGAACAATGTAAAATGTGGGGAGCCTAAATAAAAAGCATAGCTTGTATGTGAATAGGCTCCCGTACTTAATCGGACATGTGAATTGAGTTTCTTTGTAACTTGATTATATACCATTACCATAGCTATATGATTTCTATTTCATATGTCTGTCTCTATACTGTAAAATGTGGAGAGAGCAACAACAAACAAACTTGAAAACTTGAAATGCAGGAAAACCACAGGTTTTTTAAAGCAAGGATATCGAAATTCACGACGTTGGATGGAATTACCCCCTCCGACCACTTTCCTGTTCGGTTGCTTCGCTACCTCGCGGGGTCACATTAACGATGCCATCCAATTTCTAAACACCCCCTTGATAAAAATCCTTACAGGCCGGTATGGACGTGTGACCATAGTTCGCGTGTGCCCTCAGTAATTCGCTATCTCAAAAATCGGTAAGATTTCGAAAATCTAATATATAGGCCTATAGTGGAAAGAGGAACATAAATTAACCAGAGATGAAATTTTCTTTGGAATTGGGTGCGAAATTGAGAAAATATTGACAAAAGATCGGTAAATTTTGCAGTCATTATTTTGTGTCCGTTCCGAAAAATTATCAACTTACCGATAAGGGTCTGGAAATCTACATTTTGAGAGCAGATATCCTCAAAATTGTGAGTAAAAAGTGCTCCCAAACTGGTTGTATGATATATTGCCTTGCAAATTACGATATTATTATTTATTTATTTTATTAATTGCGTTTTTGATAAATCAGCTGTAAAGCCGTGCGCGAAATAAGTTCTCGTTGTTTTTATAACGTTTTTAGTTGCAGAGCGCACGCCGATCCAAAATTAAAATGATGAGTCATCTACATAATTATGCAGGAAACAATAATTGTGATAAATATGGTCAAAATATAGGTAAAGGGTAGGAGAAACAAGAAATGGTAAATTTCCATATTGAAAAGGGATGGAAATTACCCATGTTAATATCAGAAGCTTAACTTAGGTAAACGATGTTCAGTATTTTTTGACAAAATAAAACATACGATTTGTTCAGTTAGTCCGAAAATAGTTAAACGATGACATTGTATGAATCAAATCAATTATGTGCCTGGATATAAATGTGTGGTTAAACAGAGGCCGGTTAGTTGGAGGAGGAGTGGCTTGCCACATAGAGGAAAATATATCTTACTTAAGAAGAACGGATTTGGACTGAATGTCACAAGATTGAACTGATGTGTTTAGAAGTAAAAAGGCACCAAAGCAGTCCTATTTTGTAGATATAGATCCATCCAGTGATGCAACTCTTCAATTTTCTTTAATATACTATAACAAAATATTAATGATGTATTTTCTGTCACAAATTCTGTCACTATTGTTTTTGGTGACTTTAATTGTAATATGATGACCATTGTCTGTTATGCGACCTATCGTATATAATGCTCGCCATATATACCATGCACCCAAAACCTTCGACAAATACTATTTCCTAAAACAGAATACAAAAAATTGATCCTTTTTATTCACCGGAAATTGCCATTGTCCGTCCAGAATTGCAAATCACAATTTCAAGAAACAATGTAAACATTTCTCTAACATGCTTTAAAAAAACACGACAATCTGACTACTGTGGGGGGGGGGGGGGGGGGGGGGGTTCTCGCCGTGCATCTCATGTGCGCTCCATGTATAGTTTAATCAAAATGTACAAATGTTTTTTTTTTTATATATTGAATTGTATTGATGTTTTCATGCATTCATGTTTTGTTTTTTTATGTTGACTGATTTTGATTGTATCATGTGGTGAGGGAGGGCTCCGTTGGAAAGCAGTTCTTTTAACTGAATCGGAATACCCTTCACTGTTTTATCCATTGTAATAAATAAAACATAAATAAATGTTAGATTCGAGAGTCATTCAGTCCCAGTTTCGTATAGCTCCATATTTTAAAGCTTCGGCAATCTTCTCCTCCGTAAAACGATGATGATTATCCACAGACGTTCTTACAGATTATGGTTAACAAACGATGATAACAACAGTTCCAAAAATCATGAAATGTAAATGTAAATCTCAGAAAACCAACTCGATAAAGCCAACCCGAAGAGCACAGTTTGTGTAAACTCGATATCAGGCGTCTGGACGTCAGTATTTATAGTTCAGTTTGTTTTCAATTTGCAATAGTCAGTTCATGTTTTGCTCCACAATCTTCAAACTTTAATTTCTTTCAACAAACAGAGGATTTTTTATTTATAGAAACATTTGAAATGCATTAACGTAATAAACACTCCACTCTAATTTTTTAAAATAAGTATGGAATCCTTATAATGAGAATAGTAGCTTCGTGACGGCGGCGGAACATTACGTAATGCGCCAAAGTGATTGTCAGGTTTTTCGTCCAATCAGCGTACATCGAACGTGTATAGCTTTGTGGGCGGAGTTAATCTCCCCCGGAATTCCGGGGGAGAATGGCAGATTCGTCTGGACCGTATTCAGGACCCAGATTTAGAGGAATGGCTAGGTCTACTTTCAACGTTGAGGGTGTGTTATTTTATCAGCTGATTGGTTGGGTGCGCTAAACGAAAACGGTACAGAGGCTGGACTAGATACCCCTGTGCATGTATTATAAGCACTAAAAAAAATTAATCCCTAAAACACTTCAGTTTTCGAGAAAAATTGAATATAAAAATTTACCGGTGCTCCCCGGTAAATTTTGATAAATTTCAAATAGCGCCTACGGCCGTACAATGGTAGCTGCGACCATAAAAATCTCAGAATATGTAGTTGTGATATATAATTTCCAAACGGGAATAGCTAAACGGTCAATTTTAGTAAAGAAATATTGTTTCATAGCTAAATTGATATCTTGACCTTGAGAGGGAGCTTTACAACGTAAAGAGTTTATTATTCATAATTTTATAACTTTAGACTCGATTTCAACCGGGACAACGATCAATGAATACTGTAGGAACGCATATGCTTCCAATATGTTAATTTGAACCAAATTCATGACCCCATACCAAAACTTTGTAATGCCTTTAAACTTAAATACCATGTTAAATAGGGTAGAGTACCCAGTATTCGGTCACTTAAGGGGAAATCACTAATATTTTGAATTCTTACCTCTTTCATTGGGCAATCTACCCATCAAAAGAAAAGAAATTTATTCCTCTAACAGGATTTTAAAGTCACTGAAAATATAGAATAACGATAAGCAAAAGACTTCCGAAAGAAGATGGAGCATATTTCTGCCCAGAATTCGGTCGCGCCGACTAGAATTCGGTCACGCGATTTGTGCGTGGTATCTCCGTTGCAAAGGAGCGTAGCGTATTTGCGCACTATTTTCACACAATTGCGCGATAAAGCACTGAATGTCAATGCGTTGACCGAATACTGGCTGAGCGATACCGCATGGCAAGGGTATCGTATAAATACCTCTTGCACATCGGCAAGTGCGTCATTTGCAAATTCGCTGCGATGGAGCGAACACGGAAGTGATTCTCTTCACACACATACTAAATTCATTGTGACAGCACACGTAGTTGTTTCGCAATAGACTTCTACATATGGCTATGCATGTTAGCGCATGTGCTAAGAGAACGCGAAAGTGCGGAAAGTTGTGCGACACTGACCAATTTCGAGCTAAGTTGGAGATCTTTCCGGGGCCCTAAATCTGATTTAATTTTGAGAGTTAAGAAAAGTTGTTCAGCTGCCTGATTTGTGCAAGTTTCGTGGCTCATAAATTATTTTTTAAATTGTTACAGCTGTTGAAACGGCTGTCTGACCGAATACTGGGAATCGACCGAATACTGGGCGCGCTACCCTACATTATAAAGAGGGAGTATGCTTCATAATGCTTTCATCAATAATTTCACAATTAGATTCTAATTATTTTTTCCTCCCTTCCTTAGTGTAATTTCAGTAACACTAAAACATGACCTTTATCAAGTTGTCATAAACATTACACCAAAAATCATCACTATCAGTCTTTAACTTCAACATGACTACTGGATAACCCCCAAGACTTTTTAAATATGCTACGTTCCTCTTTCTTTGCTCAGGATTCTCAACCTAGCTCAGGTGAATAATTTACCAAAATATGAGTAAAACTAATAATGCCTCAAGGCTGACAAGGACCAAAGCTATGATCACTGATTAACCTTCAAAACATGATTTTTCTAAATCCGAGCAATAAAAAAAAAAAATCCATTGTAAATCTTCAACTCTTATCTTGCAAACAGTTCTCACCTTCATTGAGAAGTTTATTGATGAGAGAACTCAGCTCAGTCACACCAACGTTGGCTGGAACAGAGAAAGGTGTGTTACCAACAACAAACCTGCATGGCAAAATAGAAGACCAAATTGAAAACATTTTACTTAGAGTAAAGGAGCCCGTAATCGGCCAGCTCCCGTTTTCGGCCGATTGGTTGGATGCAAGGTAAAATCACTCTAAAATACATCGCATAATAGCATAACACATATCCCACACATACCATACCATGCCAGTGTCACTGAAGAACCACATTTGCAATGGAAAATATATCCTAAAATATCACATTTTAGCGATGTAATCGGCGGTCCCGCTACCCGAATCTGAAAAATCGAGTATTTTACGCGTGTCTGTAAGAAATATGGGTACCATAAAATGAGCTTTATTTCAAGTATTTTTCAGATTTAAAGCCCGATTTTGTGCTAGTCGCAAGCTCAAAAGTATCTCATCGCATGTATTAAATCAATGCAGCCGCACACCGCAACGCACACACGATATCTCTGTCTAATTCAGATTCCAACTTCCGATCACCGCTGTGCCTGTCTTCGGCCAGGCGAGCACCAGGGAGCTCCGGCGTGGGATACCTGCTCCGCCCGCTTGTGCTGTACATCAGCGCGGAAACGCACGGCGCGCGCGAGCGCTTCCTATTGACTTTGTACATGCGGCCGTAAACTGAAACGCTCGGCCGATAACGGGCTCCAAAACAGTGAAAATTGAAATGAATATTGTCATGGCAATTCGTGATTTTTTTCTGGGATTCTTTTTTTGTTTAAATAATAATAATATTTGCTTCATGATTCGAACAAGAAATGATAATAAATAGGAAGTAAAGGGTCCTAAAAAAAGGATTTTGTCTTAAGTGGCCGAAAACGGGCTCCTTTACTCTAGATTAGCATCATTGACAAATGACAATTGATGTCAGGGAAGGCATTTTCAACAGGCCTATCAAAGTATCAGTGTAAAAAAAAAGCACCTCTTCCTACCTCTTCTCCTCCTTTTGCTTCACCTTCTCCTTTTACTTAAGTTTTTATTTCTTCTTCTACATCTTTTTTATTTGCCCATTTTTAAAATATTTTTTGTTTTGTTTTGTGTTTGTTCGATTTTTGCTCGATTGAAATTTCAAATCACATGCACGTTTCAATATGTTGTTGAATATCAAGTGTAGCTACGTTTTGATGGGGATGTTTTAATTATAAATAAATCTAAATGTTTTTTAATAGATTATAAAAAAGAACACACGTTCTAGACAGCTTTTAAACAATCTGCAAATCATTGTAACACGAATTCCAACGTATGGGACCAATGGAGCAAAATCACAATTATTAGTCACACAACAGACACGTATTCTCGCATAATAACCTCTCTAAAATGTATCATAACTCAGCATTAGGCCAGTCAAAACGAAAAAGTGTGACTAGATATACATTACCTCTTCTGTTTCGTGAAAAATCGGGCTTGTAAATGCGAACCCACGCTACTGCTTGTGGAAGCTGCCATCTTGCAAATCTTCAATACACGTGCGAATATCCATATGCGCATAATACGTGCGATGTAATGTAGCGGTTCGCAGGAGGGTGTCGGGGGGGGGGGGGGGGGTTCTAGAAAGATGTATTTTCTCCTTTAGGTTTACCATATACGTTTTGCTTATGTTAACCTTTGGGTTAATTTGTTTCCATTCCAACGAACTAATAGGAATTATATAGCTAGTACTCAGTTCAGTAGGTAAGGAAAAATGAAGATCATTGAAAACAAATCTTACAAATATTCCCAAAACTATACTTTTAATTAGTATAGGCCTACGCATGCTAAGGTTATGCATTTTCTTTTATTTCCCTACACTTTAATTCTATATACTGAATTTGAACTTTATCATAATTTACAAAACAAATTACACAAGGACAGCCTTTTAATTCACCGCCCCTATAAGCTTCCTCTGCTATTCTCTCTCATGTCACTGGCTCTATTCAAGTGTTTTTAAAATTCCTCCTTTCCCATATCATTTCTCATGCAGCAGACTACTCCATTTTCCCCCTTCTCTCTCTGTAAGTCTCTCTACATGTATATCTTTCCCCCTTCTCTCTCTCTCTCTCTCTCTCTCCATCTCTCTCTTTCACTGACTCCATTGTCTTATTCCTCCTTCCCCAAATCGTTTCTCAGCAGACTACTCTATCCCCCCCCCCTTCTCTCTCTCTTTCTTTTTTCTCTCTCTCTCTCCCCCCCCCCCCCCCCCATCTCTCTTTCTCTTTCTCTCGCTCTCTCTCTCTCTCTCTCTCTTTTTCTTTCTCTCTCTAATTATCACCAACTCCATCATCATTCAAATTTCTTCCTTTTCATTTCGTTCTCAGAAACTCACACAATTTTCTTTTTTCTCTTCAGCACAGCAAAAGGTGCAGAAAAATTTATGGGGTGGTGGGGGCACCAACAAGTGTTTTGTATTAATTCTTCGGCACATATTATTAAATATTCAAACAGTAGTTTAATTGGAGAAGAAGGGGAATGAGAAAAGTAGAATGATGAGGAGAAGAAGAAGAGAAAATAAAATGAAAGATGAGGAGACATGACAACCAAAATATCAAGAAAACCATTGAAGAAGAACAAACTAGAATTAGTACTCAATGGTATACAGTACATGCATGTATACATATACATGTGTTTATTTTTTTCCTCTCTCTGCGTTGAATGCCACTCAATATGATAATATATTTGTAAAAATACAAATCACTATACACTTCCACCAAGATGAAAGTTCATATAAAGCTGTGTCCATATGCTGACTGGAAATGCATATTGGGAGCAGAATCTCTTTTCTTCTTCAAGTTAAAATAGTTTCAACATAGCTTGACTCAAACTGCAGCTTAGGACCCTTTGAATATTAAAGGGATCCGGTAACTTTGTCTCAGATTCTGAAACAAAATCCTGGATTTAGCTCATGCTGCAATGACAATTATAAACCTTTAGGTCAGTCAGGAACCCCATGACTTTTACAAGCCGATCGCCTGTCTGATTATCAAGACATTTATGATTGAAATTACAAATTGGGGAAATTACAAATTGGGGAAAACAAATATGGTAAAACTGGTCACTCAAATATCTTTACTTTTTTGAGGCACTTCTTGATCATTTTGAAGCGCGATTTTTTTTTAGGGCTTTAATATTACATCATATCACAGACACTGATAACACGTAGGGCCGTGCATCTCAGATTTAACATTGTTAAACGATCCCTTTAAGCACTCTCATTTTATGTGTAAATGGTAAAATTTGTTCTATCCTAATTTCATGTTATAAACACAACATGGGGATTTAATCATTATACATTCAAACCTCATTATATATTTATTTTTGGAAAGGACACTGTCATAACAGAAGCAGATTGCCATGAAAGCAATGTACTTTCTGCAGAACCACTTCTCAGTATTCTTTGATGTTTGGCTTATTGTTTAGTTAAGAGCGAGGAGGGGATTTCTGTTAAAAGTATCCATCTTCTACACCGTTTTTTTCTCTATCCCTGCATTTTCTTCGCTGTATTTTGTACATCAATCCATCCTCTCTTACTGAAACAAAAGATCATCCACATTTTCATGATCATTGACATCCTTGACCTTTCACCCCTATCGATCTCTGTGAAATTTCATACACCAGTTCAATGACCTTCTCCTTTCACAGTTGATGTAGGTGTCATACAGGAGTGCCTTCATTCTTCGTCGCTTTGACGGACCCTCCATCTTTCAACTCTGCCAACGCCATCATGTCGACCACATGCTGAATCCCTTCAAGATTGTCCTTGTACTGCCTGTCCGACGCGGTCACAACCTCAATCTCTTCCAGGGCTTTGGAGTTCTTGAGCTCACCAACTGCACCGTCGACAAGGACATTCAGCAGCCAGTCTGGGTTCTTCTGGGGCTCGTTGGTGAGAGGTGGATAGGGGTTGCCTGCGTATTCCAAGAAAGCCATCTTGCGACCTCTTTCCTCATGGAAGCCTGGTACACGAAGGAGCTGGGTGAAGTTCTTTGAAGCGTCTTCGAAGCGAGGTCCTAGTACCTTGAAAAGCTTGTGGATTTGTTTCTTATCCTGTTTTGGCATTAAGAAAAGAAAGAGACACAATTTGAAGACAATGTGACAGCAAACTTCTATCCGCAAAACACACAATGCTTTTTTTTTACATGAATGCTGAAAGTAAACTCCAAATCTAAAGAGTCATGAACATTAAATATTACAGCAATCCAAGTTCTCCCAATTCATTCTTTGGGGATTTTGTTTGTTTCTTTGGTTAGATTGCAGAAATTATTCAGTTATAACCAAACTAATTTTAAGTTATTAAACAACATCATTAGACATGGAGTATCTCTAGAACAAGGCTTTAAAAAGTACTCAAGGCATGTACATTTTTGTATGTGCATAATATGCATGTTCTCTGGGTCTGTAAATCATTATTTACTCAATATTACTATCTAAATTAAAAATGATACAAAAAGACAGTTTCTAACAATCCAAAAGACCAAGACTAAGTAAACCCAGAATTCTACCGAACTTTCAACCTAACGCTGGATGTTTAAACTTGATCTGAACTCTAAAGCAGAGTTTATTGAAGGCATTTAGGCTGCTGTCAATTTTTCCCATTTGTTTAGGGTAACTAGAGGGTCTATAGCTATAGTCCACATGTTGGGCTTAACAAAATTAGTACAATAGTTGATAAGGGCCATGTTTTCAGAACATTGACACTTACCTTCAACCAGAAATCAGCTATCTTCATGGCCTCTGGATCTCTATCGCCTCTTTTCGCAACCTGAATAAGCTGTGAAAAAGAATGGTATACAAATAGTGAATGGCCATGAGTGCAATGGTACAAGATTTTGCACGAGGTGAAAGATAAGAAAGGCTATATTCAACGAGGCGCAGCCAAGTTAAATGGAGCTTCTCATCTTTCACCGAATTCAATTACATGATCAACTTCAGGTTATAGCTCCAGAAACTCAATCGGCTTATTTGCAGAATACCCTACCATATTGTTAGTCTTCATATATTAGCCGTAGATATAGATTGTGATTTTATTATTTGCGATAACGGTGATACAGGTATTAAAGATTGTATAATGCAAGTGTTTGAAATCATTTGGTGGATGAAAAGTTGAATTCTATGCCGTTTTGTGCGTCATTGCAGCGCTGAATTTGGTGTGTTTGTCGCTAATTTGTGACAAATTTAGATGGCTTTGCTGATGGTATTTCATGCAAAATGTCTGTTATATTGATAAGCACTGATTCTTTTCCTTACCTTTGTCTTGTTTATTGTCTGTTATAGTCACTTAATAGATGAATTACTTGAATTCTAAGCACATTTCAGTAACACAAAAAGTCCAGCCCGTTCATAGTCCCACACACATATTTCTTTGTACCTTGTGCCCTCTCTTACACTGCTATTCTGCTTTCAAAGACCCTATTAGATATTTTAATCAACAAGTACTAATGTCTTGTTCTAAAAATACAAAAGAAAAAATTAGTTTTGTGCTTAGACTAGACTAGTATTGGTGGGTGGTCGATGGTCGTTGGATGGCTTCTTTTTTAATATTTGTGAGTCCTTGGTCGATGGTCGTTGGTCGTTGGCTTCTTTTTTAATATTTGTGAGTCTTTGGTTGATGGTCATTCGTCGTTGGCTTTTTTTAAAAATATTTGTGAGTCCTTGGTCGATGGTCGTTGGTCGTTGGTCGTTTGCTTCTTTTTTAATATTTGTGAGTCTTTGGTTGATGGTCGTTGGTCGTTGGCTTCTTTTTTAATATTTGTGAGTCCTTGGTCGATGGTTGTTGGCTCTTTTAAACAAATATGCCTCACTATTTGGTCGATGGATGTTGGTCTCTTTTTCTAATATTTGTCAGACTGTTGGTCGATGGTCGTTGGACTCTTCCATTCAATAGTATTTGGTCGATGGTTGTTGGTATTTGGCTTCTAGTATATTTCTAATATTTGTCAGACTGTTAGTTCTAATTCTGTAAAAATTGTGATAGGGTATTCTGCAATTATTCAACTCAATCATAGACAATATTACCTAGTCAAACACAAAAATATGCATTCCATTTCCATTTTAAAATAATCGGTGTGTCGTCATCAAAGCGACAAGACGACGAGGACAGACGACGTCAACAACGGTGCATTGTGTCTTCATTCTAGATCCACTTAGGGATCCATTAGATCTAGGTTTTGAAGTTTCACACAAGTGGATGCGTAGAGCGTTACTTGCATACGTATACACATGCAATCAAGTCACAGTCACGACAAAGTCTCGCACGTGAATTCATTTTGCGTGGTTGTGGATTTAAATTCGCATCAACACATGACATAACGTAAATTTGAATAACTGGGACCGAAGTGAAGGATATCGCACTTACCCTTTCAGCATATTTCTGGGTCTCAAACGCCTTCCTGTACCCCAATTCTATACGTTCATACTTCACAAGCGCTGTTATCAAAGTTTTCAATAATTCTATTCGATTTTCAGGCCCACCGGCCATCCGCAAGTAAGGTTTTAGCTTAAATCTCACCCTCCTCATTTTTATTTTTGTCGTGGTATCGGTGAACAGTCAAACAAGAAAACAAGCAGTGAAAAATAATAATAATAATTCGACTTTTTTTTTCTCACAGCTTCTTATTCTCAAAGCTTTGGAGTCGAGGGCCAGAGCTAAAGGAAGGTTGATGAATGCACCTCAAACGAGTTAAGCCTAATATCTAATAAGTCATAATATAAGACACACTAGGTCTAGGTAAACGCGGGGTAAACGGCCGATTTTCGACTTCAGACATCCCCCCCCCCCCCCATAATTTTTTTAATTTTTTTTTTTTAATGCGGTCACCGACAACCAATTGACAAGAATTCAAAATGACCAGTCGCCCGATGTCGTATTACATTGCCCGGTCATTACAGATTTTCGAAAGTAAATTGCGACCACTCGTGGATTTAATGGGGAATAGTTGTCAGTTATGGGCGATATAATATTAAAGACTGGTTGGATATCAATGACCGATGTTCTTACGACGGTCGTCAGGCTTTGTGGGCCCCGGCTTTGTAAGGGGGAGGGGGGCTGTAATGACGAAAACACGCATAGATATAGTTTACATTTCTCTGCTGATTATTAGCTAATGTATTTTATTAGAAGTGATGAGATTTCATTTATATTTTCACTGCTGTGATGTTTCTTTAAAAACGAATAACTATATATTGCATATAAGCCAATTATTACGACTTCATCATAAAAACGTGAAATTAATTGCTCTCGCGGAATCCAACCCTCTATTTTCATGGAATTGACATTATTCCATTAATATTTTGGGGATAATAGGGACCCCACTGGAAATAAGCTCTCGAGCTTTCGTGGGTTATCCTGTTCAAGCTGACTTATTTCTGATCTGTTATTATTGTATATTGTTGTATGTTGGAAGCTTGTCGAATAAAAATCAATCAATCAATCATAAAACCTCATTTCTCTCGTCATGCTCGTGGCATCCCTTGAGACGCCTTGCGGCCCCAAGGAAAAAAACGCTATATTACTAGAGATGGTCAAAATTTGAGGGGGCAGATTGACCAGGCAAGAAGGGGGTATCACTCCTCATCCCTTTAGAGTGGGAAAATGTTGCACTTTAAAGGGAATTGGACACAAATGAACATAATCTCTCCGTCTCTTTTACCGTATGTCTTCTTTCTTTTACTCCTATCCATCTCAATGTCTTTTCCATAGCACTACATCCTGACTTATGGATCCTGCTGAGTATCGTCATAGAAGTAGAAGAAGTACTTCTCTGCTGTACGTATACTATAACTACATCAAAGACGCAGATTTTATCACCTCATAGCCCTTTTCTCGATAATTTGACAAAAATTCGGTGTTACCTGCAGAGAGATGAGAGTTTTCACAACTAACATGTACTTGTTATTATTGTAATGTATACCTTGTGAACTTTCTAATAATGTTGGTCGGGTAGGCCCTATTTTGCCTTGACTAAACTTTACCAACTGTTACAATGTATTACATAAAATATGTCTTCATTGAATAAACTGGATTTGAACTTATACGTCAACCACCCCACTCGAGGTCAAAGGGCAGACTCATTGCGCGTTGCTTGGTTACCACTAATTACGCGCCAAGCTTGAAGTTCATCCACCTGCTGGCCAAAGCAGCTCTGCTAAGTCACAAATCTTTGACCAATAGCGCGGCATCCCTGCGCGCATCATTATCCTTGGCAACATGGTAGCAACCGACAAAGCGCGCCCTTTTTTGTAAACATTATGGTATGAATACCAAAAAGTGCTAGACAGAATAAATTCATTTTATAGATGAAAGTCACTTCGGATTGTTAACAGTTTAACCCTGGAACAACAAATAGTTTGAAGTTAAATTGGTTTATGACTTAAAATATCTACTCATGGAAGTAACCGAAGAGGAGACAGAGACAGAAGCAACCCCTTTCACCGTCTTTAATGAACTTCGTAAAAACAAGCAACTTTGCGATGTATCTTTGGAGGTCGGCGATCAGACGTTTCCCGCCCATCGCAATGTCTTGGCGGCTTGCAGTCGATACTTTCGCGCCCTTTTCACCATCGGGATGCACGAGACGGATGAGAAAGTGATCAAAATCCCCGGTGTGGAACCCAGTCTGATGGAGCAGATCCTCGATTACATTTACACCAAACAAACTCCAGTCAACTCGGAGAATGTGGTCGAACTTCTACCAGCAGCCGACCAGTTCAACGTAGAAGGTAAGCAACAACAAAAAGTTTCGAAACTGAAGTTAAGTTTTCCTTCTAAATGTTGACCTAGATCTAGACCTATGTCTAAAGTGTTAAACATTAGATTTGCTGTTTCATTTCGAATATCATCATAAAGTAAAAGGAGGAAGAGTCTAGAGTCTAGATCCCATAAGGTCTTGACCTAGAACTTAGTCTTGGAGTTGGATGAAAAGTTAGAGATTCAATTCAAAGGTAGATTCTAAGATTCTAAGACCTTATCTTACAAATGGACGATCATTATTAAAGACTTCAAAGAGAGATATACACACGATAGAAATGTATCACAACTTCTGGTGTAGATCTAGCTTAAGTTTAGGAAATGTAGTAGAGTAAAGTACCCGGTAATCGGTCAGCTCCGGTTTTCGGCCAATTGGTTGGATACATGGTAAAATCACTTTAAAATACATCGCATAATAGCATAACACATATCCCACACATACCATACCATGCCAGTGTCACTGAAGAACCACATTTGCAATGAAAAATATATCCTAAAATATCACATTTTAGCGATGTAATCGGCGGTCCCGCTACCCAAATCTGAAAAATCGAGTTTCTTACGCGTGTATGTAAGAAATATGGGTACCATAAAATGAGCTTTATTTCAAGTATTTTTCAGATATAGAGCCCGATTTTGTGCTGGTCGCAAGCTCAAAAGTATCTCATCGCATGTATTAAATCAATGCAGCCGCACACCGCGACGCACACACGATATGTCCGTCTAATTCAGATTCCAACTTCCGATCACCGCTGTGCCTGTATTCGGTCAGGCGAGCACCCGGGAGCTCCGGCGTGGGATACCTGCTCCGCCCGCGTGTGCTATACATCAGCGCAGAAACGCACGGCGCGCGCGAGCGCTTCCGATTGACTTTGTACATGCGGCCGTAAACTGAAACGCTCGGCCGATAACCGGCTCCAAAACAGTGAAAATTGAAATGAATATTGTCATGGCAATTCGTGATTTTTTTGGGGGATTCTTTTTTTGTTTAAATAATAATAATATTTGCTTCATGATTTGAACAAGAAATGATAATAAATAGGAAGTAAAGAGTCCAATAAATAGGATTTTGTCTTAAGTGGCCGAAAACCGGGTACTTTACTCTAGTCTAGATAGGGGTGCAGAGTCCCAAATGTTTATCGGTGCTTTTCAGTATCTACTTTTCAATGTGATGATGATTTTTTTTTCACAGATGCTTTTTTCTTCTTTCTCCTTGGTCTTCAACTTCTTCTCACCTTTCCTATTTCTTCATCTTCTACTTCTTCTTCTTCCTCTTTTTCTTTTTCTCCTCCTCCTTCATCTTCTACTTCTTCTTCTTCCTCTTCATCTTTTTCTCCTCATTTTTCTTCTTCTTCTTCTTCTTCTTCTTCTTCTTCTTCTTCTTCTTCTTCTTCTTCTTTTTCTCCTCCTTCTTCTTCTACTCCGTCTGCTTTCTCCTTTCCCTCTTTCTCTTCTCTCCATCTTCCCAGGTTTGGTCAAAGAATGTTGCGCATACTTGGAGGACCACTTCGGCGCGAGTAACTGCGTCGGGATGTGGCGTTTCGCTCGCTCCTATTTCTGTTTCCTCCTGGAGCAGTCGGCTTTTCGATACATCCTCAATCATTTCGAGGAAGTCGCACTCGGGGGCAAGGCCGAAGAATTCCTTGAGCTCACCATCGAAGATCTAGAGTGCATCGTCAAAGAGGTATCTGTCCTGCATAAGATGCATTTTTTCATAAATAGGTCTATTATGTAATTGTTGACTTTTTGTATCGGAAGGGTGTGGTCAATATTTCCACTCGTTTTTATATGACTAACTACGGGACATGAGGGGCAGAGCCACTCATGTTTCTTCAGATAATTTCAAATGCCCCCCTCCCCCCTCCCCACGACACACGGACTTTCCCTGGTTGAATTTGCGTTCCTCCGTGATACATCATATCAGTCTTCAACTGTTTTTAGCGCATTAATATTTAAAATCTTTACGTTTACTACCGTGGCGACTTTTTGGCATATCATTGCAAAACTTGAACGTTTACCAGAGGAATCATCTTAATCTGTCTTTCACTTTCAGGATGAGTTAAACGTGAAGATGGAGGAGTATGTCTTTGAGGCGCTGGTTCGCTGGGTTCGACACAAGGAGACACAAAGAAAGCAATGCATTCCTCGTCTTCTGCTTCTAGTTCGGCTGGGTATGATCAACACAGACTACTTCATGAACAGGTGAGATGTTTTTAAAGCTGCTGTAATGATGATTATCTGGTTATGATTACGATGATGATACTGGTGCCGATGGCAGTGATTGAGACTATGATGATAATGATAAAAATGACGGAGATGGTGATGATGATAAATACATTATAGTCTCTTATTATTTATATTTACAATATATTTTAGTTCATGGTTTATCCACGACATCGTTCGTTCGTGTCTCCTTAGATCAAGATTAATGTAACTTGATCTTTGGAGTGGTTGGCTGGTTGCTACAACCGGCCGTGTCAGACACGTTGCCCCGGGGTGCGAGATAGGACTCTTGTAGCGTACCCCCACTAAGCACAATTATACAATAACAATTAACATTACATTTAATTAAAAGAATGAAGCGATTAAAATTACTCTCATGTTACGGGGAAAAATATTAGATATATACAGTGGCGGATCCAGGGGGGGGGGGCCCGGGGGGCCCGGGCCCCCCCCCCCCCTTGAGAAAAAAATCATGCAAAATCACGCGATTTTTTACCTTTTTGGGGGGTTGGGCCCCCCCCCCCCCCTGGCGCTCAAGGCGGGGGTGCAAATTTTAAAATTTTCGAGGACCAAAAAAAAAATTGTGCTCACTACCCCTCCCCCCCCCCCCCACTTTTTTTGGGACTCAAAAAAAAAAAAAAAAATTAAATGTCCGCTTACCCCCCCCCCCCCCACTGAGCGACTTTTCGGCCGGCGCGATTTTCAAATTTTCGGGAGCAAAAAAAAAAAGAAAAAAGTTGGGCCCCCTCCCCTAAGAAATCCTGGATCCGCGCCTGGATATATATTAGGGTCTATTATGAATCAATTGATTTGATCCACGACATTAACATGGTCAACGTCAAAATGCTCATCACTTAAGTTTTTTGTTTTAACCCTCAGCATCAAAGCTCATCCACTTGTTCGTGACGTAGAAGAATGTCGGGCTGTCATTATCCAGACTATCCACTACACCTACAACTTCGATCCCAACGAAACGCCTAAGGGACCAAGCGCAGTGCTTTCTCGACCACGGTATGTGACAACCAAGTGGCTTAACGGACCAAATATGGGGCCAGGGACCCGTTTCACAAAAAAGGGGGGTCTAGCTTTTTGCCAAGGAGGGGGGGGGGGGGAGGGGAGGGGGGAGGGGTTGACCCAATGGTGGATCCAGGATTTTCCAAAAATCGCGCCGTTTTACTGTTTTACTTTTTTTGTCTTCTTTTTTCATTTTTTCACGCTTCTTTTCCCCCCTTTTTTTTCTTCACTTGGCCGCTCAAGGGGGGGGGTTAAACCTCCGAAACCCCCTAGATCTGCCCCTGCAAAGCCTATTTTCAATGACAAATGACAAAAATCAGTGACAAATCTGCTGATAACCAATCAGAAGCATCGATTTCACTAGCTTATAACAAAAACTATCATTTGTCACTAATGACAAATTTTGTAAAACACCACCAGAACACTAGTAAAACGGAGGACGGGGGAAAGGGCAGCGGTCTACAAAGTTGGTGAAATGTTGATTAACAAGGGATAAGAGGAATTATGTGGGAAGTGTCTTATCATCTCCTTTTTACGTTCCATTCCTCCAATTTCTTTCTCTTACTCCTTTTGTGTGTGTGTGTGAGGGGGGGGGGTTACTGTTTGATGGAAGTGTGTTACCCATACCTCTGTCATGTTAGGAGCTGCATAATTGTCGGCAATTTGGTGTTAAGTGCCCCACCCCGTTTACCTAATTGAAGGGGCTATGTTGGCAAATTTGAAAATCTCCGATTCTTGTCTGCATGTCGTCGGTCATTATTAATTTCAATTTGTTGCCAACTTAACTTGTGGGGAACCCTTACAATTCTCACTTTCCCGTCCGATCTCCAGACTTCCGTTCAAGCTCCTGTTCGCCGTCGGTGGCTGGAGCGGCGGTAGCCCGACCAGCGCCATCGAATGCTACGACACCCGGGCCGATCGCTGGGTCCTCCTCGACACCGTCAACAACAAACCACGGGCTTACATGGGCATCGCAGTCCTCAACCAGAAGCTATACGCCGTAGGCGGGTTCGACAGTAACCAGTATTTCAACAGCGTCAGGTGCTTTGATCCCGTCAAAAAGGTATTCTTTTTATGATTCTCATTCGTCACCCGTGTCATTTAGATCGGTGTGAGATACGTAAACATTTTCTTAATATTAATACATATTTTTCAATTGTAAATATACATGTATGATAGGGTGTTGGGTGTCCGGACACTTTACAAACATAAAGGCTTTTCTTTTGCCTTCGGAATTAACGGTCAATAGGCCTAATCACCAAATAACACTAACCATCGTGAACATTTGTACTTTAAAATATTGTCCCATGTAAGTCTTAAAAGATTATGAAATATTGCTTGCAAACTTCTTCAAACTGCTATTTTAAATCAACTGTCCGGATACTCAACCTGGCCGGACAGACATCGTCTGGGTTCCTCTTGAGAATTTTTCTTTACCGTTTTCTAGCCTCACTCCTCATATTTAAATAATATGTTAACAGTGTTCCTCTTCTCTCTATTCAAGTTCTCCTTCTTCTACACTTTTTTGCTGACAATCCTTACGTCATGTATGAAATCATGAACATTATCATAATCTAGACTTGTGAAGTTTTTAAAAATTTATATCTTCTTTCATAGTCTTGGATCGAAGTCGCGCCGATGAATTCCCGTCGGTGTTACGTGAGTGTGTCAACGCTTGGTGAACATGTCTACGCTATGGGAGGATTCGATGGCCACACACGTCTCAAGACTGTTGAAAGGTAGGACCAGTTGTTTGCCCGTGATTTAAGCAATGATCATTGTAAGTTGTCTAAGAAAAGCATGATTAGCAGATTGGTAGTGTCCTTTGCACTCGCGCCATTATTCTGGTTGCTTATCGTGCCTACCTACTCTAATTAAGCTTATGTTTATACCCCTCTCAAATGATGATTGCTAAAAGCACGCGAGTCGCTGACACGCATCTAGGTTTGAAAATGACACCATTGCGCAACAGGTGGGCATAACGAACAGACACCACATTTTCGCGAATATACTTCCATTTGACTGGGAGGAAGTAACTTACCTTTGAGAACGTCAAAGATCGTTTATAAAACTGAGAAATCCGAGAATCGGAAGAAGGTGTACGTAAGGAGTGAACATTTGGCATATTTAAAATGAAAAATAGGTTCGAAACAAGATTTGTTCCTGTATGTTACAATGTCTCGTAACTTTAATGCCTCAATCGTGTTCTAACTCGCATAACGACGATTCGGCACCACGCGGACGCGGTGCGTCATTTTCGTCACCCCGTTAAACCATTGTTAGTCACAATCAGGCTCCAGCGACAGTAGCTAAATTTTCGGTTATCCTACACAGGTACGACCCGTCCTGCAACCAGTGGACCTTGATGCACTCGATGAACCACCATCGTAGCGATGCCTCGGCGTGCCGTCTCGACGACAAGATCGTCATCGTCGGCGGCTTCAACGGCAACGAATGCCTGAACTCGGCCGAGGTGTACGATCCCGAGCTGGATGAGTGGCGGGATATCCCCCGCATGAACAGCAGGAGAAGCGGTGTCGGAGCAGTAGCATTTAGGTAAGATTATCTGATATACCCGTTCGTAGTCTGTTGAGATCTAGAATGATGTTAAATCATGATTGGGTTTCCGACTCAAAGCAGATGGGATCTCCTCTGTTAAAAGTTACATAGTGTATTGTTAGGAGTCTTGACTAATGATCCCTCTTCCCCCAACACCTCTAGCACTTTATTTTTGTGCGACAGCTTCAGACAATAAGTGCATAGCTTATCTTTGATACCAATTTAATTGTACTTGAGATATGCAAGAGTGCATTTTCTATATGCCTAGCATGTTCAGATGAATAAGGATGAATGTATTTACCTCCTATGGCCCTTGTTCAATACTCGCCGTTCTCCTCCCATTTTTATTTCCCGGATATTTTTTTTACATCTTCAACCGTCTCATCGAGATGACGGATCATGTTAACCACCCTCGCCAAATTTTGATTTACTTTGTTAATTGAAGGCAATCTCAAATTTTCTTTTCAACAGGGATAGTGTCTATGCTGTCGGGGGCTTTAACGGCCTCACCCGTCTCAACTCAATGGAGCGATGGAAGCCCGGCACGATGCAGTGGATTGGAGCACCCAGTATGTACATCCACCGCAGCAACTTCGGCGTCGCCGTCCTGGACGATATGATCTTTGTCATCGGGGGCTTCAACGGTATCACGACCATCTACAACGTCGAGTGTTACGATCCCGACAATGACGAATGGTGTGTATAATGGTGGTTGGCACAACGTAACAGGAGTGCCGTGACATAGTCAAACAAAAGAGTAATAGAAAATACGATTTAATTCCGAATTTCTTTGATCCCGACCCCCCCCCCTCCCACCCCTCAATAGCATAATTGAAATATAATTATTTTAAGTAAATGCTTTCGTCGCTTTCACAAAGTCAATTATCAATCTCCATCTTAAAAGAGGTATATTGAAGAGGATTTTTTACAAACTGTTTAGATTACAAAAATGACAAATTCAGTAAGAGAAGACGAAATGAGAAGAAAGATAATGAAACCATATATATATTACTTATAAAAGTATAAAACGAAATTATTATTTAATTAGTATTTCAAACATTGTCTGAATCCATGAAGTATATCATAAACTTTATTTTACCCGAAGTAGGTTGGTCGACTGGAGATTGATACGAACGACTCTTTTATCGGCTCCCTATTTGTATAGGTACGACGCTTGCGACATGAACGTCTACCGCAGCGCCCTGAGCATCGGCGTCGTGTCCAACCTCCCCAACGTCCGCGAGTTCACCTGGCCCCGTGATCGAGACCTGCCACCCCCTGCCTTCGTGCCCACCCAGGCCTCCCTCGAGCAAGCCGCTATCGCCATGGAGGAGAGCAACGCAAGCAGCGATGAGCGGGTGCTCGATGACGAGGAGGATGACGAACCTGTCAACCAGGAGGTGGCCGACGAAGCAGGTGAAGACTACGGGGCCTACTCGCCGAGCATGTTCCCACTTCCGGATAATTTACGACGAAACTGAATTAAGAAACCGACTGCATGATTTGGGGAATCCTTTGTATTATACTCTTAATTAAAAACCGGCTTAGAATATTTTGCAAAATTCTTCCCTCTCGTCAAAAAGGCATGTCAAATGAATGAGGATAATGCCTTAAGGCTCGTTCACATAAACCGCGTTTGGCCACGGCGGTTTACCGCGGTGTTTGTGAACAAATATTGTCTTAAGCCGGTTAATATTACCTTGGGCTCTTCCATTTTCACACAACTTCAAAAAATCAAACGCAAATACGACTTCTTTGTTTATTGTGAAAAGTAAATTTGCGTTTAATTTTTGGAGTTGGCTTTAATACCAAATGAAAATGGGAAAGGCCTCGTGTAAAGGAAACGATCGGGAAGATTTTGAATCGTAATTTTTAGTTATACATGTTGGAAATTAATTTGATTTAAAAAAAGTACAACACCGAAAACCTTGAATATGAGAAAAACCCACCCCCGTAATATAATCGTAATTATCTTGTCCTCAGCCTTTGATTGATAATCCTTAAGTTATAAGAAATAAGTATTTCCAAAAGGCAGGTGTTTTTTTTTAACCATTCAATATAAGAAAGAAAAGAAAATCTTTTTTCAAGAGTGAGATGTAGAGCTTTAGAACACAAAATTTGGGAAACATATTTTCTGAAAGATTATCGTTAACAAGTTGCGTAACCAATTTCCAAGTTTCGGGCTTTGGGCTGTACTCAGGTGATATGAGGGAACTTCATGCGACTAAAAATGTAAAATATCCTTTATTACTTTGCTTGCAGAAATTGACGAATTTCTTCTGCAACAAGCTGCTCTTGCAGAAGAGAACGCGGCTGATGACGAAGATTATGAGGAGGAGGAGGGTGACGATGATGACGATGATGATAATGACGATGTCGACGGTGATGAAGTGGTTCAATTTCCTGATCGATCACCGAATATGCATAGGCATCCGGGTCTTATTCCACTCTCGGGTGCTAGTAGTCCATTGCAACCACAGGGAGACAGTGAGCAAAATGACGGAGTGGGCTCGAGCGCGTCATAAAACATAATGAAACATAAATCAATCATTTTTTTTCGGAAGCGGAACTCACTATGAGATCGTCTGGGGGTTATGATCATTTTATAGCATCATCCACATGTGGAATTTAATTCCTTTTCATACATAAATCTGTGAATTCTCAAATAAAGTTATCAAATTTTCAAATTTGGTAAAAAATATTTATGCATTTGGAGAGGACTAAGCTCGGAATGATTTTCGCTTATTGACACACTGGGCACATGCCACATTTCAAACAAAAGATTATCGGGGACAAAAATCAAATGATATTCATGCAGTTCTTGTTTTGGTAAAACAGTGTTATCGACCGAGACCAATCTATCAATTATTGGGGCTTATTATCGGATTCATTTATGACGAAACCGTTTTACAAAGTGACAATAGCGCGCAGGATGACATATACGGTATCTACCTCGTCATGAAAATCATCATCGTCGTCATCTGTACCCTCCTCATTCTCCTCATCATCATCACAGTCAAGAGGATTATCGGCATCGTCATCGTCAACACCGTCATCATCATCATCATCGTCGTCGTCGTCACATCACCATCGTCATCCTCGTCCTCATCATCTTCGGCCACTCCATATTCGTATCCTCATAAACTAGTCAAACTGCCTAAATTGGAACTCCTGCCCATTGATATAATGTTATCTTAGAAGTAGCTATCGCAATGAAATGTTCTTTTCCGTTGCTGACAAGTTTGGAAGAGTACAAGGAGTAACAATTTTATTTGAACCCATTTTACTGCAAAACGTCTATCAAGCACAGCCATGATGGAGATTAAATGTATCAGGAAGATTTTGATTGATTTAAAATTTGCATCAAATCTTCAAAGCTCTTTTAATTCGAAGTGCATCTTGTTTAAATTCTGGATTCACAGCGCGAACTTAACATTTCAAGTTCGCTATCGAACGATTTTGCAAACTGTTTCGTCGAAATGCCTTCTTTACCGATACGACTACGAACCATAATTGCGGATGAAATGGGAATTCTGTTGTAGTTATTGAAAGATTTAATTTCTTCTGCAATCATATTTTGTAGTTCGATCGCATAGTATTAACTTGTTTTGTAATCAACTACGGGGAATAGCAACGCCCCTGTATCAATTTGTCAAGTTGGGAGTGAGGTAAACTTTGAGATGATTCGACACAATTCACAGAGGGCTCAAGGGGCATGTCCGGACGACTCGGCGTAACTCGTAATAACTCGTATAGACTCGTGTATGTCATGTCGAGATGCAGACGAGTTGCTGCGAGATGTGCCGGGGTATCCCGAGTTGCTTCCCCGAGTTCTGTACGAGTTTTGCCGAGCTAGCTCGTAATCCAGCTCAATGCCCGACTTGTTCCCAATTAACTTTACAAGGTGTGATGGAGACTTAATGCGTTGACTCCTGGGAGCTCCCATTTGCATAGGTTTAAATACAGGGATCGCCCGGTTCCCGTTGGCATTTGGTCAATCGAGTTGGGTGCCGAGTTGTATTCGGAGCTGGATCGACACAGCTCCTCAGAATTCGGGAGGCAGCGCGTGGCGAAGCAGCATAAACTAGGTTGCTCCGACATGACAAATTACTGCCAGCAGATGCTGTCCCGCGCTGTTTCACGAACTCTCTACGAGCTGTGCCCAGGTCGGTCCTGTTCCAATCTGGCGCCCAATTTGGCTCGTCGGAAGCTCGGGGAAACTCGGTATAGGTCGTAGCGAATGAACTGGTTCTGGTTCTGGTCGGCGAACATGTTTAATCTACTTGGATATGGCATATTTGCTAGTTATTCTCGGGTTATCTTCGGGCTGCGCCGAGCTGACTCTGTGTCCGCCTCGGCAGCCGACTCGTGCCCAACTCGGCAAAATAAAGGCCTTTGATTAATATAATTATTTTAACAGGAATGAGATTACGAGCTTGTGTTGTCTCGAGGCCGTATGTGATTTGTTTCTAAATACTTTCTTCTAAATTAACAATGAATTTGCTTTTTTTGTAACTGAAATGCCAGAATCAGAGAAGCATTGATATTGGTACATGTTCTGTATTGCGTTGTGTTCTTGTTTTGTTTGGGTATTTTATGTGATATTGTTTTTGCCAAACCAGCTGTGTTGTCAAAACGATCAGCAAAAATTGTAATTTATACGGAATATTTTTGTTACCTCGTGATCATGTGCGGTAACGATTACAAAAAAAATGTTCTTTATTAATTTATTTATTCTACGTTCTTTTTACGAAATATAAACACCGCTAAAAAAGAGAGAATAGTTGCAAGTATAGTTATAAAACAATAACACAAATCTTGATATATGGAAATAGCGCGAAAAAGGTATATGGCGGGAAAAAGTGAAAATAAAAAATGAAGTCTTCGTTGTTATGATGTTAAAATCATGCGGTTTAAAAAACATCAACTCCGTATTAACAAAGAATGATGTTGAATTAAACTTATCGCACATCCCATAGTTTATGACCGGATATGTCTTTTAAAAGTTTGGCCAAACCAATGAGGCAACAACTATTAAAGACGAAAATTTGTATATCATGAAATATACTTGCAATATATTTGTTTGTACTGAATCGAATAAAATTATTCGAAATATGAAATAAAAATATGTATAAAAAGTAAATAAAATTGTACTACAAATCACCAATTGCTTCTGATGTGTTTTTATGTATCAAGTGTGTGATAATTTGTTTTGTTAATTTCTTAGGCATACTTTTTCTTTTGGCTCGATTGTCAAAGTAAGCTTCAGGTTCAAAGGGAGAACACCATTTGGTAACTACTATTTTTAATGAAAATAAAATCTGCAAAGCAGAGATAACGCCGGAGAAGAAAAGGAATATGTAAGAAGAATACAATCATGATAATGTTAATGATGAGTATGATGATGATAATGATGATGATGAGGGTAAGTAGTTGCATGATACTGATGATGATGATGATTTTTTATTTTTTTATTTATTTATTTATTTATTTCTGATATCTAGATGATGATGATGACAAAGTGATGACGATTACGATGAAGAAGATGGTGATGATGGTTATGATTAAAGTGATGACGATAAAAGTGACGATGATGATGATGATGATGAAAAGAAGGAGGGAGATGAAGATGATAAGGATGACGATCATGATAATGAGCAATGTGACGTCACAATGGCTGGCTCCGCTTAAAACCATACTTCATACGCATCCGCTCCACACTGCACGCATCTATTGTCTTAACGCATTGTGACGTCATCACCTTGGTACTCTGTTGTCATGGCAAGTGCGTGACAAGTGCATGCGCAAAGTGAATGCGCACTTCCTATTTTGTTGTCTTCGTTGGTCTTCCACGTGTATAATTAACAGAATTAATGCTTACCTTTAAGATAAAGCTAATTGTGCACTAAAAGTTAGCGATATCTTAGTTCTTATCCACGATTTAAAGAGGGAAAAATTGTTGAGGAAATGAAGAAGCAGGTTGTGGGAATATTTGGCAGCTGGGACTTGGTTATTTGGAGTCGACCCGAGGATGTCTTTAGAGAAAAGTTGGAGGAGAATCACATTCATCCTTTCACAGAGACTGGACCAAATCGTAAGTAGAGTCTAATTATTGTTATATGTAACACCCCACCTTCCTTCCCGGGTACGGAACAGACAGATGCTCCAATCGACCCCTCCCCCTTAAACAGTGGGGGGGGGGGGGGCAAGAGGAGGGAAAAGACAGTTATTTTTATTTTAACAAATTATTCCGGACCGATTGTGTAAATTACTAGACTCTAGGTCTAGATAAACTCTAGATAGACTCTAGATCTAGATAGACTCTGCTCTTTACCCAAGAGAATTTGCCTCACTCGATGCCTTCAAAGTGGCATTGAGGGATGGCACCGTCTAGCACGCAGACAAGCTACTTTGTATTATTATTTTAACCGCACATCACTAAACGATGTGCATCAACCCACAGTGCGTTAATCTTCACTTCATAAAGCCTGCACTTTTCAGGAAGAAGAAGAAGAAGAAGAATAGACCTAGACTTTAGATCTAGGCCTAGATCTACTCCGGGAAATAGAACAACTTGAAATAAATAACCCATTTTCGGAAAGATACTTTAAAACGTTAATTTAAAAAAGAGTGCGTCCCATGGCCATGTTCCACGAATTACAAGAGCCTTTTTATAAATGAGACACTCTTGGCAGATAGCGCTACTTGATGCGTATTTTCCCTAAATCCAACAACAAAATGGACAGTTTTATTTTTGTTAACTATCCGGACACAATATCCCGCAATCTGTAGGCGAAAAAGTTGAAAACTAAATTAAAGAAAGTATAAATCTAGTATGGTTTCTCAAAATAACGTTATTTTTACCATCTTTTATTTTGTAGGATTTGAGTACGAGTTCCGTTCTCGATGGTTTTGGATATTTTTCTTCGCCATTGTCATCGAGATAATCGGAGTATCGATGTGGTATGCCATGGGTAACCCCTCGGTAAGTATTTCTGCTCATTTTTTTTTTATTTTTTTTTTTTTATAAATGGTAATTTTTTTTGACCAATTTATGGGGTTGGTCAATGGTCCATCCCCAGGCTCATGTAAAATGCTTGATTATGACATGTCTAGTCCAGACCAAGGTCTAGATCTAGCTAGACTACTGTCGTATGATTTTTGTTTTCATATTAAGTTTTTATCCGATCCTGAGTTAGAATCTAAACACTATTTTTATTCTTCCATTCATTTCTATTTCATATGTCCCATTCTTAATATTTGGAAGAAGGTGTTTTTTGTGCGGCCTAGGGGGGGGGGGGGGGTTATATCTCTCCAGCTTTGACTTATCTTCAACTGATCGGGCACTCACCTTTTTGAAATTTATAAATGAACACTCATTCTTAAGGTTGTTACATTTGGATTTGATCGTCCCATTGTTTTTTATCACTTATGTACAAAGGCAACCGATTTAATGTTTCTCATAACTTATGATTTATTTAATAAGTCACATATTTTCCCCATTTTCTCCACCGTCTGTAGCAATTCATCTCGTTCGCGGTAGTCTTCTTCATCATCAGCATCCACCGCCTTCACGCTCACAAGGACATGATCAAAATCATCATCGATCTGCACAAGGGAGAATACTATATCTTGAAGAAAGGCGATTTGACGTATCGAGGCTTGCTTCACAACATCTACATCAGACTCATCGGCCAAAATAGCGGTAAGTACAACTAAACAGTGACAAGCAGAGGAAGGATGGCAAAGTGCGAGAGGAAGGTGAGAGTCGGGGGAGGGGCGTGGGGCGCGGGGGGGGGGGGGTGGTAGGCATACATGCTCATAGTTATGGACCGTTTGTTGACCTCCGTCAGAAGAATATACGCCACCACAAAGGAAGTAAATTTATCGAGTTTTTCTCCAATAGTTTCCGATGTTTCGGTTCCCTCCCTCCCGATCGCGACAAGTTCAAGTTCAAGTTCAAGTCAAGTTCACTTTAGGAGTGCAAGTGATAAGGCATAACAATGTTAAATCTGAGATGCATGGCCCTACGTGTTATCAGTGTTTGTGATATGGTATTGAAACCCTAAAAAAGTACGCTTAAAAAAGATCATGAAGTGTCTCAAAAAAGTAAAAATCTTTGAGTGACCGGTTTTCCATTCTCATTTCCCCCAATAGACTAATTAGCTGTAAAACGGAAAATTAAATTTCGATTTCCAATCATAAATATCCTGATAATCAGACAGGCAATCGGCTTGTAAATTCATGGGATTCCTGATTGATCTAAAGGTAATTATGATTGCAGCATGAGCTAGATCTAGGATTTTGTTTCAGAATCTGAGGCAATCTAACCGAGTCACTTCAATATGATTAACTGTTTATTTTTTCCACTCCCAACAGGCGCTGGTTCAATTTTCTTCAAAATAGTTTTGAATGGCCATAACCTTGCTCCTCAAGATTTGACGTCATCAACTGTACGGAAAGAGGTTAGGAAACATTTTCACGGGTATTCTTTCAATTTCTGTATAAATGTCCTGTAATCGTTCAAGATGTTTTTTTTAAGTTGGATAGATTCCAGAAATATATAAAATCACTTAAAAAGATAGCAAGAGAAAGAAAAAAATAGAATTTTTCGAATGGGGTTACTGTAGAGAAAGGTAAATCAATAATATTCTAATCAATCGTAACGATACAGTCAGCCATCTCGGTCAGATATATGATGCGGTAAACCGCCGCACAAAAAAGATTGTCACGTATTACACTTGACGTCATCAAATAAACCGCAGCGGTTTTCCCGAGCCTAACAGAAACGATTGATAGCAATCTAAAATTAATTTGTGATCGAAGGTCTAGGGTGGAACTGCACACATGTAGTTTTGTACACCCTATTTGCGCTACTAACACAGTATTCCAATTCTCTGTTTGATATTTATTTAGAAATTAGAGAAATTGGGTCGCCGTTTGGCGAATCGACTTGGCATCAATTATTTTGACTGGACGGACAAATCTACACATCATATCCTTTGGCAAACTATCGTCATTTTCTGATATCAAAGTTGATTTTTTGAAACGATGTTTTTTATTGCAATCAAAATAATATGCCTTTAAGTGTGTTTATGAAAAATGATGGGAGCCAAAGTGATGCAAATTGAATTTTCTGAGTTCAATTTGGGAGTGGGGTGACGCGAAGCTTGTTATTTCTTAAAAAGGTGCCGTGACTGATTTTTGTTGTAGTTGAAAAACACTACTACTAAAGACTGGTGTCTCCTCCCCCCCCCCCCCCCTTCACCGAGCCCAAGCTACGCCACTACTATTGCTTCATTAATAGATTTCTCGATTAATAAAGAAAATTAAGCCTATTAAAAAAAAAAAAATCATTCAAGTGTTTCATGTTTCAACTATTGCGTAACTATATGGAAATGTTCATAAAATAATTTCTGTAAGCATATCCTTTTTGAATTTGCTAGCACTCTGTATTTTTTTACCAAAGGATTGTTTAATTTTGATTATGTACTCCTTGACCTTCTTTGACCTTCCTGCACATGTCATTCGACATCGTTCACCGTTTGCGCCGTCGAGAGCGTCCATCTCAACCTGCAGTGGAGATAGCGTTCTCTAAACGCTTTGCACGTACACCAAACACGACAACGACACGACGGCACGACATGCAAGACGCCGGCAAGACGACAAACGACAACAATTAAATTCACAACAAACACGATATTTGCTAAAAATTTCGTGTATGGTGGGATGGCGATGTCGTTTTGTCGCGTATCGTGTTTGATATGTAGAGCCATTAACGCTCGCGCACGGTTTCGATGATGAACGAACAAAAATACACCTGTCTGGACGAACATCATGATGAAGTCAACGAAAAATCGACGCTTTGTGAAGAGCGTCATCTTGTGACGAGTATCACAAAACACGACGCTTTCGTTGCGATTCACATTTTCTCGAGTCGTAAATCCTCTCTTCGTCTTTTTAATTCTACTTTTTACCTATCGAAAGCTTTTAGTAAGTTTAGGCGAGGTGTTATAAAACATAGTAATGATTTGTTATGATAACGAAACATATATTTATATTGTTATACGTCTATGTTATTAGATTGATCTGAGATGGGTATGATTTTTTGTTGCTGTCCTACATAAGCCCTGTAAAAGATTTCGGGGGGGGGGGGTGGTATATCAATCATTAACATAACATGTCATGTTGATTTTTGTTGTCCGCAGCAGCCGAGTTTTATGAAGAATTTTTTCTCCCTATTCCGACAAAACTTACTGAGTATCGGAGTGTTGGCTCAGTCAGTAGAGCGTCCGCCTCACAACCGGGAGGTCGTGGGTTCGAACCCCGGCCGCGTCATACCAAAAGACGTTAAAAGATGGGAGTTGTTGCTACCTTGTTTGGCGTTCAACAATAAGGGATAGAGCAACGTCGATCTGGCGCTGCTCAGTGGCTGCCGGGCTCACGATCAATTGGGCAAAAAGAATTTCCGTTTCGGTTTAATAAAATTTGGAGTGGACTATTAGGCTATTATTATTATTATTTCTGTGTTTAAAGGGACAGTTGAGTTCTTATTTAAGACGCAAATGCCTTCAACGTGCCTGGTTATTGCTCTTATTCTTATTTATGACATTTCTAATGCCATTTTAGGACCTTCAATTGCTATGAGGGTAATTTTAGACCCCAAAATGTGTGAAATTAGATTTAATCCGATCATATACCAATTCAGCTCCACCGTCAGTGACACAGATTAATTAATGGGAACAATACACGGGCCGGCTGGTTGTGCGTATTATAACCAACACGAAAAGGCCTTGGCTGGAATAAAACGTATAAGACGCTATCTCGTCTTTTCCAAAATAATCGAATATTTTTGTAGGGCCTCACAGAATTAGGAATATTATGCTCTTTCAAATTCGACACTCAGTTTATCTTTATGTCACAACAACATATTTTGTGTAACGCCCTCTATACCAAAACTCAACTATCCCTGACAATGATCCTTTTCGCTTTATATGATGTCTATCAGCCTTTATGCAGTTTCATTGTAAATGGGTATTTCTTGAACATCCGCTAATCATGAAGTTGAAAACTGAGGGCTATGTTAGGGGAGCTTCAAGCCGACGTTGTTTGTTTTATTAAATATATAAATTGCCTGGTTTTAATGGGCCTTACTATACCCCCGATGTCATGTGCCCCGGTCTCATATGAAAGAAAATAAATAAATTAGAACAATGAAAAGCAAAGGGACTGTGCAAAGTGAAGATTACTGTAGTGTAGGCTAAGAGGTGAGAGTCGATTAATGAGGGGAGAGTTTGGCCGCCAGCGCAGAGAGCCAGAGAAGGAAAGAACGAAAAAGGAGAATAAAGAGGGGAGAGAAAAAGAAAATGAAGGGAAAAAAAGGGGCCGCAGAGATAAGCTGAGAGTGAGGGAGGGAGAGAGAGAGAGAGAGAGAGAGAGAGGGACAGACAGAAACAGACTGAGAGAGAGAGAAAGGGAGAGAGATAGAGAGAGAAAGAGAGAGAGAGAGAGGGCGGGGGGGAGGGGGGGGGGGGGGGGTGCAAGAAACGGAAGTAAAATGGGTGGCAAATAAAACTGAATAAATCTATCCCTTACAGTCCTGTCTCGCATCGATTGGGCGAAAAAAGCCGCCCCTTAATAGTGGCAATATTCTGTGCTGGATACCCCCATGTAAATGCTTTCATTCGGAGTATTATTTGATATTTGCCAAGAAATCAGAAACAAAAAATATGGCCTAGCTGTTCAGTCTTTGTTCTGGCCTGTCAAGATTATAGGATTCTAATCGTTTCCGGTGCTCTCAGAAACCACGTAAATATTAGAGGAATGTGTCATAATTCCCTAAATACAAACAACCACTGACTTTTCTTCTCTTTCTCTCTGTTCTCTCTTTCTCTATTTATCTAAATGCTTGTTGTAAAGTCGCCTGTCTCGGAGAAGCCCACACTCGCATTGAGAATACATGACTCATGCCAGGCCAACTCACTTGACGTAAAAAAGAAACACACACTCCCGTCTCTCTTTGCGAGCTCAGAATCGCACACACACTATAGGTGCATTCTCGCACCCACGGTCGAACGTCACACGGCGACCACCACAAGTACTGATCACAAATTATTTTATGCGGCGAAGCCAGTGCGAAGTTAGGTGTTTAAATTGGATGGTCAGCGTTACGAATTTTACTGCAGAATACCTGCTCTTCTCCAAAGGAATATCATTTTCCGGATGTCATCGCTCAAAAAGGATAATAATTAGGGATACACACGGAACAGCTGCTTGCTTGACGACAGTCGGTATTTTCTACGAGCGTTATTTTTATGATAGGCGGGGCCTTCTCCTCACATCGAACGCTAGCGAGCTAAGGCGGGTGGGCTCACCAAAGGGAGATGCTGTGTGGTCAGTAAGCGATCGGTAGCTCTTCCGGCTTGTTACACGTAAACAATATAGCCCAGTGGTTTCTTTTGCACTCCTAATATAATATTCTCGCCTGTTCATAATTTTGTGGAAGCAGTACTCATGTTTTCCACATTCTGAGTAACTTGTTGATTATCACATCCCCTTGCCGAATCATTACGAAAGGATATCTGATTAGAGAGAGAGGAAGAGAAAGAGACAGGTCGAAGAAGTAGACTCTATTGAGAATTAGAGACTCGTTTACGCGTGTTGTGAATACACGAGCTTCAGTAGCAGTGGAATAATCATGTCGAACGCCCGTTCTTTCTCTCCCAGCAGCTCTGGTCGATCCGACTGTAGGACTATGGCACGTTTTCTGCTGCTTTCTTTTTGTACCACATTAGTTATATTGGATAGTACAGTTGCATTCAATTTTGATCTGAGGGCACCTGTGAAATTTGATGGACCGCAAGGAAGCTTGTTTGGGTTCAGTGTGGCACAGCATCGAGATCAAAACACAGATTGGTAAGTTATCAATCATGTTTGTTTTTAATGAAACCTGTCTAAATCATTGATAACAATTAAAATCATTGTGTTTCCATCCAAGTATTTATCAACCTACACCCTACATGTATCCTTACCCTGCTTATGTCATGACACGTACTTCACCAAAGTTCTGCAGTAATCTTCAAGGTTGAAGGAAGCAGACAGCACCAAACATGCGCATGCAAAGACGAAGAATATGAATTTGATCATGAGTCTTGATACTCTTTGTATTAATAGGATTATTTGTTCTTTTCATTTGTCAGGTTTTTAGATGTTCTTCTATGGAATCGTGAGTTAGAATCTTAAACACATTAGAAAGAAAAACTTTCATATTTACTTCATTCTACATCATCCTGTACTATTTTATGAAACACATTGGTTTTAACTTCCTGAAAACAAAGTATTTTCTTCTGTTTTGTGATCACATAATGGATATTTGTCATTGTACACTTCTTTACACTTCTTTGTTATGTATAATTCTACTGTGACATGGTCTTTGTTATTATTCAACCAATGGAATAATAATTTCTTTTGTAGTCTATGACAGATGAATCAATCAAATCAATTCAATCATGATATAAATTTACATGTACTGTAATTGGGCCTTTGACCCTGTACACAAGTTATGGGAATGTACTTTGGCTTATGATGTACATGTACATGTATATTGTGCCACTCACGTTTTGTTATGAAAGTGGAAATGTCTCTCTTTGAAATGGAAAGGTCATAAAATAGCATTCAGAAGACCACTGCATAATCAATCATGTTTGATACTACTGTATAGTCGTGATAGTAGGAGGCATGGTATCTCCAGTCAAGATGCAACCTCTTGCCCCTCTGCCTCCGATGCATATAATGAGAATTATTATTAAAGAGTATGAGTACAAGAAGATAGACCAAGAAGATAGACCTGGAAGCTCGACTGCTGTCTCAGCATTCTTCCAGTATTTGCGGTAAAGGTAAAGGTAAAGAGTAGTGGTTTTGTTACCGGAAGGTTCCTGGTGCAAAACTAAGTACATGTACATGTAGATGCTCAATTGCCAAGTCTCTTGTGGTAGTACTCTGACAACAATTTCATCTTTTATATTAGAAATAGTCTAGTTAGAAAAATGATGATCATAGTCATTTACATAAACGAGGACAAGTGAATTAATTTAATTTACCGGAGATATCTGGACCAGCACCAATCGTACATGTTAGAACTGCAGAATTTCAGCTTGTTATACAATTAACATTATTTTCCCTATTATAAGAGATACTGTACACGTGTAATTTCATTT